TCAATTGATAGTTTGTTGTCCTACGCGCCTCCTTCTTGAGATAGTTGGATGTGAAAACAACTCCTTAAAAAATGTGTGAGACTAAGAAATGTTGTTGGTTCAATTGGCTGTCACTGTTATCGTGGCTTTCTCTGTTTTAGATTAGAAACCAAAGTATTTTTTACAAACCTGTTTTAAGATTGTTGACATTGTCAGTCTTAGGTTTGTACTTCATTTCTGCTTTTGAATAGATATTTAATTGCTGAAAGTAATATATGGATGTCATGCTCACACAGCTGAATCTTCATCACAAACTAAAGAGAAAGCTCTGCAGGCTGGTTCCTCTGTGCACAGAGAACAGTGGATTGTTGACTGACTGTTTTCTCTGTATGTAAAGTTAATAACTCCCACTGTATTCATCCTCACTGTGAGCAGCTCGGGCAGGGGCAGGTGGGTGTTGATTCTGTGTGCTCAGAGAGCAGAGCGGTAATTAGAGGCCTCTGTTTCATAAGCCATTTGAATGGAGCTTTCAGCGCCTCCGGTGCCTCCACCTCACTGTTTTTTTACATCCATCATTTGTGACGACAGCTAAAAGCACCTGACATTTCCCTCCCCAGCAATTAATGCCCAAGCCGGTGAACTTCCCACAGTTCTGAGGGAGTCAAGGTCTCCCGTCCAACTCTGCTTAACATACAGACGCAAGGACTGCTATCTTTAGCCCACCACCCAGACACAGTGAGGAGGATGTGAGAGGGGCCTGAATGCATGATGTATTAGCAACACTCAGTCAGCTGGAGGAAGTGGCAATCTGACTCTGTGGCAAGACTAAGAGAGGGACAACTAGTAATTATCATGCCAGATATCTATAGTTGACAATGATTTGTTTACAATGATTAGTTGGATCACAAAACGAAAAACATGACACATCAAGGACTCTGCCGACTTTGGTCTATGTCCAATCTGTAACTTTGTCGTGTATGGATTTATTGCATGAAAAAGGTTTGGATATCTTGCTAATAGATGACATGAAATGCTCTCCAAATAACAGTGGCTCAATGGATTGAAAACAGATGGACATCTATAAAAGCTGTATGAGCTTGAATATGGAGGAAGCACACATATGCACAGAGGCAGTTTGGTTTCCATCACTGGGTTTCACCAGCTATGCAACAAGTTCAAACGTAGCTTCATTTCTCAGTTTACACTCTGCTAACATTTAAGGTGTTGCAACAGCTGATATAGTTACAATGTAGTCTGAAGTTACAACTTCAATCTTACAACTAGTTTCTAGTCAGTGTAAAGTCCTCTGTAAAATAGAGTTGTTATGGCGATGGTTTTAAAAGGTGGGATAACTTGGAGGATGAGGAGGAGCAAAGTGTTTTACCAGTTGTTTGGTATCAGATGTGTGTTCTCTGTGATACATAACATCCCTCAGAAAACTGATTGTTTTTACTCCTGCTTTAGTTTTCCATAATGTTGTCAATCCAACAACAGCACACCTTCAACTTCCTGCAGTTGAAATGCACATAGTTCCCTAAAAAGGTTCCTAGTTCCAGGGGAAAGTTCCTGCTTTCCCTCTTTATTATTTGGGACCATAAACGAGCATTCTTGACAGTCGAAGAAAAACTCACTTAAAGAGCCCATATTCTGCCCTTTTTGGGGTTCATATATTTAATCTATGTTCCTACTTTTGTACGTTCACAATAGCTAAAGTAAAAAAAAAGTCTCTGTTTTCATGTACTGCTCCTCCTTGCTCCCTCTCCGCTCTGAGTCCGTCAGCTACGCTCTGCTGAGCCCACACTGTTAGACCCCACGTGGGCCAAGTCTGCTCTGATTGGTCTGCCGATCCGCTCTGTCGTTATTGGTCAGTTGCTCAGCACGCGTCTCGGAAATTTCAACATGAGCTGCAGGGCTTGCCACAACGAGCCAATGGGTTTAGATCAGTGATCTCACACTGACAATGACGCTGCACTGACAAATTTTTATCGAGGGGGGCTAGAACCGAGTGTTACATGCGGCTAATGCTACAGCTAACAGGAGGAGGTAGGAGAAGCCGTGTTTCCGCAGACTTTGAATTTTTGCACATGATGTGCCTAAACATGTACAGGACACTTGGAAAACACACTAAAGGGCATATAAAACCAGAAAAAGCATAATATGGGACCTTTAAACATGATGAAAACCTCACAGAAGACTGCCATCTGACTCTCGATGGAAGTTCATGTTGTGCTGCCTGCAGGGAAGTCCGGTGCAAAGTTATCTTGGAGTGGATTAGTGCACTGGCACTTTTTAAGGATGCCAGTGAACTCCAAAGGCATCATAATCATCTGTTTGAAACATACAGTCGATGGTTTGAACTTTCAACCGAATGCATGCAATAACAAATAATCGCGATGAGCGTGCATGAGGAGCAGCTAATCACAATGATGTTGTGCTCTACCTCCCGGGAACTGTAGTTGCCGAAGAAGATGAAGGAGAAGAAAGATTGTGATTTCTGTAGAATAAGAAGAAAGTCTGTGGTTGATGAAGTAAAATACTACTCCTTTACCTCCACCCTCAAACATCAAATTTGGAAGCCCTGTTATTAACATTTCTATGAAAAAAACGTACTTCCCCACTCTGTGTAAAAGTAGCATATTTTCTGCTTCTTCCTGTTATGGCTACCTTCATTGTCCGTCATAAATGTGGCCAAACAGGCTCGCTTGTAGCACCAAATGTTTCGCTTTAGCTTAGCTAGCACACAGCGTAACATACCTGACCTGTGAATGGAGGGTGCTGCCACATGGCTTCAATTGGTTTTGTTCATTAGTTGACAAACTCGACAGGAGCATCACCTTTTAACTGACAGCTGATAAGCCTATCCTGTTATTTTGTATTGGAGGGGGTGGGACATCTGTGTTTTTGATTGAATTGAAGTAGGAAGAGGCTTTCATGTACACCTATTGTCAATGGATTTTTTGTGCACAGTCTGTGAACTATGTTGGTCTTTCTGAGCTGCTGACACGTGTTTGAATGTTTAGAAGTCTTGATCATTCAGCAGTAATGTAAGATACATGCTCACAATAAAAAACAATATGAAAAATATGCTAACCGAAAAATAAAACTTTCACAAGTGTGAACATGACATCCTACTCAGGCCTCCTGCACCTGTCAACCTCTCCATGACCGTCTTTAGACCAGAGAAAATCCAAAAGAGCTCTGATTTATTCTCATAAGACCATGAAGCCGTCCTGCACTCAGATATCTCCGAGTCTCTAAGACCCTGGTGAGCGTCTTTGAATAGCTGTCTCTTATGAAGCTGTGAAGTTTGGTAGTTCCTGTCCGTCTGCTCCTCTGTGCCCAGTTTGTCCCAGCTCGGTCTCTTCAGACTTTGACTTCAAAGCTGCTGCGGTCTCTCTGTGGCCGTCTTCACTGCTGCTGCCCTCCTCATCAGGATACAGATTAACAGCTGTTCAGTGTCCTCTGTAGCCTTTTAGAAATGTATAAAGATCCCCATTAAACCTCCAGTGCCTTCCAATTTCCCTATTTCATTTTATTTTATTTCATTTCATTTGAAATCCTTTTGATATTTGCTTCATCCCTTTACTGTTCACAGCTAATCATTTCTTGACGATCGCAAAAGCTCTCAAACTAAACTCTTAAATACATTACTCTTTCAGGGGGGCTCTTCACCACATTTACATATATTGATTATTGGGTATTTATTGGCACTTTTCATATAAGATCCTGGGTACTCAGCGTTGGTGTTCTTATCTTCTTTTTCTTATTGTTTATATGGAATATGGCTCATGTGCAATATATATTTAGTTTGTGGTTGTCATATAAATTATATATATATATCATCTCTCTGTTGAAATGTTGATTGTGCTCTGTTCTTATTGTTTGAAAAGGCAGCTAAACTTACGAAGAAATCCAGTCCAAGGCAAATTGCCAGGAAAATATAATGTTTCATATCCTGTCGTATCATATCCTCATAGTGTATCATATCTTATTATACAGTATTGTATCATGTTGTATGATATTGTATCGTAATGATTTTTAACAAATTGTAAGGCATGTTATCATTAGAACCCGACCGATTTATCAGCCAGCCGATATTAGCATATCAAGTGACGATCGGTATTAGCTTTGAGTTTCATTGTATTACACTAGCAGTTCTTTTTCCATATCGCAGAGGGCGCTATATGGACTACAACAAGCATCATCACTCTCCAGAGAGTCAAGAGGTGACACACATAAATGATCAGTTACTTTCCAGTTGAGTGACAATCTTGTCTTCATCATAAATCTTTTCCACAAGGATTGTTTGATAACTGCATTTGAGGGATCAACACAATAAATGTTTATATCTTTATCTATCTCTACAGATCTAAAAAAAAATCTAAAATCAGCCAATATATCGGTATATGATTTCTTTCCCTCCTTAACATCGATATCAGTCCCAAAAATCAAATACCAGTCAGGACCTAGTTACCTTATTGTATCGTATCATATAGTGATAAATGGTACCATAGTGTATCATGTTGTATCATGTTATAATTGGGCGGCTGTGGCTCAGTCATGGGCGGCTGTGGCTCAGTTGGTAGAGTCATTTCCTTTCAACCAAAAGGTTGAGGGTTTGATCCCCAGCTGAGCAACATGTCCAATGTGTCTTTGGGCAAAACCCTGAATTGCTCCCTCTGCTTAAGTGGCGGTGTATGACTGGATTAGTGTTGTACTTACTCTCTGATGTACATCGCTTTGGATAAAAACATCTGCTAAGTGAATTGTAACATAATGATTCCAATTAGCATATTATACCGTAGCATATCATATGGTGTAGCATCATATTGTAACATAGGTTAGTGTATTATATGGCATCATATTGAAGTGTTGTACTTTATTTCATATCATATTGGAGTGTATCATATTGTATCTTAATGTGTATCGTACTGTATAGTGTATCTTAGCGAAGCCCAGTGCTATGTTTCATCTTCCTGTATGTTCTTCCAGAAAGCTTTAAATCACTTGTTGTCACACCATCACATTTCACAAACTGTTTTTATCAAGATTATACACAAGATCATTTTTCACTGAACTACTCTACCAAAAAGTAAACCACTACTTCACTACTACCTCATCGCTTCAATCGTCATTACATCATTTAATTCAGCTAAGGACACACAGAGGTTTAAGGACAGATTTTAATATCTGGATACAGTACAAAAGTGTTTCCTGTGGCACTATAGGGCAACTGCAACTAACTTTGACGATCATTGTAAACCTGAAAATAATATTGCAAGATCGTTTAGTTGGATTAATAACATAATGACGTTCAATAATGTCAGTATGAACTCTCATTTGAATATTAGGAGCCAACAGGAATATAACTAACAGAAAAAGAAGCACAGCAGGTTTAATATAAACATACTCTTCAGTACCACAGATATTCTCTGAGTCCCTGTAGCAGCTATACAGCGATAACAAACAAGAAAGATATATGAAGCATGATAGAGTGAATCCTGAGCTCACTGTTTGTCCCTATGGAGGTGTTACTTGGTTGTAAACAGGCACCGTCACAGGTCAACAGGTTTATCAGAGATGACTGTAACACGTCTGTGTTTATGACAGGCTGTCAAGGCTCTCAGCGATGTTCTCTTGGTAGGCGAAGCAGCTGGGGAAGATGCCGATGTTTCCTGCACAGTGTCCCTCCAGCCACTCCTCATTAACTACCAGAGAGAGAGACACATAAAGAGAGAGAGACATAAAGAGGGGGTGAGACTCAGACCTGAGGTGAGGAGGACACAGTGTGAAAATAAAAGTGCCGCAAAGAGACGAAAACACTCTTTATGTTGACTCTGAGGTCGACCTGCAGGCCTCACCGTCACCCAGGATGTCGATGGTGTCTCCCTCGCTGAACTCCAGGTCCTCCGGGCCCTGGGCAGCATAGTCATACAGCGCCACCATCTGGTACAGGATGGAACGGTTGGCCAGTGGGTCTTCTGTCTGAAGTATTAGAAAAAGTGTGAAATTTGAGTATCATATCCCTTCATTAGATAAGTTGATAAAAGTTATGATCTCTAAGCCTCAGTGAGGGATTGTGCAAAGTGTCTTGGGGATAGAACGAGTTGCTGAACAGCATTGAGTCGTCTACATTGTTGTTATACTTTTTTTTGTCCCTCCACTTGACTTAAAAAAAACTTCAACCACAAGCAATCAACCCAGCATGTAAAAATAAAACATCAATCATGGATCTGAACAGTTTATTTTATCATAAGTAACCAAAGAAGTGATTTCAAGACATGTTCTAGCCCCACTGGCAGATTATTTTGGTTGTTACAACCAATTCATGCCTGATTTTTTGCTTTTTATATCTTGAAATAAGAATTTGATCTGAACTTGTCGAGTGAATGTGGCTGAAAATTGTGTAATAAGATGTTTTTGACCAGTAGTTTGACCAACATACTTGCCTAAATTTGAACCTTGGTACTTTATTTTGAGCTAACTGTATATGAAACACGTAATATTTATATAACTTTGACTTAAGATTGTTATTACATTGATTATAAAGACATTGTTGTTGTGTATAATAATGTTTTTGTTTTTTAGAATTTTATTTTTGCAGGAAAGGAGCCTCAGGTCGGACTCGAACCCAGGCCACCCACTTAGAGGACCACAGCCTCCGTAAATAGGGTGCTGCACTAACCACATAGGCTACATGAAATAAGTATATTCTGAAAACATGTTTGAATGATGGTGGCTTTGATATCTTTCTGGAGTAACAGTGTGTTTCTTCTGACAGAGAAATGCTCTGTTTCAAATTTGACATCACGATTCTGGCAGCGCTTAGAGCAAAACCGAGAACATGTCCATTTAAAAGTAGTTTAGTTTAAATCTCACAGGCAGTCAAAAACAACCCCCCACCGGATACATCCTTGCACCTAATGTGTGATCTCATGCCCTGACGTGTTGAGCTCACCTGGCACCACAGGGTTGCCCTGCCGGCCTCAGCCACCTCCTGCATGGTGCGGCCAGGCTCCTCCTCCCCACCCAGAGGTATGAGCGCCCGGGAGCCGTGCAGTTTATGTCTGATGTGAGAAAAAAAAAGAGCGAGGGAGGGGAAGAGGGGGAATGGATTGTAAAATTGAGGGCATCACGGGGGCAAAAAATTGGACGGCAGAGAAGAGAAGAAACAGATGATTACAAGCATTAAAAAAGGATGTGATGCATGTTATTTGTTGTTATCGGCTTCTATTTTTATTCTGACAGCCTGAAAAATGAACTAGTGAACTGCTGTTATTAATCCTTAGATGTGTCTTGCAATAAATCTGTGCCATGTATCTCATCGTGAAGCTCTTTGCGGTCCTAATCTGTTGTTTATTTGCTGCGTTCATGGACTTGTCTCGTGTGCAGCTGCAGCCTTAGTGTTCTTTTTCTCACATCAGATATTAGGCCCACAGGGTGGAGTGGACAAAGAAAAGCATATTTTTAGAAATGCAGCATCACTTGTTGAAATTCAGGGAGACAGAAGTGGGTTGGCAGGCCTGCGGTTACCTGAGGCGCAGCTGAGATGCTGGCTGGCCCAATTTCTGCGCAATCCTCTCCTTCAGTTCGCTGTACGGTGTGTCCAGAGGGACGGACAGAGCCACAGTGTACGTGTAATGGACTTTCACCACCACAGATCCCGCGTCTGCGTCCTGAGCTGAGTCTGCATGCTGGGCACAGAAAGCACCAAAATAAAAAGCACATTTAAAAATAATGTAAACAAAGTTTTCATATATCATTTTTTATCTGTTACAGTCAGATGGTTTTCAAACTTATAAAGCCAAAGAAATCCTATTTGATACACAATCTTTTGAGATCTCTGAATCATCGGTGAGATCATTTTTTCCTTAAAAAAAACACCTCATAAATACAACCGGATACATGCAGGGAACAGATAATCCGCCAGTGGACAGAGAGCGTGCCCCACCACAGGACCCTGAGCACATCAAAAATGATCAGTGGTACAAATTTGATTTTTTTTATGGATAATTTTTTGCCAAAACTGAAAAAAAAGAGAAAGAAAACATTTTAAAAATGTACTAATACTAAGAATGTTTACTGGATTGAGGCAATATACAATAAACTTACATTTTTAGCTTATTTGACAGTAAAATGATGTTGAGATTGTGTGTATCAAATCTGATCCAGCAGGAATTAAAAGTGATTTTGTCCATTTTCATTTTTTGTACTTTTACATATCAAAGTAAACTAATAAATGGCTTAAATGTCACAATTTGAAACATTCAGAGTGAAAACTGGGATGTTTATGGCCAACACAGTATTTTATATAACAGCATTTTAAATGAGTGAATAAGATAAGGCTCACTGTTAAGTGTCTAGATAACCATCTATGATGCATATGACAGGTGTGGACTGTCCACCAGGCAACCTCTTAATTAAATCCAGGTCAGTGTCCAAATTGGGGCCACTAGTAAAATAAAAGCCTAACAGGGGCAGTGCAGCAGTTTCATATTTCATGAAATCACATGAACATGCTAATGTTTCCTCAAAGGGAAGAGAGCTAGCAAAGGTTTTATTTATCAAGTCTGTCGTTGTCACCTTCAGGTTAGCCTGTCACACCTGCACACATGGTGCTTCTTCTTTAACCATTCATTTAGCCGAAAATGTGAGTCTTCTTTCTCTATTCCATGTTCTCTGTGTTCCCCGGCTCTTCTTCGTGCAGGATGTGAGTTTTGTGTAGTAAAACGGATTCAGTTCTCTTTACCGCAGTGCCATGTAGGAGAAACATTGTACAAATATTTGTTCACCTTCAGTTTGATGTGACACTGAGGCCATCGTCAAGCTGAGGAAACTGAGAATTCATCCTCTGCAGGAAATAAATCCCTTTCTGTCAGTCCTGTCATTCTGAGTCATTTTTATCAGTCTTTTATTGAGTCTCCTGAGTTTGTCCCTTTATCTGCTCTTTTCACAGCCTCACTACAAAAACTCAGCAAAGCTTTTCTGAATGTTTCTCCCCCTCTGCAGTAAGACTTCTGAATACTCTGCAGGTTCTCTTTCCTGAGTGATCGCTTTATTTTGTTGTATATGTATTTATAATTCATACTTTATAGTTACTTTTCTTTCATGATTTTTTTTCTGAGTTTAGTGTTCAAGCTGCTCCTAATCAAAGTGAGATTCTAAGTGTTGTTTGGTTGATTGATTTTTTTCTTCCTATTCTGCACACCTTGCTGAGTGTTTTGAATTCTCCATTTTCACATTAGCAGCAATCATAAATCTTTCCATGTTGAGCCTTCCCAATGTTTTGTACTTTACTCAGGAGAGTATACATTTGTTTCTGCCTGATGATCCTCGAGTTAAGTCTTGAACATCGACAACTTAATGTAGTTTGATTAAGAGTGCTAAAAGTCATCTTGTACAGAGCATGTCTAAACCCTTTAGAGGTCCCAACTATATCTTTGCACTCTTACTCAGGTTCTTTTATTTGTACCTGAAGGTAGAATTGTTTCTCAGCCAGTGAGATCTGACATCCATTATTTCACACAAATTACAAAACAGAAACTACATTTTATAGAGAAGGGAAACTATTTGAAACCTAATAAAACATGATTAAAAAAAAAACTAAAAAAATATATGAAAATGGAAAAAGTGCTCAAGGTTCCACCAATGATGGAATATATGAAATATCAACAACACATCCAATAAAATTCACAAATAAATAACCTCCTGAATTAAGCCAGGGTAAAAATAAATTATGGAATTAGATAATTATATTAATAAATATGTATGAGCAAGTTTAGCAACAGCTTGTTCAGTTTAGTCATAGCAGCAGGAACAAAGTATATTTATGAACAGCTTTGTTCTGCACCTTGGGAGTAAAAACTTCCGTCCAAAGGGAAGACGTTGAAAATCCCTGTGCAAAGGATGGGAATCATTGTTATTGTTTAAGCATATATAATCCACAATAGTGGACTGCAAAGCAAACTTAATCTGGAAAACAACGGTAATGTTTCATTCTGTGGCTGCAAGTGTGAAAAAAAATTAGCACATTTTCCGATACTCCAAGAATGACTTCACTGTTTCATGCCTGAGTTATGACATAATGGAGCAAGAATTTTTTTTTTTTTTTATATTCTCAATTTCTGTCAAGTTAAAGAACTGTCCACAAGAGTGGACATCCTGCACCGCTTTAATGTGGGAACAGATTACAATAAAGTGTTTTGAGTTTGTAACATGTCCATGTGGTGGACAGAATCACTGTGAGTTTCAAGGTCTCTTCCTCTTTGTGTCTTATACAGGAAAACTAAAACCAAAACAAGCTCGATGAGATCAAAGTACCTTGACAGTTGCCTGGAGGTTTCAAGAAGAGCACAACAGCAGACATTTTATGTGAGAGAAAATGTTTCAAAACGTCATGTTGCAAAACTATTATTACCTGCAAGGCTCCTCTAAACCAGAAGAATTTAGAGGCTATTCCTGAGATGTTATTTATGACCTTGTGACCCTTCTCTGAAATTTCTGCTACTCACTCACTCCCTCTCAACAGCACGGTGTAGTTTTAGGTTTTAGAAATAAAAGGAGCTATAGATGCCGAGATAACCAAAGATTTATCCAAGTTTCAACTGCAGTTGATTTAGTCTTTAATATTCAGGTCTGTTTGTACTGCTGCTTGTTTTAGCATCTTAGCTAAACTTGAGCGCTGCTGTGTCCCCAGGTGGGACTAGTCTGACTGCCATAGTACCTTCATTTTTCTACAGAGGGTAGAAATTTGAAAAGTTTTCTTTCGGTCATATTTCAAAAAGTCCACATGATTTGATTTTGGAGGTCCGGCACTGGGCGTTGTTTTCTCAGTGTAAAACACCTAGCTAACAAGCGAGCCACCTACTGCTTATTTTATTCTCACAAAAACATAAGATAACGTAAAGGTCAATGTAAGAGTCTTGCACGATTGAAGATACCAAGCACATTTTGCAGAACAAGCTATGAGAACAAGCAGCAAAGCCTCAGTAAACCAGTTTATACTGGACTTGGATATTAAACGTTAAGATTGGTGACTGATTCAGATCTGTTAATCTTTACACCCTTAATGAACACCACTGTTTACTTCTTTAGAGTGTAGATATAATCTCACTGTGCAAGCTGCTGTTCTGTTTGCATACAGCAGTGATTCTCAACCTTTTTGAGTCACGACCCTCAAAAATAAAAGCTTTGTGTTTCATGTTATCATGTTATCTGCAGTCACTAACACAGCAAACATGCAGTCTGTGGGAATACCACGACGCACCTGCAGCCTCCTAACAGCACCAAAACAGCCATAGACAAATGATGTCACTGGTACAGGTGACCCCCAGGCAAACAGATGTTACTTCACTTTCAAAATGTCATTCTTTTCTTCTTCTCCACAACAATCTGCCGACCCCCAGAAATTATCTTGTGACCCCCTGAGGTTGAGAATCAATGGCCTTTAGGTTAAAGTTTTAGTGCAGACCTGGTCATTAATGACTACCCCTCATGTCACACTTGTTTCCTCTCTTTCCACTAATTCAACATCATCATAAAAGCAAAAATAACTACAATAGATTGTTATAAGAAGAACGAAAAATATGTTCAGAGATAGATATAACAAAGACAGAAACACTATAAGAGAAACAAATCAAATACGTTTGAAATCTGCCTGTGGTCTAATGGAAAGAATTCTGCACACATGCATCATTAAACTGGAAAATATTTATATTGTGCAAACTGATTTTCTGATGTGGTATTGTATTATAAAACAAGTCTTAATGCTGGACTTAACTGACTAAAAATAATTGAGTCACATGATGTGTAAAATTCATTGTGGCTCTAAAACAATATTTATTTCCAGAGGCTCCCTCTGCCTCCTCTGAGCGTCACTGTGACTTAATCGGGACACATCAGCTTTCCCCGGCTAACTTCAACCTCACAAAGCAGTTTTCTTCACATGGCCGCACATCCCGCTATATTTAGATCAGGTGAGACGAGAACGAACGTGTTTGTGTGTGTTTGTAGTGTGTGTGAGGGAGAAGAACTTTGATGTGATTTCAGATGAATCAGGCTGTACCTGGTCGCTGGCTGCGTTGGCTGTGTACCTGGGAGGCTCGGAGGCTGGCAGCGGTGCGTGGGTGGCGGTGATGTAGGATGGAGGTGGAGTGTCTGTGGAAATAAAGCGTACTGCAGGGAAAACACAGTACAGGTACAGTCTGAGAACATGCAGTACTAATGGGAGGAGAGGCGAGGAGAAGTTTTCTTCCTATTCCGTCATGAAGCTGCAGATTTGATTTCACCCCTGCAGCTATTATCGCAGCAGTGCATTCAAAAAAAATACTCACATGTCTGTTTATATATTGAAGTAGTTTCTACTTGCTGGAAATATTCCACCTGTTCTGACTTACTGACACATTCTTACATGGCAAAATATTTAAAAAGTTATCCTGCTGCTGGCTTTGCTTCTCTGACTTAAAGGAAGAATGTGCAACTTTTTGATCCAGTAGATGTCGCCCTTGAGCACCAGCATGAAACCAAACCAAATTGCTGTTTGGAGACACCTCCGCTATTCTGAAGCCTCCACTCTCCTCCATCAGCCCATCAACCCCTCTCTGCTCGCTTTCACACAAAGGAGTTATGAATTAGAATGCAAGATAATTAAGCACCATTAAGCGCAAGCGGCAGACAAAATTGTCCTTGATGTAAACACAGCCCCAACAACAATACAGCTGGCAGGAGTCATGCTTCTCACTCATTGTAGACAGCCATAACTCAGAGAGACATTTACAGAGGATAGACTTGATTTCTGATGTATTTATGTGTAAAATGTTGCATACTGCCTTTAAGGTCAAATGTAACATTACATTTAAACATTGCATTGTGGGATTGTAAGCAGAGAGGTGTGTGCATGTGAGCTTTCTTGGGGGTAATATAAAACTTATAAACAACAAGAAGCCTCTGGAAAATTCTGCTTGAAAGAGTAGAAATACATAATGTGATAGATGAGAGTCTCATTAAGGTTCCCACAATAGCAGAGTAAATAAAAGCTGAGATAATACAAACATCTGGCTGGTTAATTCAAGTCTGATAATTTCTCTGCACACCTGACAGTGTATGACAGTCAGCATAGTGCAGCTTTATTTATGTCTGACTCGTCTAGTGAGAATCGGAGGAAAAAGTAGGAGACATCTGGACCTTATTCATTTTAAATGGACTCTTACTGGTGAGTCCCAAAATGCTTTTCACTCTACATCACTTCTTCAGAATATAGTTAATGTATGCATGCAATGTCAGATTTTGGTGCCCCCCTTGTTTTTATCTCAAAGCTGTTTCAAAGTGATGGCTCTGTACGTTAAACTTGTGCCACATTAGGCCCTGACCACACAAAACACCCACACCCAAAGAAATGAATCATTTATGATTGGAACTAAACTCCGGCACTGCTGCAAAAAAAAGATAAACAATCAAAACTTAACAGCCTCAGCCCTCTATATTTATCCCTGCATGACGTCTCTCAACATGCAGGTGTAAACACTGGCTGATGTGTGGCTATTCTTAATATAAGTCTGTTTAAATGATTTCCTGAATGTCGTCATATATATCTGAGCATACCACTCTTATCGCTCCTTCAGTTAGTAGGCCGTTGACCACAGTCTTTTAATTTTACTGCACAAAATGAAGCTGCAACACATTTTTGTGTACGCAGCTTCCTTTGTCTACTACTATATTTCATCTTTAATCAATAAAAAAATCTCTTTTGCTGAAATAATTATAATTAATTAGGAAATAAGGGACCCATGACAAAAAGCTTTCTCCGAGCAATATGACACAACAGTCTGCCTGCTACCTGTTCAAACTTGATTCTGACACCTTTCTCTTTGTGTCCTGCTGCACAAACTAAAGGCATTAAGCACCTAAAACTATCAGCAATTGACTCATTAAATCCTTTTCTCTCTTTGAATATATTCAGTGCATCAACAACTTGAATGCTAGGTACATCCAAATCAAACACAACCTTCTAGTAAAGATGAATCGTCAGAGCCAGACAGACAGTACACATCAGAGATATTACTGTGACCCTGAAATGATCCGTTATGAAAGAGACATGCTCACAGGAGCCGATCAGAGGGAAGAAGGTCGGGAGGTCTTCCTCTTTTAAAGCAATACGATTTCACAGAAAGTAGTAGACGGAGAGGACCAGGAGGAGGAGTGTGATGCATTTTTACCCCGAGGAGGAGCTGCAGAGCTGGGCTGGGCCTTTGGGCGAGTGGGTGGTTTCAGTCCAGGTGGGAGAGGGATCCCACTGGGAACTTTCTGCAACTGAAGACACAACACGAAGGTTAGTCTAACAGCAATTCATTTCAAAGGTGAAAAATAATTGCAATTTCCTACCAGCAAGAACCGTATGTAGCTGAAAGGAGCAGAGTGACCCTTTTTTTTTTAGAGAGAGTTTCTATGTATTTTCCCTGACACTGCAACTTTTCCTGCAGGTCCTCAGGGATAAAGCGATAAAGCTCTGCTCAGCATCTGAACAACCTTTAATGTGCTGCTATTACACCTCCCAATTGAAATCATGTCTTTGTATTCTCTTGAGATGAGCCCAAATAGTTGACCAATGCATCATAAAGTGGATCAGAACATGAGGAAAATACTCTACCTTTTCCATTTTGCCTTTGGATGACTTGACAACTGCAGGATCAAGCAGGGACACGGGCAGAAGTCCTCTCTGAAAGAAGATCAGATACTGAATGACGACAAACATCGATTTAAAATAAAACAACTCACAAGTCAACAGGATTGTAAAAGAAGATGTGTTATCATCGTCAAATATCTGTATACTAGATCTGTAAGTAATCAGTTTGTAATTTACACATCAAGCAGTTAAAAATCAACATGATCTTTCATATGGAGTCTTATCAAGCTCTGTTACAAACAGCTCTGTTACCTGCCGTACATTGTGTGTGTGCATGTTTTGTGTTTGTTTCTCCCTCCACCCTACTGCTGCTGGTGAGTGAGCTCAACTAGCAGTCAAAAGCTCTGTTTCCACCAAGCGGCCCAGTTCAGTTCGGTTCGGTTCAGTACGATACCCATTTATTGTTGCTTCCATAGTCAAAAGTTGGGAATGGTACCAAAATAAGGGCTCCTTACCGTCCTACTTTTTTTGCACGATCCGACTCTAATGGTACGGTTGGCTGTGGAAACGCAAGCAAGATCAGGGTTTACCATACCGAACTGTACCAAACTGTACTGAACCAAACCGGACCCCTTGGTGGAAACAGGGCTTTTAGGCCTTCAGCATAAAAAGCAGGGGAGATGTGAAAGCAGTGGCCAGTGGGTCATGCAGTGATCGTGTGGAAGCCAAGCTGATCTTACTTCTTCAGTGGAAGAAGGGTGTTGTAGTTTCTCTTGTTAATTAGAATTTTGTGTTTGTGTTTGATCATGTCAGTTTTTGGCTTCTTTTTTTTTGAAAGAAGCTTGTTTTTAGTTCAATTGTGTATCCACTTTAAGTTGTTAATAAATCATTTGTTAATTTTCCCTGTTCCCCGTCTTTTTTCTTCATCCCTGATTTTACATTTTTATTGTAACTCCACTCATCCCCATCTCGGGGAACAAAACAAGCTCCTCTAAAAACAGAGTTTTTAGAATGACAAAGACAACACAAAAACAGAATCCAGAACAATAAGTCCAAACATAAGCAAGAAAAACATCAGGGTACAGATCAGTTAGAGCAAGGAGACAAAAGATGTTTAATCACAGAGAGGAAATGAGAGGACGAAAAAGACGAGGCTAAAACAGATGAAATCAAAACAATATAAGAATATTAATATAAATACATTGGAACATTTCTCAGGAGTAACAAACACACGTTCTGTGGATAAAGATTTCCACTGCACGTTCGGCTCATTACAGATTCAGCCTCTCTCTCCTCACCTGTCCGTCATAAATGACGGTCGCCATCCCGTCCCTGTCCTCCTCTGCGAATAAAAACACCATGGCCCCTCCTGGCACAGTCAGCTGTCCGGGGCCCCGAGCCATGTAAGGGGTCCGCAGACGCATGTACCGAGAATCCCTGAAATGAAGCGTTTGCCGGTGTTATCTCCTCTCTGTGTTATCAGCTCAGAATAATACTTTAACTTTGTGACAGGTGATACTCACTGAGGTCCGTCCACTTTGGGTTCATAGAAACCAGGTTTCTGATGGAGAAGAAGAACAGAGTTACTGAAGGGACTAAGTGATAACATTATTATTTATTATTCATGTTGACACTGTGATCCTTTTACCTGCATCCTTAAAGGTTCAAAGCCTCCAAAGTCATCATTGGGAATCATGGAAGAAATCACCTGAAAGCAAAAATTATCTGCAACTTCAGATTTCACTTCTTTGTAAAAACATGTCATACTTCAGTGTTCTATATTTTAATGGTATCAAACAATATGTGTGTGATTCAAATTAATTACATCTTCTTTCTCAAGCAGAAAGCAGCTCGTCAGTGCTCTGGGGCAGAAATATTTTCCTCAAGTCAAGACAATATTTATGGCAGGATTAAGAGAAGTCAGTTCTTGTGTTCCGTCACAGTGACAGCATTAACCCACAATCTCCCCCTCTCTGGGTTTTCTTTCTCAGATGGGATTCTGAAGAAGCACAACTTGGGCTCATCCTCAGTTTGTGCCTCTAACTAAACAACAACAACTTTAATTTAAATAAATGGTTAAAAGACATAGTGGTGGGGGCGCCCCATGTTCAGAAGCTGAAGTCCTTGAAAGCGAACGGCCCGGGTTCGAATCCAACTCGTGGCTCCTTTCCTGCATGTCATTCCCTACTCTCTCTCTCTCCCTCCCTGTATCTAAAGAAAGGCATACAAAGACCAAAAATAATAATAATAATAATAATAAAAACAAAACTGGTTAAGAAACATAATGTGGCAACTCAGACAGGCAACTTCTCGGTAGTGCGAGTTACAGCTGTAGAAAGTCTTTCCTGCCAGGTGGGCGGTGACATCACATCAACTATGAATATTCTGCATTACACAGGTTATCTGTAAGGGACTATGTTGAGTTCCAATTTAAAGCTTGGACTGCTTCATGTCTGTTAATTTTATTTTAACTTAAATCACAAATCACCTTCAGTTTGAAGCGAGCTTCAGGTCCATCACACATTCTGCTGCTCTGATTATTTGTAGCCTCAAGGAGACATTTTGGCTTTTTGAATCCATAAACTGAGCGGTTATAGACTCAGTTGCATTTTCAATTTGAACAAATGCTCCAACTGTTCTGGCTGTACCCGCTTGTTGGTATGTTGATATACAGTTTATTCTGAATGATGTGGCTCGATCAGCGGCTTTTATCAGACTTGAATACGAGAGAAGAAATGCAGCTGTTAGAATATCACTAATGAACAGTTTACCATTTTAAAATCTTTTCCCTCACTGAATACAACTAAACATTTCCTTGAGAGTTCTCCAAAAGCAGGACTAATCTGAAGGGGGGGTCTCTGAGTAAATCTGTTGTGTTCCACTGACACGCCACTTTTGGTTTATTCTTTCTCCCAGCGTGGCAGAAACATCTTACCATACACCTACTGTATAGAAAGCATTGATGATGGGGTACCTCTACCTTTGATTTGCCCAAGAAGTCTCTTTGCTGCAGCTGCTCCACTTCCTGTTTCCTGGGACGAAACACCACCCCCTCCGGCACCAGCAGAGGAGCCAGGACCTCCTCCCTCTGAGAAGAAAAAACAGAGAACAAAGAATATGTATAGACATGTAATTACCTTTTCCCCCAAGTTTAAAATCACTGATGTAAATCAGAATACCATCAATAAATGGTCAAAATCATGTTAAGAACAGCCATTAAAGAAACATTGAAATGTCAGCACTAGACTTCAGAGTCAGCTCTCACTTTGTTTTCTGTTTGTATCAGGTATGTAACAGTTTCATCACATGTAGCAAGAGTCGGGTCATGAATTCATATATTCTGCATGTTGGTATTATTGTCCATCCTCATGTTGCATGAACTTTTCCATGCATGCTCACCCTGTCATCAGCTGTTCTCACATCCAATAGCTCTGCTCCACTCCCTCATTGTTAGCCTTTCATATTGCTGATGGCTTAAAAAAAAAAAATGGATTTGTCTCCCTCCGGGGCATTTATGCCATTGTTCTGTGCGTCCCTCCACCTCCCCATAAATACCCAGTCTTGGCAGTTTAACAAGCTTCATACTACTAGACAACTATTCCACAAATCTGACAAACTCTGTATTCAATGTGAGACATTTGAAAGAAGTGCCTTCCCTGAGGCTATTCTGCAGTTTGAAAGTGTTATTGTGTTCATGGTTGATTTGTTATCTAAAGGTTGTTTCAAATGTTCTCTGCCCTGGTTACTATGAGCACATACTTTTTCTAACGACATTTGGCAGTGTGAACTCGATTATGAATGAGATGAGCATAAATATAACTTGGTGCCTCATCACTCCAGAGATCAACGCTCCTGCTGGCTGTGACTTTTGATCCTACGCAGCAGACATTCCTGCTGCGGGAACTACACCACCTGCACTCACTTTACAATGACACACATTTTGCAGAATACACTTTACCATGTTTTTCTAACACTAATATGTGTCTCTAGTCTGTCTACAACCCCCCAATAATGAGAAAAGTCCATCCTCTCACATCTTTTGCCTGCTCCACTTTTCAGGAAATGTGTGCTCAAACAGGCCGTTTGGCGATTTTCCCTTCATGACATCACAAAGGGCAGTAACCCCTCCCCCAGGTGGGTGACACTCCCACAGCTAGGTGTTTGTTCTTCCATCTGAGTCTGCCTCAAACAATCTGGCATGATACAGGAAAGCCAGAGCCACCCAAGCCCTTCCAGAGATGGGGCGTGGTCAGACATAGTTCATTTACATTTAAAGGTACAGACACAGAAACAGCCTGTTCTGAGCTGGGCTGAAATAGAGGGCTTTATAGACATGATCAAATACAGGATCAGAGTGGATTTCAAACAAGAGACTTCACACACATGTTTTGGGGAGCTCTGAGACTTGTTTAAACTTGTTGAAAAGGAGGCTAATATGTGACCTTTAAATGGGTTAATTGTCCTTCATTATGACTGATAAATGGCACACCAACTGGACAAGTTTACATTTGATTGAATCTTAAAGTGAAGATGGCTCAAACTTTCCTCACCTAGTAGAATAATTTTGTTACTGCTGTTGTTATGGTAACATGGCAGTTACAGCTCTACATAGAGATACAGCACAAACAGTTCAAGAGCAGTTGACTTTGGACATTTTTCACCACAGCAACTCACCATGACGCTGTCCAGAGCCGCCTCTATGTTCCCCCCTCGAACTCCCCCTCTCTCCTGGGATGCTGACAGCAGCACCTCCCTCGACTGCTCCCACTGGCCCATCCGACAGTAGACAGCTGCGGCATTATACAACACCTAGGGGACGCATCACATTTAGAAATTTCAGTAGCAGCCCATTAATATTCATCCATTTTTACTGCATGTGTCAACACTCACTTTTACTTCATCATTTACACACAGAGAACTGTTTTGTGCAGGAACAAGTACCACAGATTGAATCATCATTTAGCTAAACATTTTGTCTTTCCAAACTCTCTTTTTGGTTTTGGAACAAAAACACCCCATGCACTGAGTTATTAAGACACTGGAGAGTGAAGCTATCAGCTCACACTTGTCAGCTCCAAAAGGTAGAAATCAGCAGAGCAACATAAGATGCTTCTATTCAAGCTGTGATTTAAACAGCCAGAGACCTGTGCCAGTTTCACTAGTTTGAAGAAAAACAGCCTCAGATATGTCTTGCAGAATTAATTCATTTGTGTGCTTCATTTGTCAAATACACACTTACGATGTACTCACTAAGAACTAAGGTTTTCAAATGATTTGTCCCTGAAGAGCAATGTTCTACTCACAACTATTTATTTGCCTTAGAGGAAGTCTTTCTTGAACTGAGGTTCATGAAGGTTTTGGTGTCAGACTAAAGGCTGCAGCAAGGATATATTGTAGAACCCTCACAGGACTACGGGGTTATGTAGGTGCAATGACCAGTTTTAGAGCATCCTAGACGGGTTCTAGATGATACACTTGTATCATAATATAAAAGGTTTCTATAGACTTTTTCACATATTCACTCCAGAAAATTCCACCTCACAGCAGGAGCCTTTCCCTGTCAGACGAGTGAGGGGGTCTCAGGAGGCAAGACGTGACGTAAAAAGATTAGCACAGAAATGGCAGACAGAGCAACAGAGTGCTATTATTAAAATGTCTGCCTTTATATCAATGCTTCGTGTTCTTCAAAACATTTGCTGTATGAACTAAAGAGTGAAGAAGAACATAGAACAGAAAACATAATGAAGCAGTTGTGTTGCTTGCATCGAGATTGCTTCGTTTGCAGGATATTCAACATCATCACACCCTCCGTCTCCTCGTGTTGAATTTAAAAAAGGACATTTTACTGGAAAGCTGGCAGGAAAAATTCTGAGTAATTTCAAATTTGGCCATTTGCGTTCACACATGCGGCTTTGACGGCTGAATTGTAAAATGCAAGAAACATTCCAGTGATGGTTTGAAAGCGATAAAACACTTGAACCGGGGTAGCCTACAGTTTGCCATCACTTAAACATTTTTTTGAGAGCGCCCTTCCTGGACTCTAAAAGCAGAACATTTATCAGCAGAGTTAATGGATGTAAAAGCATTTAGCCTAGCTTCACCACAGACAAAAGGAGCTTTGACATTACTGCACAGTGCAGTGATACAAGACAAGCTACAAGCTACAAGCTACAGGCTACAAGCTACATGCTACAAGCTACAGGCTACAAGCTACATGCTACAAGTTACAGGCAACAAGCTACAAGTTACAGGCTACATTTGACTGATTTTATCGTGCCTAAAATGTAAGTAACACAAAGATGCTTTACGACAATCACAAGTTTTTTGCAATTTAGCAACCATTGTTTTCCCTTCATCATCACCATTATCATCATCATCAGTACCATCTTCATGCATGCCTTAGTACAGCTCATGTAATCCACTTTACAACCAGTGTAGATAAGTTAAGTTTGTTTATGAAATCAGTACATCTTTTTTATCAAATCAGATCCGAATCAATGAAGTCATAGCTTCATTTTTAACGATGTTCAAAGTTCAACAAAAGAAAATCCCGCTGATGATTTAAAGTGCCTCCCACTCTTTACACCTTAGCTTCGCTCTATCTGTCTGCAGGTGCATCGTGTCTAGGAGGCTGCAATGTGTCTTATCCGTGTTTCAGAAATATGTGCTGTTGTGTAACCTCGTCTTAGCCTGCATCAATAGGGCTTTGTATGCTCTCAGGTGTGTGTGACATTTCAACCACACAATGGAGGTGATGAGGATTCAGCTCAGTTCGCTCTGTTTTTATTCCACATCACTGACAGAGCTCATCTGATCAGGAAATTTCCTTTTCATTTCATTTTGTCAGAAGAAGCAGACTGAAGGCCGCCGTTTACCTGTCTCCACGCAGGTGTGTGAAGCACCCTGTGTGTGTGTGTGTGTGTGTGTGTGTGTGTGTGTGTGTGTGTGTGTGTGTGTGTGTGTTTTAGGCTGAATGTCAGACCTGCCAGCTAAACAGTTTGAATCGTAGTCCAAGCTGTCTGTAGTCGATGACCATGTTTCCTCTCATGTGTTTCTGTGCCCAGATGCAGTCCGACAGAGCCTCTTCCAACCTGCACACACAAACAAACAGAGAGATACTGTCAGTTATAGATGGAAAATGCTTTAAAACTAGAATTCAGGACCTGAATGTCTGTACAAACGCAGGACTCTGTGGCCCAGAAACTTCCTGGAGTTTTCAAATGATTACTAGCAACCCCGCAGTGATGAAAAGTCTCCAGGAAGTGAAGGTCAAGACCAGTGACGGTTTTTACACAACCCCCTCCTTATTGGATGGATACAACAAATATTTCATGCTTTGGGGGTGGAACTTTCCTTTACAAGACGATCTGATTCAAAACTGGATTCATGGGCTACGATCACATTCATTAACAATCCGTTTGAATAAAGAGCAATTTCATCCAATTCATCCAAAGCAAATTGATGATGGAATTCCAAGAACTGTTATTTTGCTTTATGGAACTGAGAGAAAATGGGGGGAAATTTATCACTTCAAAATAACATGTCTTCTGTTTTGTTAATTATAAATCAGAGAGCATCCAACTTAAAATATTCTAGCAATGAGCGAGGAAGGGACAGAAACTTTGATCTTAATGAGGAGGTATGGTTGACCCTGTCAGTAGGGATGACATATTTTTTCAGAAGCTGTGATTGGTTGATCTCAAAAATAGAGAACATAAAAAGAGCTTGCTTAAACTTGCTATACACTTGACGATTCTAACAACATGCAGACCACAGACTTAAGGACATTTTCAACTGATTTTTAACATCATAATCCTCCAAACGCACATACTAGAACAGTGTTTTTCAAAGTGGGTGTCCAGAGAGTACCAAAGGGGTCGTGAAAACTTGGAGGGAAAGAGAGAGTACAGTGGACCAAGAATAAAAAACATATTACAGTATTTGTATCGTAATGTGTATTATTAGATGTTATTCATAAATGCATATTTAAATATACAGTACATACATTTTTATGACAATCTTTCACTAAAAATAATAACATGTGTTAGTTCAAGGAATTTAAGAAATGTTGCAAGAGGGGGGTCCCCGCCTGGTCTTAGTATAGTTTGGGAACCACTGCACTAGACGACTCACTAGACCCCACACCTGTCGTTTTATAGTTTTTTTTAACAATTTACAGACACGAGATCTCTCAGAAACCTGCGTGATCAAATGTGAAGAAGAAGAAATATGGAGAACATACAGTTAATTTGCTGACTTGTGAAGCAGTCTCTTCACATGATGAACAGTTCTCCATTTTCTCCTCAGCTTGAGAAACTCTTCTGCCTCTATAAATTCCAAGATTTTGGAATTTATTTTTATAATTTAGTCTGAAGTGGGCTGCACGGTGGTGCAGTAATTAGCACTGTTGCCTCACAGCGAGGAGGTTCCTGGTTCAAATCCCCGTCGGACAGGAGCCTCTCTGTGTGGAGTTTGCATGTTCTCCCCATGCATCCTGGGTTTTCTCCAGGTACTCTGACTTCCTCCCACAGTCCAAACACATGCTCATTAGGTTAATTGGTGACTCTACATCACCCTTTGGTGTGAATGTGAGTGTGGCTGGTTGTCTGTCAGCCCTGTGATTGACTGGCGAACAGTCCATGGTGTACCCCGCGTCTCGCCCCCCGAATGGGAAAAGTGGTAAAGAAAATGGATGGATGAATGTTCTACAGTGGTTCAGTTATGAAGTATTTGGTTTGCAGCTGTAGGCTGTAACATACAGGTGTAGCTTTGCATTGGAGTGAAACTTAATTAACACATCGGACTTCTTGCCTTGCATTTTCTCTTCACACTATTGGCGCTCTGACAAACACTAGTGAACACCACAACAAGCTGCAAACATGATTTTTTCTTATTTCTATTTCTGTCTCCCTTGTCCAGTCTTGGTTATATTACTAAAATGACAACCATTCTCTTCATACTGCTTAAGAATCCTGTTTGTTTCTCATGTATTTACTCTATGCTCTCTTTACTGAAAATCAGCTGCCTTGTATTTGACTGACATTACAGGATAGTCGCACATTTGTTTTCACTCCTATCTCAGTATTCTCTATGGTGAGTTGTTTAAAAGACACTCTGCGACACTGACATGGTCTGTCATTGTGTCACAATAGTTTCATTGTTAGTCTTTAATGTATATGGTGTATCTATCCTCCTACCTGTCAATCTGCATCATCACAGCTGCTCTCTGGAAGAAACCCACTGCCAGACGTTGATCCTTGGAAATGGTGAGGTCTAAAGCCTGGACATCACAGAGACGAGGAGACAGGTTAAAGTTCAAGTTGGACACTGAAAGTCTTTCAATATGCTTCATTTTTTTATTATTATAATTGTAAATTGTCATTTTAGACCTGCTGACCTCGGCTGTTATGGTTATTTACATCAACTGATTATCATACTTTGCTGTTCCTGCTTAAATTACTCATACTTTTACCATTATTATTACCGGCATTGTTGCCATACATCTGTATATCTGTTACATCTGTTATTGTTGCTCTGTTTGTTTGACTCTATCCCTCTCTCTCTTTCTCTCACACAGTCACAGCATATGGCTCTTTAACATGAGTCTGGTCCTGCTCGAGGTTTCTGCCTGTTCAGAGGAAGTTTTTCTTTGCCCACTATAACGTTGCTAAATGTTGTAAACAATAAAACAAAGAGTACCGTCTAGACCTGCTCTTGAGTGTCTTTTTTGTAATGACTGATAAACACTAGAATACAACATGTGGAGTTTTAATACCTCTGGCTACTTCAACTTTCCCAGTCCATACTTCCTTATCCCCTGCCTTATCCCCCCCCCCCCTTAGAATCCCTTTACACACTCAAGTCACAGACCTTCATGGCCAGTTCCAGCTCTCCCAGAGCCAGGTGAGCTGATGCAGCATTAAACAGAGTGCGAGACGAGTGTTCACTGATCTGATCCAGTTTAGCCAGAGATCCTTCCCAGTCCTTGGCGTCCACCGCCTGCACCGCCTCGTCCCACAGCCGCAGTAACTCCGTGTACAGCATCCTGCAGACAGAGACAGGAGGAGAGTAAGAGAAGGTGGAATGACATGTGAAATGTTAATGATAGGCTGAACTACACTCTTACAACTTCGCTGGTAACTCTCTATAAACAGGGGGGTCTCCAGGATTTCTGGGCCACATGACAAGATTACACATTTCATTTGTCCCCTCTACAGCCTCAGCCAACCCTGTGATATTTCTATAACCACACCTCCATTACAATAACACCAATGACCCAGGAATGATAGACTTATTGTTTGTTGTGGTGGTATCAAAACAGGCCTTTACTAGTTTCATATTGAAGTTTCAAATTCTTGTAATGGACTGCTTTAAAAAACTCAAACTTTGTGTTACAACCTCAAATCAAACCATAACAATGAATTAAACCTGGTAATATCTGAACCTTTTTGGAATTTGATTTGCTTTTAAGGCTTTTACAGTTGATTTTCCTTTTGCAAATTTGACCTTTACTATGAGAGTCATGACTTATAGAGAAACAAATATAAATACATTAATATGACAGGCTCACTAAGGCTCCTCCCCTGGGGCCCATGGCACCTGGGGCACTTTTTCCCCCAACTTCTACGCCCGTTTCAACAAATAATAAAAAGTTTGCCTGTGAAAAAGTGGTTAGTTCTCGCACACAGAGGATGTAGTCCTCAAAGTGGGCGGCCCAGGTTCAAATCTGACCTGTGGCTGTCATTCCCCACTCTCTACTTCTGACTCAATCTACTCTCCTGTCTCTCTAATAAAGGCATACTAAGCCCAAAAATAGAAAAAAATAAAATACATATAAAAGTTAAGGAAGAGGGAAAACTGCTCAGATGTTAATCAGGAACAGTCTGTGTATTTTTCCTGGAATACTTCCTTGTATTGTGACCAGCCCTTCACTGCACATGTCGCTCAGTTCACTTCATAGAAAGCTGAATAATGATCAGAGAAACGTTATAAATCCTCAGCTTTCAGACGTCTTACCTGTTGCTCCTGAGTGGCAGTCAGGTGAGAGATCAATGTGTGTGTGTGTGTGTCCGCTCTGCTTCCTCCGCTCTGAGCCGACAGGGAAGTGGGGCTGAGAGAAAACCGGCCTCCTCCTGAGTCTCCACCCTGTTGTCACAAGGAAGTCCTCCATCCACATTCCTAGCACCCACACCTGTCAACAAGAACCATTACAACACACACACACACACGTCAACAAGAACCATTACACACACACACACACACACACACACACACACACACACACACACACACACACACACACACATGAGTCACACAGGGTTTATTTAAACCTGTTTGACTTGATAACCCCACCGGAGATTATATCTCCTCATTAGAATAGATTTTATTTCAACATGAGTTTTTCCAGCAGAGGTTGTGTGTGGGATTTTTCTGCATTCATTCACATCATCTCTGTGTCACGTACACTAAGAATAGGAGCAAACAGATGAATGGTGCAGGTGGGAGGTGAAGAACTGTCCAGGTAACTGTTTTCCTAAACACAATCCACTATGACTCTTGTATTGTTATAAAAGGTTTCTGTAGTAAGTCTCATAATAATGAGTCATTCCACAATGATATCACTCTGTATGAAGCTGTAGTCGATCTCTTAGGTTTACATAATAGGATATCTGAGAAGATTAGAATCTTTCTTAAGTGACCTTTGACCTCACTTTACAAGGAACATGTCAGAGAAGGAAGTCAAGGGGAAAACGCCGGGTTTCCAGTAGACAAACATAAAGTAATACGGTTGGGTTGGCATAAAAATAATAAAGTTAACAATCAAGGAAATCCTCCAGCTAAAGGTGTGCTTTGGAGTTCATGTTGCAGCTCCTTCAGCCAACGCCTCATCCCCCCCAGGTGCAAAACAGAGCGCTTCAGGCGCAAACATTACATTTTATTTGATTATTCAGTTATTTTACTTAATTTTACTCTATTTCCCCTTTAGGATGAGTACGATGAGTGTGTTTTCCATTGTTTTCCTAAGATCTTGACTTACTTACTGTTGAACAAGAACACGAGAGAGGTCTGGGAGGGCATGAAACCCATCACAGGCTGCAAGAAGAAAGGTAACAACACAGAAGATGGGGACCCTGTGAGAGCAAACCAGCTCAACCTGTTTTTTAACAGGTTTGACTGCCAGGCCACTGCAGCGAGTGTCTGCGCCTATGGAAAGCCGATTGAAGATTTAATAGATATCCTTGATATCAAAGCTCAGTTTCCTGTACTAGTCAAGTCTTTGGCCGCACTAGTTTACTAGTAGAACGTTGAAAGACTTACTAGTAAACTAGTAGAAGGCAAAAAGTCCTACATGTTAACTAGTAAGGTGCAAAATATCTACTAGTTAACTAGTACAAAAAATTGTGTGTCAACTAGTTAACTAGTGAGCCTAAAAATGTTTACTAGTTAACTAGTAAGAGCAACAATGTCCACTAGTAAGCTAGTTTGACTCTTTTTAACCTTACTTGTAAACTAGTGAGGTTCAAAATGTTTACTAGTTAACTAGTAAGACCCAAATGTCCACTAGTATCACTAGTGATGCAGTTACAAATTTTACTAGTTTACTAGTGAGGCTCTTAAAGTTCACTAGTTAACTAGTTAGTGCAAAAAGCCAACTAGTAACACTAGTTCAGGACATTTTAGTGCTACTAGTGAACTAGTGAGGCTCAAAATGGTTAACTAGTTATCTAGTAAGAGCCAAAATGTCACTAGTTACACTAGTAGTACTCTTTTTGGCATAACTAGTTAACTACTACGGTTTTAAATGTTAACTAGTACTACTAGTGAAAGCCAAAATGCATACTAGAAACACTGGTTGAAGTACATGCTAATGAGTGGGTGGGATCAGGGCACTCTCTGAACCTTATCATTGGTTCTCCATATAGACCTCCACCTCCCACAAATTTAACCCTTTGTAAGAAGGAGCAAGTGCTGTGAAGCAACGGCTTCTTCCTTACTTTCCATGGAGAGTAAAACATGAAAATTATATATATATATTAAATGTTAGAATTGTTTTTTTAAACTTAAAATAAGATAGAAGATCATTTTAGAACTGTTCTCATGATTTTCTTTTTCCTTTTTTATCCCATCAAGACAGTATTTACAGAAAACATAAGAAAGAGTACATCTTGAGGTCAGTAGAGTGATAAAAAACAGCCCAAGGTGCAATTGTAAGTTAAAAATGAATGTGTAAATATTTCATATAAATTCATGCTGTTCTTAAAAAGGTAAAAAATTTAATCAGATAAAATTATGGACTTTAAAACAACTGGAACTTGATACATAATTTATGTTCTTGTACTTAATACGTTTTAATTTGGCCTAAAGTCGGTAAACTAAGAAAAATAAAGGGATTCAAGATTAGGGCCACGTAAAAGGAAAAAAAAACCTAAAATTTAGAGATTAAAATAGTTAATTTATGACAATAAAGTAAAATGTACGAGATTAATTTCTAGTTTAAGTCTATATCAGAAGAGCAGGAGCCGCCTGTTCGAAAATGATAAACGTGGAGCATCTTGTTATAGTAAAGGTTTGACAAATAAGGAAATAGGCTCCTTCCTTGTGTAGTCTATAAAAACAGTTTGACAAATATATCCGATAAGTTGTTTTATCAGCACATCATTATCACATTGTCATAAAATATTAGGATCCTGAAAAGATACTGGAGGCAACTGTAATTTTCCAAAGAAAGAACCACACTGACTTGGATGAAACTGTCTCTTTTGTGGCAGAGGAAAATGCTTTAGGGGTTCTCCTTTCATCATTTTTTTATTCTCCTAAATTTACATGTTTATTCTCGTACATATACAAGATTAATATTTTCTCTTTTTTTCTTTTAGATGGCTCTACTCCATCGTATAAATGAGCCCTAAAAATTAAATTTTATCATGTAAAGTAAAGGTTAAAAATTGTACTATTTGCAAATGCCCCACAGATGGTGCTATACGTACATATACTGTCTACAGTACTAGTACTACTAGTTGACATTTAGGCCTTTACTAGTGCGACTAGTAGCACAAGTCGCACTAGTAGCACTAGTTTAACATTAGCATTTAATTAGGAACAGTCTGTGTATTTTTCCTGGGAATACTTCCTTGTATTGTGACAAGCCTATGGAAAGCCCTTCACTGCACATACTGCCACCAGGACAAAGACAACACCCACCACCCTCTGCACAGCACCTTCACCAGGCAGAGGAGTGTGTTCAGTGGCAGACTGCTGTCACAATCCAGCTCCACAGACAGACTTAAGAATGCTTTTGTCCCCGTGGCCATACGTCTGTACAACACCTCACGGTTATGGTAGGGGGAAAGCACACACTTGGACTAAATCTTCCTTTTTCCATTTCCCATCTGCACAGCTGTCCCAAGAGTCAGCCTCTAGTTGGACACTTTAATGATCACCTCAATTACTTACATAGCTCCTTTAATTTAATGTTTGCACTGCCTGTTATTTAATGTCTGTTTTTGATAATAATCTCCTTTTTAAACATTGCTGTACATATACAAACAACACAACTTCAGAAGGTCAACACTATTTTATTCTTATTTTTTTATATTCAGGTCTAATTACAGATTTTTTCCTCAACTGTTTATAGATTCTTGTTTAAATTGCACATATATTTTTATCCCTGCCCGTGTTATGTACATTTCTTGTATAAGTCTATTTTTAATTGCACAGGTTTTTTCTAGGGGTATTCTTTAAATCTTTTTTTCAGGTTAATATGCATGTATGGAAGGGGGGTGTCGGTTTTGTGGTTAATTTGTAACAAATGTTTCATGTCATGTACGTCTTTGTAACCTGCTACTGGATGCTTTGAATTTCCCTCGGGATCAATAAAGTATCTATCTACTATCTATCTATCTACTTATCTCACTTATTTCAGGATAACCACGCTGGTTTTCTGGTAATAACTGTTTTTCAAGATCTTGAAAAAAAATTATATTGCATAAAAACAGCATCGTTTTTTGTCCTTTCTCAAGATAATTATGGATAGGTGTCCGCTGGGGGCCGCCATGGTGTTGTACTTTATTGTTTACTGTGGTGAATCTGTGGTGTTCTCCTGTTTGGGGTGGTCTGCAAGTTGCAGGTTGCAGACTTTCACCACCATTTCTTCACCTGCTGTTCAGGTTCAGAGGAGTAAAGTAACCAGAGATACACAAAAGAGCAACACAAGCAGTCATTCCTGCCTGTGGCCATCAGACTTTTAACACCTCCTGACCCCACTGGGAGTCGCACACTTCTTGAAGCTCGCCTTTAGACTTATTCCACCCCCGTCAGCAGCTATGACTCATCATTTATTTATAACTGGCATTTTCTGACTTGAAAGTCAAAGTCTTGTGAAACACTCATTTAAAATTTCTTGCTTTGCAACTGCTCATTGCTTCACCCTGGCTTCAATACTAAGGCTAGTTGTTAGTAGGCTATTTATAGATCACATTTTTCAGCATTTACACTGAATAAAGATATGTATTTACATATTATCTTATACAATACTATTATATTATCTATTACTTTGTTGGGTAGTTTTTTCTATTCATGTCAAAATGATTGTCTTACAAATAAAATCAAAACACTGAAACATTGAATAATTGAGAAATTGACCTTGCAGTAGTAGTTGCAGTAACTGTAAGTGTCTCACCAAATGTGATCACATCAAATGTATTTGTATTAATCAAAACGTAAGTTTAGTCCTCCTCGTTTTTTATTTCTTTTTATTAGTTTTTATTAGTCTACTCCCAGCTGATAGCCGTTGTAAGAGACAAAAAGATCGATTTTACGCATAGACTGTAAATATCACGATTTTACGAGACGCACCTAAACGCAGCACAGATGAAAACACAAGTCCTGCGTCACGTGCGATCAACGCATGCGCAGAAGAGTCAGACGCAGTCACTCCAACTGTGTTGTTGCAGCTTCTGCAACGTAATCTTGAAACATGAGTAAGGTATTAGTTGTTTTCAAGGTGTTCGTGACCCTGCTGTTTGTTGATGTGCTACACGGGCTTCCGTACAGTCATTTTCAGGTAAACGCGCTTTATTTTAATCTTTGATAGTAATGTGTTTCTGAGTCTGAGACCTTTTCGGATCAAACTTCGACTTTCAAATGACTCGTGCTGTTGTTCTCGTGATTGACACACCGGACAGATGAGAGAATAATTCAGTTTTATATAGAGTATTGTGTTTCTTCACTGCAGTCAAAGAAACGGAATGGAGAGGAGAGAGAGCCGCACATCACGGAGCTGTTCTTCACGCAGACTCTGGATCACTTCAACTTCAACAGCATGGGCAACGGGACCTTCAACCAGCGATACCTCCTCATAGGTTAAACCACTTATTCAAACCCATTTACAACATGGAGAGTAAATGAGAAAATGCCTCATTCTTTCTGTTTGCCCTCCCTTTCATTTAGATAATTTCTGGAAGAAAGGCTATGGTCCTATTTTCTTCTACACCGGAAATGAAGGAGACATCTGGGAGTTTGCACTCAACTCTGGATTCATCACAGAGCTGGCTGCTCAGCAGAGAGCCTTGGTTATATTTGCTGAACATGTAAGAGGACACCAGCACAAATCAGCACCAACATATTTGACTGGTCGTTTTGCTTATCATGCAATTTTGACTGAGTAAAGTTTACAGATCATGTGACAAAAAGGGAACTAGAGGTTTAAAGTTTGACTCAGATTGTCAGCTGAGTGTTGCTCTTCTCAACATCTTCAATTATTCTTTGACAAGGCACAGAGAGTTAAAACAACGTGTAGTCATCTGGAATATCTGTGAAAATGGACAGACAGTTGTGTGTCTATGAAATAGTCTCTGTCGCTTTTTAAAGCAAATGTAAACGTATGGATGGATGATTTTATTGATTTCCCGCTTAGTCAGAAAGTTGAGAAAATGCTCATCCAGATTTCCAAAAGCCAGAAGACGCGTCGGCAAATCATACTTTTTTTTGACACCAACATTAAAAATCTGATCATTTTCTTTATAAAGCAACAATTAGCAACAAAAAACAAACTTTTAAGAAGCTGAATCCAGCAAATGTTTGACATCTGACATCTTCTATTATCATTCTATTTTGCAGGGACAAGATTGGTTAGTCAGATACGTTTAGCCAGAAATACAAAAACCTTTTAAATGCAGATTTTAGAAGTGAATATAAAAAAGCTGATGTTTTTTATGAGCTAGTGTGACCAGAAAAGTCGTTTTAGAGTAACAAACAGATGACCACTTCCTGTATTCAGGTGCACGGTGTCATGAATTTGATCTGGGTAAAACTTCTGCTTTGACATTTCTTATCTTTGTTTTGATTCTCTCATCAAGCTTTTGTGTGTGTCTCTCACTCTCTCAGAGGTTTTACGGCAGATCTCAGCCGTTCGGCAAAGACTCGTTCCTCATCCCTCAGATCGGCCTGCTGACGGTGGAGCAGGCGCTCGCCGACTACGCCGTCCTGCTCACCGAGCTGAGACAGCAGCTGGGAGCCACTGAGTGTCCCGTCATCGTGTTCGGGGGCAGGTACGATCCAGCTGTTCTAAATATGGTCTACTCGGGTAGCTTATTGAGTCACTTTTACTTTTCTTCTTTTTTATGGATGCTTGATAAATGATCACTCCATAAGTGATTAAACAACTAGTGGACATGTTTCAAATCTCCACCTCTTAAAGTCTTAAATGAATTCATTATAGAAGACAACTTTACAAAGAGATCACATAAAGGATGCACTTTCTAACTATTAAATACAACACAGCTCTTTACACATACACACACACACACACACACACACACACACACACACACACACACACACACACACACACACACACACACACACACACACACACACACACACACACACACACACACACACACACACACACACACACACACACACACACACACACAGAACCCTAACTTGGTATCCACCCTGAGACACCAAGAAATAAAACACAAAAAAATACTAAATAAGTGGACAGATTAAAAATTAAACCTCAATTAAAAGCTTGGCTGAAAGTTCAAATCAAATGAAACTCTTTTTAGGGGCAGACTAAAAGTTCAATTCTAACACCTGTCAGTGACTGTTTCCAAAAATACAAGACAACCACTGACTTTATCCTTAAAACATATTTTGTATTAACTTTCTTTTATTTGAAGACCTCCTCTCTGTTTTCATTTATTCAGATATTCTCCCTCCTTTATCCTTAAAACATATTTTGTATTACTGTTACTTTACATGATTTGATGCTCGTAGTGGTTTAACAGGATGACAGATTTATTGTGTGCTTGTATAAACACTTTAAAGAATATGACTTGTGCTCGTCTATAAAAGTCTCATGACTGCAGTCATGCACACCATTAATCTGCCTTTCAGTTCCTCTAATCTCCAACGAGGAATTCACTTACTGTGAAAGAGATTACATCTGTGGGTTTACTAATAATATCCAAAAATACCTCACTTATAACTAACTGGCCTTTTGGTCTACACGTCCCTGATTATATTTATGTGCTATAGTTAATTTATTTACAGCATGGGTTTAGGATTACTTTGATTTAACAGGCTGTATATATTTGTTCATGACTAAATGCAACAAACAGTAAATCAACTTTTCAGGTTTTCTGACTCACACTACATGTCACATTCAGCCGTTCACACACTGATGGTAGAGGATGACACGTGAAGCAGCCATCAATATTAAAGGAGCAATATGTAACTCTAGTGTTTAAAACGGCTACTGCAATCCAAATAAAAATAAATAGAGAGGGCTGTCTCCCCCTCACCCACTCCTCCCTGAGAGAGTCGATGTGCATGCAGGTTGTCATGTTAAGCTTCAGTGTTTAACCAGCTCTGCATCGGTCTTGAAATCTTTCTGTGCATCTCCATCATTGATCTTAGTTTTACAAAGTTTCTGCTCGTGGAGCTTATGAAAAAAATGCTGAGGCTTCAAGTTCTTGATTACCTGCTTCCATCGCTGCAACACCTGTTGGTTTACTGTGATAACTGCTCTCATACCTGGCAAACTGGCTGTGTGTGGTGTGGGGCTCCTCCCTTCTCTTTGTCAAAACAAAAACAGACCAATCAGGACCAGAATCTAAAGTTAGAAGGAGAACATACTGGATGCTGCATTGTTGTCAGAGAAGCCAGCACTCCTTAATATCTGATTATATAGTAAGGTCAGTTTATGATTAAATTCTGTAGATATCTTACGTATTGCTCCTTTAAAAAATAATTTTTGAAGAGACAAAATCTATTTTTTTTATGAAGATAACAATGTTATTAGAAAAAGATGCTAATACAAACACATTAAATGTTTTTTTAATATCTTTTAGATTAAATTGTCATATTTCTGTTTTCCCTCAAAAACTGAGCAGTATGATTTCAGTCTAATAAATATTTTATCACTCCAGTTCTACTTTCTACAAACTTCTATAATCACCTGCAGATTTAATATTCTGAATATCTTATTGACAAGTTTCTTTGTTTCAGATTATGGACTATGGTTTGGAAAACTGGCACTAACCCATTTGTTGATCAAACATATTCGTTCTTTTTAAAACGTTGTATTTGATGTGATTTCTCCCTGCAGCTATGGTGGGATGCTCTCGGTCTACATGAGACTGAAGTATCCAAACATCGTGACTGGAGCTCTGGCTGCCAGCGCCCCCATCCTGTCCACTGCGGGGATGGGAGACTCCACACAGTTCTTCACAGATGTAACAACTGTGAGTGCATGGATCTTTTTTTTTCTGTCATTCAGACTGAATAGTGGACTGTTGTCTTGTTGTCTTGTTGTCTGAACTTGTTTGCTTTCATCCTGATTTCTTGTTTTCTGTCTTTCAGTCTGTTCTTCTATTCTTCCCTCTGATACATATCCTGAGAATTTTACATTCGATCAGCATCACACTAAGCTTTGCAGCGTTAGATAAGAAGTAGAAAAGGTTGCTTGAGGCTCAGTAATCCACACATTATGAAGAGGCACTTCCCTAGTGACCGATAAGCTTTTAAATATCAGATTGTTTCTCAAAACAGTTTCTGAAATATTTTCACGTGTCGTTCCTGGTAGAGAAGTGCATTTTAAATAAAATTACTATTTGACCTGGTCTCAGTCTGGGATCTTAATTTGTTAGCTTGATGCTAAGACGTAACAGAAATTGCCGTTTTGAAAAGTTACAAAAAGACTATTAATAGCTCTCAATCAAAACAATAAAAAGATGACGTTGAGCCCCCCCTCAATTTAAAACGACCTCCGCGTTGACCGTAGTCAAGACAAACGGTCTTTGACGTAACATCCTGTGTTTCCTTGGCAACGATAAACATTTTGTGTGTGTCATGGCGGCCGCCACGTCAAGCTCCTCTTAACCCAATTTTGTTCCGATTTTAAAAAACTGTTGAAAAACTTTTAAAATTCTAATTTTTCAGTTTTCTGTTATGTGTCACTTGTTTTCATTTTAATCTTTTACCATCACATCAGCATTTGTTATGTTTCCTTTTGGCAGCTCGGTGAAGAGATGTTTGATTTCTAGAATGTTTCATGAATTAAATAACTTGAAAATTAAATGTTTTTCTCTTTTCTCAGGATTTCGAGAAAGTTGCTCCTGAATGCACAAACGCCGTGAGAAGAGCTTTCCAGGAGCTCAAAGAATTAGCAGATAACAGAGGTGAATGTGTGAGGTGATATCTGGAGAGATGATTGTATTCATTTCATGTAAACAGAGGATCTGAATCAACGTTTTGAAAACATCATAGAAACCTGAAACACCTTGTTTGACATTAGAAACTTTTATCACACTGAATCTAGTGTCTAAACATGATCAGAGAGATGTTCTTTAAACCGTCTCCTGTTGTGTCTGTGTTCAGTTTTCAGTCACATCCAGTCTGAGCTCCTGCTCTGTAAGGCTCCGACGTCTGAACAGGACATCAGACATCTGTACCTGCTGCTGAGGAACGCCTTCACCCTGATGGCCATGCTCGATTACCCCTACAGCACCTACTTCATGGGCAAGATGCCGGCTAACCCCGTCAAGGTGAACCTCTTGTTCTGAAAAGACGCTAAAAACAGAACAGAAACTTCAAACAGCAAAGTCTGTACAACGTGCAATCAAATCTACCCTGATCTCAATCAGGTAAACAAATATGAGAGATCCTTACAAGGCGATATGACCTCATGTTAAACAATAAAAATCAGGTAAAACAGCATGATAATGACAAAAACATAAACCCTGCTTTGCTTGTAATAATTAAAAAGATCTGCCAATGGGGACACTGAGGCCTAGTCCACATGTAGGAGGGTTTTTTTTTTTTAAACGGAGGGTTTCCTCCTCCATTTAAAAAAAAGAATCCTGTAAAAACATGCTAAGTTCTTAAAAACTTCTCCGCCCACCTCTGAAGCAGTGTAACGGCTTTCATGAGCACGCCGTGTCATTGACATGTGAAAATGTTCTCGCCATTCCTCTGCAATGACCATTTCATTTACAAATTTGTCCATTCAGACGTCTCTGCTCGTCAACATAGTGGGAGAGTGTCTGTGTATGGATGTGTAAACATGTGAAAAGTCCAGTTAGCAACGTTAACACCAGCGCTAGTTTGGTTCCGTCTGCCATCGCTCTAATGTCATGTAAACAAACTGACAGAATCGTAGAATGACACGGAGGAGAAATCAGCGCAGTGACGCTACAAGAATAAAGCTCAGTTGTTTCTGATAGTTTTCACCTTGGAGAGAGTTTTTCTAAAGGTGCTTTTTCAGCGACCTAAAACACAGTTTATGTATGAAAGACCAAAACACACAGGAAAACCCACGTTTCTGAAAAATATCTCCTACATGTGGACCAGGTCTTAGCGTAACAATCTGAACGTGTCAGTGACAATAAAAAAAAAAGAGTGTACATACTTTGATCAGACGTACAGAATCTCTTTCCAGCTCAAGCAAGTTACTGAATCGAGTCCAAGACATTGTTTCCTGATAAAAAGATATAAAGATAGTCCCCGAGATAAATATGACATTCTCCTTTCATTTAGGTATTTATACTCTATACATTTTTCTAATAAATTGGTGATAATAAGTGAGAGTAGTGTGCAGGATTATTTTCTTTTTAATAAATAGTTTGTCACCCTACGCACCTACAGTACCTTATGAGATAGTTGGATGTGCCAAAACCTCATTAAAAAAACTTGATCTATACATTTAAAACACAATATATGATAATAAATATCTAGATTCAAATCAAATGTTGATCCCTAAAATAAATATATGAACATCAGCAGGTGTGAAGTGTGTTCAGAGGTTTAAGACAAGACAATGAACATGCATTGATAGAAAACATGCTTATTTATAAAATGAATATAAACATGCATGTGTTTGTGTTTCAGGTGGCCTGTGAAACCATGCTGAGAGGATCTGACCTGCTGGCTAACCTGAGGAACACTGCAGGTACATGCACACACAGATTACAATAGTTTTTATCATACCACTTATTTTCTGACAGGTTGTTTTATTTCTCATATTACATGAAGAGAAGCGCTTCTGTGGTTTAGCAGATGCAGTTCACATCAGCAGACACCAGAGGGCAGCAGTCAGCTTTATCAACCACTAACCTGTGTGTATAATCCTGATAAAACAGAAAGTGTGTCCTGTGCTGGTTTGAGCGTTCTGAAGCTGCTGTGCTCTGATGATCCTGGTTTCCTCCTGATGAATCGATGACTGTGTAGAGTTGAAAAGTAAAAGAGAGAGAACAGAATCTCGAACTCAAGAAAAAACAAATATACGTACATGATGCAAGTGAATGATATGGATGGCCTTAATTTCTTTAAACTAGAGACTGAACGGTCTCCATCTTTATCTTCATTGAATCTATAAGGAAGAAAAGTCAGCATCATGAAACTTTCGAGTATAAATAAAGGTTGAAAAAGAATAGTTGGGAGAGTCGGTTGTCTCTCAACTGGAAGGTCGGGGGTTTGATCCCCAGCTCCTGCAGCCATGTGTTCAGTGTGCTCCTGTGGTGATGTGTTAACATTTATGAATGTCCTTCAGGGATCGTGTACAACACCACCGGGACGCTGGCCTGCTTTGACCTGTACGGGCTGTTTATTGAGTGTGCTGATCCCACCGGCTGTGGACTGGGCTACGACAGCCTGGCCTGGGACTACCAGGTACTCAAACAACACAGAATATAGTATATGTATGAACTTTGACTATAATGTCAGTATGTGATCAGGACAGGTCGGTATAAGGTAAGTGAGGTTTTTGAAACCTGGGCCCTCTATGACTGACAGGTACAAATGGTTTAAGAATTGCTTCAGATTATTAGCTGCAAAACATCCTTTAGCCTATAATATCTGCATCTTAGATTCACCCAATCAAAGTACATCGACTATGGAAGTATGTCTGTGTCATCTGATTTTGAAACTAAAAAGCCATTGAATTTCTAGCACTGAATATTTCTACACTGTAAATATGTTTCTGAATTGTTTGCCCTGTTGTGTTTGCAGGCGTGCACAGAGATCAGCATGTGCTATGAGAGCAACAATGTGACCGACATGTTTCCTCCCCTGGGCTTCAGTGAGAGTGACCGAGAGGAGTACTGCTTCAGACGCTGGGGTGTGGTCCCCCGACCGAACTGGCTCAAAACACAATTCTTTGGTGACGGTGAGCACTGAACACTGACACATTCACTCGCTTTAAATCAGCCAGTCAAAGCAGTCAGTCATACAACAGCTAAGTGAAAGCTACAGACGGAGAGTTAAGCCAAAAGCAAAGTGTCTTTCACTGCATTCTTTTAATGACCAGCAGGGGGGCCTTTCCACTGTTTTCAGAAAGTAGGGTATAAGAAAAAGAGTTTACAGTTTATTTACTCCCTCAGTAAACATTTCCCTGACATGTTCTCAATCTTTAGTTGAAAGTCTTCTTCAACACAGCATGATGTTCATTTAGTAAGTTATGTTCCCATTTAGAGTCTAATAGACCAGAAAGAAGGCGAGGATTTAGTGCGCGGCTACCCACCGAGGCGACATGTAAACTACACTAAAGGTGGTTCCCTCAGCCGACTCATTTCCCAGTTGGTTAAACGGAAATTTAAAAGACCTAAAACACAAGTCTATATGTAAGGAAACACCCACTAAACAGTCCAAATTGAGCACAATTTACTTAAAACCATCCGTCAGTAAAAGGTAAACAAATTAGTTTTCTGAGTATGGCTGACGTTAGCAGTGCTCGCACCACCAGCCATCGGTCCTTCTCACAGGTTAAAAAGTGTATTTTGCATAATGTGTGACCTTTAAGATTTACATCTGAAGGGGGTGACAGATTGCTTCTTTAGTTTAACCGCAAACACACAACTTTAACTCCACTTAATCTAAATACTGCCCGATGGGAAGCTCCTACGTGATGCTGTGTAGTACGTTCACTGTGCTTGTTTACATCCTGGCAGTAGAGTGAAGAGAGAAGGCCCTTTAACTGGTGCTACAGCCAGTGTATGTCTGGCTTCAGCCCCGTCTAGTGGCAGGTGGCTGCATTACAGTTTGAGCACAGAACTTGACCGCCAGCTGAATTTCCAGTTCTCAAATTCCTGAGTATTCAGGTTTTCTGTTCCTCTGATGGTGTTTTTGTTTCTCATGACTCTCCTCTTTTCTTCAGAACTCTCCTCAACCAGCAACATCATTTTCTCCAATGGAAATCTGGACCCGTGGGCCAACGGAGGGGTAAGTGATGATCACACAGAGTTACCCCTCAGTAAACTGTGAAGTGTCTGTTTTCAGCCTGACTCATTCAGATCTCTGCTGCTCAGGTGCGTCAGTCCCTCAGCCCTTCACTCGTAGCTCTCAACATCTCTGGAGGAGCTCATCACCTGGATCTGAGGTACAGCACAACAGACTCACCTTCAGGCTATTTTTTTTAAACACTCCAAAGAATTCACAACATTTCTCTTTTTATGCTTTACAGAGGGTCGAATGATGCAGATCCAGTGTCGGTAATCATCGCTCGCAGGACTGAAGCAAACCTGATCGCACAGTGGGTGGACAACGAGAGGATCAGATTAAGAAAATCACCATAAAACACATTTTGTTTTTGGACTTCTATGAGGAAAAACAGACAAAAACATTTATCTCTAGTCAAATCTGAAGTTAATTCTTAGATTATTATGGCAGAGGCTTTTACATAACGACCATCCCGGAGACTGAAAAGATAGAGAACGTTATTTCACTTACAGTAAACTTCTGGCTCCCTGTCTGAGTGTGTTGCCCGTCAGACGGAGTCTCTCACTGCTGAGGGAAATAAAAACTTACCTCTGACTGCTCGAGGACAATCCATTTGGCTGAAACATAATTCTTTAACATCCGAGGTATTGAGCTTCTTTCAAGAGAACGACACCCGAACATTTTCACATCGCGCTCCCAGAACACAGAGCATCAGAATCAATTCAAACAGGAAGCTGGATCAGTAACTCTGTAACGATCTCTATTGGTCAGTGATCATCCTATAGTGATGAAAATTGTTGCTGCTTAGTTTTCTTGAAGCTTTTGTACCAACATGTCTGAGATGACTGCAGACTGTCTTTGTTTCATCGCTCAATCATCGACACAAGACTTTCTTCTCCCTGTTTGATAAAATCTCTTTTTATTTGTTTTTTTTACAAAATAAAGCCAATCCAGCGTTTATTATATGTGGCGTAAACAGTTCATTGTATGTTTTGAAAAGATTGAAATAAAAAAAGGAAAACACTGAACTGTACTACACCATCCACTGACCCCGATGTGAATCTGTGTATCTCTGAACATTTAAAACAGCCCCTGTAATGCTCTGACAAAAGAAAGCTGCAAACTTTATTTACAGGATATCTGAAGCATCTTTTTAACACATTAGTCCTTAAGAAACTGCAGCACATTCACAAATGTTCTCTCTTTGCACTCAAATGTTTTCATGATGAGTAAGAGGCCACATCAACTTTGACCCAAAACATGATAGAAAATGGCAGTGTATGTTCCCATAGTGACATTTAAGCCTTAAGAAAAACTAAATCAGAACTCATCATCCCTGTAAACAGATGAACAGCACACTGTCTGATCTAAGAAAAGCCTTTCACGCTTCATTAGGAGACATGAAAACGTGCATACAGTGACAGCTGATTCTCTTTAGTACTGTGGTCTAAAGGAGGTTTGAGGGTAACTTCATTTTTGAGTGCATTTAGATGATGCCCCCTTAAAGGCAGGGTTGGTAATTTTCTCTAGATTCACTTTTCAAGATTTTGGTCGAAGTTGTCTTTAGGTCCTGACAGATATTAATAACTCATGTGCTCTCAAAAAGGAACTAAGAAAATCTGTCGTCTGTAGCAGTTGTAAGCCTGTAAAAATGTCTGCACGAGGTACCAATCTGATGAACCAATCAGACGCCTTCCTGTCTCCCTGCTCGCTCTCTACTGCTTGTGTGCACTAGTCCACACTTAAAGCGCGTCACCGATGACAGAGTTTATACTCGGCTAAATTTCTACACAATGAAAGCGATGAGCTGAGGTCCGCTTTTGGAGCAACGGAGCTCGTGCATGTAAGTGAGGGGGCGTGGCTTTTGCGGGAGCGCAGAGGGGAGGGGGTGCAGACGGAGCACTGATGGAATGCTACTTTTAAAACCATCCTAGTTTTCTTAAATTACCATCCCTGCCTTTAAATGTACTTCTTACTGAGCCCTCATTATGAACATAAAAGGGAATAAATCTCTGCATGTCTGTGTGCAGACTCCGACTAAGTACTCAATGACTTTAATCCCAAAATAAGAATCACACTCCAAAAAAAAAAAAGAATCCACACAACTGAAATTGTTATCAAAATCACTTAAATATTTCCTTTTAATTCAGTTTTTCCTGAAAAGAGTGGCTTTGGAAAAATGGCTTTTTAATTGATTAAATCCCAAATGATATTTGATTCTCAGTGTGTCTTTGGCTCGGGGAGATGCTCAAATACATCCATGGAGGGATCACACAGAGCCCTTGTACGCAGGATTTTAAATACACACTGGTAGAGATTGGTGTTACGTAAAGCTAAGGCTTGCTTTGAAGGACAGCTATAAATACATCGATAATTTTTTTCATCATTCAACTGGAAAAATACTCTTCCGCAGTGATCCTGATGGCCTTTGTACTGTGTCGATGTGTGCACATGTAAAAACAGCTCGAGTGGAAGGAGAGGTGACAGTTTACGGTTGTCTTTTGAAAGTTGTCTGAAGCAACATTAAAGGCACGAGTGAGACAACACAAAGGAATTAAATATTTACAGGTTTGGTCTCATTATAAATTCATAAAGTTCAACCAATCAAACGACTTGAAGTAAACCATTATTTACAGGAATGACTGCAGCCGCTCCGAAGCTGCTGCTACTACAGGAAACTACGCCAAATGCACGAGGAGAGTTTACGATAGCTGCAATTATACCTTTGAAAATATACACTACAAATCAATATATTACACTAAATCAATACTCTAATTCATTTCTCTCACTTAGAAGAAACACAAATGTATGCTACATCTTACTGAAGAGAACCACAAAAAGAAGAACGAAGCTGAACGTTCAGAGAAAAGAGCGACGACGCTCCACAGAAACACTACAGAGCTTCACAGTTTAGAGGAAAATCTGCTGCCTGGCAACAACAGTGACGTCATCTGAGCCCCAAGTACTCACGGATGCTGCGTTCAGGTCAAATGGGAATTGGGAAAGGCTTTGCAAGTCTTTAAGAGTTTTTCAGATATTTCAATCCCCACAGCTTACATCTCCATCATTTAAAGCAACATTCAATTATTTTAGAAATGTGATGCATTCACTGTTACAAATATGCACCCAGCTATCAGCACATAGAGGGGAAGAAAGGTGCCTCGTATCCCCCTCCATCAGACTTTGAGCCTGGTTAGTGTCAGCCTTTCGTCAGGCTGCAGTGAGAACAATGACCCCATCTCTGTTTTCTCAATGAACTGAAGGTTGATGTGACTGCAGTAGTCACATGTCCGGTAAGACATGACCGTAGCATGAAGGAACAGCCGAAGCATTCAAACTGAAGGCCTGCTCACACCCTGTCAGGAAGCTTCCCCCGTTTATAAGCAGAATACAGACGCTATCTGAGAACGATTGTAAAATACAGCAGCCTAAAGACTGTGTTACACACAGTGTGACGCCCCCTGCAGGAGCAGAGCAGGGTGTCGCTGCAGCACACAGGAGATGTTAGCTCAGACAGCTGCTAGCTGCTGAACTTTTCGCTACAAAGGTTACCGACCTGCTGCCCCTCGCAGTGCAGGGCTCAGACCAGCAGCACACCTGCTGCCCCTCCCAGTGCAGGGCTCAGACCAGCAGCACACCTGCTGCCCCTCCCAGTGCAGGGCTCAGACCAGCAGCACACCTGCTGCCCCTCCCAGTGCAGGGCTCAGACCAGCAGCACACCTGCTGCCCCTCCCAGTGCAGGGCTCAGACCAGCAGCACGCAGGCAGAGATGGAAATGTTCACATTTTACCAGGAAGCCAAACTAAGAAGGAACGTTTTCAAAAACAGCATAGTCCTGACGAACAGCTTCCAAGCCTCAGCTATATCAAACTTGTTCTCTCCCTGCCTGCACGACTTTTCTGTTTGATTAATAAATCGCTCAATCCACTTCAGCTCTGGGGAAGGATCTAAAAGTTTTCAATACATCGATTCATTCTGGATACCACGCATTTTAAAACGATACAATCTCTGTCATTCAATGATCAAGGTAACGAAAAGTACAAAAACGTTGTAATGAATCAACTGTCTAAGTTGCAGAAAAACTTTGGCAACATTTCAGTACAGAGTGCAGGGGCTTGCCTGCAATCTTTGATCACTGATAACAAGAGATGATATTGGGGTTCCGAGGACTTTGATTATTGTTGCCGTGGTAAAACAATATTGCTTGATTTGAAGTTTCATATCAAACTTTAAAATTCTGGTATCGTGACGACCCTAGCATTAAGTCAGAAAAACACAACAAGGCAGCTCTCAGAGTTACTAGCCCAGCCGGTTGGTTTTGAAGGATTTGCTCTCAGTCTACATGGAGCGTCGAGCGATAATGAAGCTGGCACAGACTCTCTGTCTTTGATGCTACTATGACACTGCACTTACGCTCCTTCCCATTGGCTGTTTGGACTACAGCTCCATTTGTGTTGCGCTCTAGCACAATAAATGATTTTCTTTTCATGACAAAACTGTAGAAAAAGTGTTTAACACTCAAAAGCAGTTATTCTATATTTCTTTAAACTCTGAATAGATTTTCACTCCCTGAACAGCGTCACTAAGTGAACCCCCCCCCCCTTCAAAACTAGATACAGACTTTGCTTCATTCTGCTGCTTCAGGAACCATTTCCACTGTAATAACAAGAATAAGAGGCAGGAGTTAAAGAGAGCGAACAGGAGTTGGAAGGTGTTTTTGAGGGGGAGGGGGGTTTCATGGTCCCTTCTGTAAGAAACACAACGGTAACTGAACTGAAACAGAGCTATACGAGAAGCTTTAAACTAAAATGTATGGGTCCAACTCGACACTCCTCCACCTCCTCCTCCCCATCATCACGTGGTTAAGACATCTTCGACTCAAGTCACAATCAGGTTTTTGTTGAATGCTGATTAGCTGTCATGACGACCAAAAACAAACTTTGACACTACAGGGTCTACAAGCGGTCTGTGAGACAAACACTCAGCCACTGACTGAACTAGGCTTTAGTGGCTCAAGGGGGGGGTCTATGTTTTATGGCTGTTAGCACATAGAAAACATGTAATTCATCAGTAAAAAGGAGGCTTTCTCCTGCTGTGGTCTGTCATGTTTAGACAACATCTGGTCACTGAGACAGAAGACGTAGGAATCATCTTGTTATCAGACCGTCCCTGAGATGTCTGTGATGTGTTTATGTGCGGTTGTGTATGTGTGTGTGTATACACGTGTGTGTGTGTGTGTGTGTGTGTGTGTGTGTGTGTGTCACGCAGTGGAAGGCCATATAGGCAGGGGATGAGCTTCTGTGTTAAAGACATATTGGTCCAGGCTGATGAGGTCTGGGTCGTCAGAGAGAAGCAGGTACAGGTATTTCAGCGTCTCTCCCAGGAAGAAGCTCTCCATCTTGTCTCGAGGACTCGTGTAGTCCGGGTCTCGCACGTTATTGATTGAGGTGTAGCCGCCAGAAGAAACCTGGGAGGGAAAAATACAAATATTCACAGAGTCTTTTTTATTACTTCTGTTCATATAAACGTTTAAAATGAGTTATTTATTGACCCTGACCCAAAAGAAAACTGGATCGGAGCTGCAAAAAGTATTCACCGGTATAACCCCTTTTCTACTTTCTATTTATTAATGGATGGATGGATGGATGGGAGTAATGAAGTTAAACATATTGGGAATGAAGTTGAAACCTTGATAATATGGTGGTAAGGTTAAGAATAAAGTCAAATTGTCCACAATAAACTGAAAATATCAGGAATGACATGAAAACGTTTGACTGTATGGATTTTATTGGTAATTGGATTCCCCCAAAATCACACACACAAAATCTGTCTTATAAAATTATGGTATGCAGGTATCTTTTGACTTGTCTTTATCAACACTTTCACTGACCTTGGTGTACTTGTTAAAGTTTTGGAGGATCTCCCAGCCCCAGTCTCGGTACTTGTGGTCCCCGGTGAACCTGTACAGGTAGAAGAGACTCTCCACCGTCTCTGGTCGCAAGAGGTTGTGTCTGTCCGCAAGCTGTCACAGAAAACACAGAGGAGGCCGAACACTACTTTACCAGCCACACCTAAGACTTCACAGAGTAGTGCTACTACAGAAATCTATCCCTGAAAATCAGAGAGAACAATAACAAGTTTGGGTGATGTATATTTTCTTTTCCCCGGGAAGAGCCTCAAGATGATGCAAACTAAGTTTGTAAGAACGACATTCAAGGACAAATATGTATGATTAGAGGACAGCAGCACTGTCTACCTTTACGTCGATATCTCTGTTGCTCCCTTCATGCATGTTGAAGTGGACGATCTCTGGACTGAGGCCCGTCTCCATCTGGACGTACATCTGGTTGCAAGCCTCCATCAGCTGTTTGGCCAGATCCATGTGATCAGCGGGCAGGCCGTGATGAGCTCCGAGGGCCAGAGTGCCCGGCAGGAAGCACACCAGGTGGTCCTGCAACGAATTCAGCTGTGTTAACCGATTTACCTGATATCGACCACTCAATAAACATTACTAGTTCATACATGAAGGAGTTCCTTCAAAAAGTTTCCTCTGCAGTCTTCTTAAACCAAGAAGAAGAAAACAAATGTTATCAGCTTTGATGTGCAACTGTCTGCTCTGCTGACCTTTTTTGTCGATGCGATGTTGTGAAGTAAAGTCTGCATTATAAAAAGCTACATCTGCCTTTAAGAGCAGAACTCTGTGTACCTTCAGTCTGACTCCAGTATTAGAGTTAGCAGAGTCTAGATGTTCTTGAGGTTAGAGGTCAGGTGTCTGTTTACTTCAGGGGCATGAACATGTAAAATTGTTCGAAGCTGTTTTATTGAAAAAGCATCTCAATGTTCAGCAATGTGTGGAGCAGCCATCTGTTAGAGGAACAGTAGTTCACCATTGATGCACATCCAATGAACTGAAAGTCTTGCAGTGACGAGTCAGTTGCTTTAGTTGATTTTAGTGCAAGTGTTGGGTCATATGTATTTTGAAGCTTAAAAGAAACCAATAATGTCATTCTGTGTGTGTCTGATAGACGTGTGTGGCCTGGTTGAACATAATTAGCCAACACTGTCTTCCCTTTACTGTGCAGATGATCTGCTTTGATTGTTTGATGGTGTTGTGGTTATCTGTGCTCAGGGAGTGTTGAAGGCTGGTTATGATTCATGAATGGATTATAAATTGTATGGTGATGTGGTGATGCACTTTTTAGGCTTTCAAGTTATGAATTTGTGTGTTTCAGTGGCCCTCATGGAAACCCGCGACAGCCTCCCTCAGCAATCATTAAATGAGTTTCTTGGACTTACAATAGACTTTCAACATGAATTAATTTCTTTTTAATACCAACGGGCCTAGAAAGGAACCGACTCAGAATTACTTGGTACAATAAATTAATTTGCATGTAAGAGTGAAAAATTAGCATTCACAACAACTAATTAAATCAGCAACATAACCCTTGACTTTTTTTTATTTTTTATTACTGACCATTTTAGGGCTGAACTGTCCATGTGAGAGCTCTCCAACAAAGGTGAGACCATTGGGTGAAGACTTCTGCAACAGGTTCTTCTTCACACCTTCGATTGCCTGCAGATAGTCCTCCAAGAACCTACAAACAAATCACACACACACAAAATGTGAGCACACGGTTGTTGCATATCACATATTCATTTTTATAAGGTTTTCATCAAATATGCTCAAAATCTGTAATGCCTTTGTTTAATCTGTGACATTAAAAAATTGCTTTAATTCTAACAACTCTACTCCAAAGGTTGATTCATTATTCCTTAATATGTCTTTTTTTTTTTTTTCTTGTCAGTCGTACACCAGCATGGAGAAACTGTCAGGTTACATTGGAAACCTTCTATCTCTGGCTTGGTTATGAAAACACACTTATTAATATTCAATTATGGATTGTTGATTTGATTAAAGCGGACACTGATATGCAAAGATGAACTAAATGGGTATTTGTTTCGACAGAAAAAAGGAAGAAAAAGACAAAGCAGATGTAGTGTGTAGACATCGTGTTACAGCTACTGCTGAGGAATTCTTCAGCTGGAAGACTTCCAATTAAGGATAAAAGTTTCCTATGAACATACATAAAGATAGTGTGTATAGTGTTTTACTTCTCAGAACAGACACACAGGACTAGATTTCCCTAACTCTTAAGTAGGCCAAAACCCAGAAGGGACACAACAACACACTTTACACAAATAATTCAGACACTCAAAGCTGCTTAATGTAAGCCTGTGCCCTCCAGTGTGTCCGCTGGGGATCGTTGTTCCACTTTATTAATCTTTCAGCCGCCCCACTGACACAGCCAGACACACCCAATGCTGCCAGATTAAATAAACTCCTGATTTAACACCGTACACTGATATTAGTGTTGCACTCAAAGTTGGTTAGTTATATTTGAAACATGTGGTAGAGAAACACCTGGAGCTATGCCATTTACATAAACAGGAAATTCCCAGAACTGAAATAAACTTTATAAGTAAAAAAATATCATTTTGTGCTAAGTGCTGATGGTGTAATCATGTGTGATTTCAGTTTCTGAGGATTTTCACCAAGTTTTAGATTGTGTGTAACAATGCCAGTTCGGCCTCTCCCTAAATGCAGAGATGTTTTTGTTTTGAGATAAATAAATGATTTATGTAATAAAGTGGAATTTATACTGTGTTGAAAATAACAACACTGAACATAATGAATAAAAAAAAATGTTTCCTCAATATTTGGCACATATTTAAATGGTAAATTCAAAGTATTCATTTGGCCTGTTGCTACTAGAAACAAACCTCAATGGTCATCCTAATTTAGGCTTCTTTGTGCTTTACTTGTTCACTTAAAGTCAAAGTTTCTTTAAAAGACATGAAGCTCTGGACAAGAACTATTTTGTTACAAAGTTGCATATCCTGAGTATATGTTTGTATGAACATGACCTTAACATGTCAGCTAATGTGCTACTTGATGAACTGAATAAGGAAACCTTAGTTTAAATGGATAAAGGCTCTGTAGCTTCATTTATTCAAATGAAGTTTAATGTGCAGAAGTTGATTTTCTGGTCTGGTCCTTGAAGGTGTACATGTAGTTTAATAGATTCATGTAAAGTGAGTTGTGTGTCTCCTCAGTCTGACTCACTGGTTCTCCTGCTTGCCTCCCTGGATCCACTGTTTCAGCAGGTATTCATAGTAGCTGTCTGCTCGCGCTCCCAGTGTGTAGATGCCTTGATGGGTGAACTGCCCGCTGTTTGTGTTGATGAACATGGGAACCAGACCATCCAGCTTTCCATCCAGTTTGTGGACCTGGTTGGTGACTTCGGCCACCGCAGCCTGGAAAACCAAAGACAGAGGTCCAACCAAAAGATGAGTGAAGCTGTGAGGATTTTTGTGACTTTTATTGAAAGACTCAGAGTTAAAAAAAAAGATCCTCAATGACTAGAAATTATTTTTAAAGTCTAACCAACACCCATGCCTCCACACTAAATGAAAGTAATGAACCTTCTGCAATAAAGAAAATTTCCTTTGCAAACGATCTGACCTTTCACCTTCATTCCTTTAGTGTCACAAAAGTCATTTTCTCTGGGGCTGAAGTTTTTAAACAGCTTTTAATGCTGCGAGAACATTCACCTGAAATGTATCAACTGTGCTACACAGACCTCCTGACCAGCCCTCATCTTTAGCAGCGCATGTTCTAAATTAAAGGGATGGATGAAAAAGAGGTCAGAAGAGGAGGAATATTTTATCTGAAGGTGTTTTCACGCCTCGATCATTTGGAGGAGTTTTTCTGAAACAAGGGGGCGTTTCCCCCCTTGGCCCGGTTGTTTGGACGTGTGGCTGCAGCCAGATGAGGAAATGAACAAAGCTAATCCAAAACTTCTGTTACCAAAATACGAAAAAAAACAAATAAAATCAGATTTTTTAACTTAATGTTGGAAAGGGTTGATATCTCATAGGTGATGTCTCTGCTTACATTTATCAAACACAACAGACATTTTATACAAACAATACTGAGGACAATACTGAGGATTTAATGCACAAAAAAAAAAAGTTATTTAAAAAATGCTCAAAATCATCTAGGCTGCAGTGCTTACACCAAATTATTATTATTATTATTATTAAGAATCACTAAGATCATGTGTTTTGTTCCTTTAATCAAACATATAGTTGAACTACACATGGCGGGGTTCTGGACTGGAGCCAGCAGACTTAAGACTTAATTTAAGGAGAATCCTTGCGGCTATGTGAGCACATGACATGTAACAAGAATTACAGAGAAATACAGAATTTCAAATGTGACCCATCACTTGTGACCCAAAAAATAATCAGCATGTTGTTATCTCAATGACAGAGATGACAAAGTCTGCTGCAAGGCAACAAACGCATCGGCTGATATCAAACCTAATAAGAATCAAAAACCAAACCAGAGAAAGCTAGTGCCCTCAGTGTTCACTGAAAGTTAGCGACATTAGCAGCACACACTGTACGCTGATGATGATAGAGAAAAAGAATGCAGAAAAGATCAAAAAGCTGCACATGTGAAGGTGTATCTGTCAGTGCATTAACAAGTGGACTGAGGCTTCAGGTACAGCTCTTTGAAAAGTGTTGTTGAACATCTGTGTGTGTGTGTTACCTGGTACTGTGGTTCCTGTGTGAGGCGGCTGAGCTCTCTGAACTCCAGCTGGATGCTCGTGACCTCGGCCACAGTGCTGTCTGAGGTCCAGCGAGGCGGGTGGGCTGTGCCTTTCCCAATGTTCACATCAGAGTAAGGGATCTTGGACGGGGTGTTGAAGGCCGGCATCAGTCTGGAGCCGATGTCTTTCTGCAGTTCAAGACCAAAGGTAACCAGTATGAAAACCTCATTTTTAATTATCACTCATGACTTCACTTTGAAAATATAAGGGGTGCTGTTGAGCATTTCCATATGTAGTAAGACACCTTGAGTTGAGTTTGCAGCATATATAGTTTTAGTTTTAGTTAGTGACGCACCAGGATGCAGAAGATGGTTGTACAAGGTGTCAAAAAGGGATTGAACACACAAGTACTTTGAATCATTTCTGTAAATGTAATGACAGATAACTGATAACTGTAGTAAACAGTGTTTACAGTGTAATTTGAATTCTACCAGAACCTGCTGGTATATTCAAGATTGAATGTTTTTGTGCTTGACATTAAATGCATGATTTAATCATTAGACAAACCTTGAAGGTCAAAATGATCACTTTGACTATTCCTGTTGTCTCAATAGGCTCTTTGACATGAAATATGCTCAAGTGTAATTTGATTTATAAGCCCATAGAAATGTATTAAGAAACTTAACCTGATACGGTGAATATCCTTCTTCCAATAATATTCACTCAGAAATAGTTTATTTTGCTTTTTTCTGTCATTTAAACATGATTTTTTTTTTGTTCAGACTGTAGCTTTATCTGGGGAAAACAGAGGCATTCTGTATGTAGTCAGTTTACTTCGTCCTTATGGATTTAGAAGAATCAAAAATGCAACAATAACATCACAGTATCTGTATTTGTCAGTGTGCAGACACAACAATTTATATTGCTGCCATTCCAGTGTAATGTTTCTATTTCTTGGTTGTATTCCAGCAGGTTGTGCTGTGCTGTTCTATTTTTATTTGTTGTTTTTGTCCACTGCTGCAAATCAAATTTCCCTTCGAGGAAAAAAAAGGTCTGAACTGAACTGATTGTGCTTTCATTCTTCTGTTAAGTGAATACAGTATATGTTGACTCACAGCTTTTTCCAGGAACACAGTGTCGCCAGTCAGATGGTAGGTGCTCAGCAGGCCTCCCAGGATGCGGATGGTGCTTTCAAACAGGTTTACATCTACGTTCTTGTTGAATGTGAGCTCTGTAGCCACCCAAGTCTTTGCTTCTTCAAATTCTGGAAAACAACACGAGAAATTGTTCAGAGCTGAAACAGAATCACTTATAAATGAAGAAAGTAATCTAAAAGGGCTTTATCAATCCAACTGCTTTGAGAGAAGATTACATTTAGGATTAAGATCATTATGAACCGGTATGGTTCAAAGGTACAGAGAGAGAAAGTAGGTCGGTGGTTGGATGCCAACTCATCCTGTCCCCATGACAGGCAAAAATTGTCTGTAAGAGCCTGTGACAAAACATTAAGTAAAGCCAGGCTGTCTTTCTATAACGTAACATAAAGAGTCCAATAACAGGTGTGATATACAGACGTGAAATGTTCTCTCTACCTTCTTTAAGCCCCATGATCCACATGGTATCCAAAGAGTCAATAAGCGTCAGACCCAGGCCGAACCACTCGCTGTAGGACTTGGAGAGAGGCCTGAGCTCATCATGGCCCCAAGCAAAGTCTTTATAACCCTTCCATGCATGTCTGAAAGCCTCCCGCACCCCCTCCAGCCTGCTGGCATCTGGCACACACAAAACACACAAGATGGCAAATTAATATGATACAAGTCTGCACAGTGATTCAGAAACTAAGATTTAAATGGTTCACTTATTTAAATACAACTCTAAAGAGAATACTCACATAGTCTACTGTCTTATAATCTATGAGCTAGTTGTATTATATTATTCATTCATAATTCAAAAAAGATAGATGAAACAACAGATACCAGTCTCATTTGTTGGTTCTGCCTTCTTGTTGGCTGGTGACGCCTCCTTATTTCCTTCATCTTTAGCTCCTTCTGTGCCCTGCTCAGTCTCGATCACGGCCCCATGCCAGCTTGAGATAAATCACATTTAAGTACAAATGTATACAGCATGGACAAAATAATGTTGATTTCACACTCCAAGACTCACCTGATGACTCCCTCATCTTTCTTGATCTCAGGTGCCTTCTCCCTGAGCCCTGTGTCTGAAGAGTTGTCTTTCCTCTGGAGACGATTGTGAAGAACAGGCGGACCTCTCTTATTGGGTGCCGGTAATTTCTTCTGCAGCAAACAATGAGATAAACTAAAAAAAACATTTACATCTTTATTTCATGTATGACATTTATTGACAAAGAACCAGGATTGATCTGTGTTGTAAACTATTGCTACACACACATTCTTAATATGAAGACTCAAAAGTCTCATTATAGCGCTTTGTTTTTTTTTTTACAGCATTTATCAAAGTGTGAGGTGCACCTCCACTGGAGGGCGCCAGAGGACTTCAGGGGAGGAGCAGCGTAAGAAAAATTAAACAAGAAAACATCTGGTTAGCTAACCTCTGCATTGTGTGGGGCTCAAAGCATCATTTATTTTTGATAAACTTAAGACAGAAAGGAGGCAGATTCTGGATTGATTAGAAAATGGTCAACACAGTAAGAATGACTTTTGGACGTCTGTGGAGACTGAGGGGGGATTTACTAAGAATAGATTGTGACCACTAAAAGCCCCATGAAATGCTCATCAATTGCCGCCACTATCTGCTGCATTTCAACGTCCAATCATTACGCGTTGACATTGGTTTAAAAATGAATGACTACTATGATTGAGTTATTATTGTGTTGTAAAATCTGAAGTATTTACTCAAGTTGAGTTTATAGTTGTGGAGTTTGGAAAAGGGGAAATCCCTAAAAGGTATCCATGCAATCATAAATTCTAGTTGTGATCAGTTGACAGACTGTAACCTGTCTTCATGTCAAAGGTCAAGCTCAACATGGATGAGGAGAAAACTGTGTTTTTTGTAGCTCATTGTAGATGTGTTAATTCAAATGTTAAAACAAATCCACATCTGTTGTTAGGCAATAAATTCAAAGTGGTTGTTAGGCTTCAAATAACAAACAAATGTCATTCACGTCATGACTTATCTCCATATGAGTCTAAAAATATCTGCAGTGCTCAGCAGGCAGCCTTGGATCCTCATGCTTCTGTTGTTTCTGTGTTGCAGTTAAAGGATTCTCACTCTTTTCTAGAGATCATTTTCCAGGACATTCACTATCAAACTCTCCTAACAATGTCCAACGCACATTTAAAACCAGCAGTCTGAGCCAGAGTTGAATCACAGAGTTAAAATATGCATGCGAAACAAGCTACCTAGAACTTCGACTTTAGCAACCGAACTAATCATGCTAACCAATTCAACTGTTAAAAGACGGGAAAAAGCAACGTTAATCAAAACACCTCGACTACCAAGGCAACCAGCAGCATCTCCTATTTTTTACATGTGATTCATTCTAATCACATGTTCTATGACAACTACAGTTATCTTGTTATGTTAGCTTATTGTCATCCAGCCTGCAGGTGCTACTGTGTGATGTGACAGCATGCATGTAGCCTATTCTTAATAAAGTGTCTATAAACTATTGCAATATTTTGCAACATTAGAAGTTTGCCCTTTTCAGACAATAATGTGTTTTGGAAACTCTGATTCCTGATGAAATTAGGATCAATATTAAATCATTTTCCAGGACATTTTGCTTTTCCTCTCATTTTCCATGTGCTTTCCATGACAGGAGAACAGGTCAGCTGTTTTCCAGGTTTTCAGGGACACATGGGAACCCTGAGATACTGCATCATCGTAGCTCAGGTTAAGGAGAGTGGGGGAATCTTAAGAAAAATATTTATGGGTGTGAAATTTGATGAACGGCTATAGACTTTCAGTTTTGAAATGCTCCATGCCTTTACCTTTATCACACCACTCTGGTATTTTAGAGCTCCATTTGTCTTTGAACCATTTGACTAACAAATGTCAATGTCATAACCACTGGAGGGGACGGACAACTTCTCCAGGCTTCTGATTAATCAAGCATCTAGTAATGAAGAACGTCAAGTCAAGACTTCCTTTTGTGAGATGCCATTGTTTACAGCCTACCTACTAACCATAAGAAGAACAGAGTTAATTGATAAAGCTCAATGATCATATATGGCCATCAATGGATGGGTTTGCATAGAAAACCCTCTTTCCCTCCTCTCAGATAGTTTCCCTGCATGCAGCTAAAGCCCACTGAAATACATGATACTAGCTCTGCATACAGAAACTAAAACACTGATACCACGATCTGGTCCTGCACCTACAGGTTCAGCATTTGTATGCAGAATCTGTAAATAGAGATTAGAGCCCCGATACAGAGACTTCTGGAAACACTTCTGACCCGCTTTTAGTTTGAAAACTAAAAGGGGGTCAGAAGTGGTTGAGTTTTGAGGTTGAGTTTTAGATGTATAGCTGATGTACCAAATGCTCTTGGAAACGATGACCCAGACAGCCACATTTGCTTGCAAACTAGGTCTCATCAGTCATTACGTCATTCTCACAGCCCCTTTATGCAACCCAGTTCCAGAGGAAAAAACCAACAGCCTCCTCCTTGGCTAGCAGATGTTAACTTAACATGAATATCTATTCACATTCCCTACTACATCGTGTCTGCATTTTCAAATGCTAATACTGCCTATATGCGTATGGAGTTTGGTACCAAAATGGTAATAACGCCTTCTGAATGGAGATTTTACTCCTTTTAAAACATCTTAAATAATGAAAAAATAGGGTGTTGAAGAGGCCTTGAACACCAGCTCTGATCAATACAAATAGCTCACTTAGTACTTTTTCATAGGATGGAGATTATCATGATCCGTCAATCTGAATTAACATTGAAGCTAGAGATGCAACGATTGGTAAAATCAGGACCGATGCCGATACCGATGATTGAAATAACATCTTAGACAAATTAGAATCATGACTTCTTTTGTTGCAAGATTCCCACAATGCCACATTTTCTCTAATGTTTAATAATACAATTAACTTTACAGTGTTTCAGTGTTACAATTCAGTTAGCAGACACTTTTATCCAAAGCGACGTACGTCAGAGAGGAAGTACAATTAATTCAGATTTTGTCCAACAGGTGACTTCATCTGCCCAATAAAAACCTCCTCTCTGAATCAGTAGTTAGGTGTACTAGATTCCAGCATAAAATTGATTTGGCACAACAAATTAACATCGGCTCCTGACATCGGTTCATGCCACATTATTTGCTGCTGATGTCTGTCAGCAGAGCCAATATTGGCCGATACCGATCGGTGCATCCCAAATAGAAACTGAATGCAAAATGGGCTTATAGGTAAAGCAACGTTTTCAGCACCTTACTACATTAATTAGCGTTCCTTAATTATGAATGAAGGCTCTCCAATGTCTTCAGAAACCCTGTCCTACCAAAGAAGAGAAGTAGAGATATAGAAACCTGTGAGGTTTGTTCTGGCAGTGGTGGTCGTGGCTGTTCAACAGGTTCAGGCAGCACATGAGGGATGACGGGCCTCAGGACGCTGTTACTGTCTGTGTACTGCTCTCCATCTGTAAGGCCTTAAACACACAAACACATTTAGTATGAAAGTGTCAAAGTAACACAGTTAAAGGACGGCAGACTGACAAATGATTACTGAAAATACAGAAATGAAACACTCATTATTCTGTGTGCATTGATCAGCTCCCAGGAGCCTGTGACTCAGACTCATGGGTCATCATAGATACAGACAGTATGGGAGCCTTACTTCTGAGGTGTTCATTAAAAGAAGGATAGGAAGCAATTCCACAAATAAACAGAAGGACGAGGAGGAAGAGGATGAGGCTCCGCTGCAGCCTGGACAGCTGCTTCCATTTCTGCAGGCACACAGAGGAGAGGAGGAGGGCGATGAATACACACTTCTATCCAACAGACCGACACCACAGGTAAAACAAATACATCTGGGAGATGCCTTTCACATTTCTACTTCAAAAAAAAAAAAATCATGATATAACTAAATACATTTTCTCGCAACAAGGAAAGTTTGGATACACATTTGTTCAGACAGTTAAACCATCCTCATCAAATTTAAGGCTAACAGACACAAACGAGGTCTGGTAGGGGTTGTCTTTCTTGATCTTAAGAAAGTTAGAGATACTGGGCCTCATTTACTAATATCTTCTCAAGAATTTCTTATATTTGTTCCTCAGAAAAAACCTTCTTGGGATTCATGACGTGTTCTTAAACAGAGGAGATGTTCACTCCTGTGATCTTAAATTGTTGAATGTCATGTCCTCATAAACTAGAAGCTTTTGCATATTTGTTCTAATTAGCATAGATAAAGGCCCTTATATATGCCCATATAAGGGCATGAGACGGCAGGGCTGTGTGCACACAGTACACACACACAGAGACTGTGCTGAATTAAAGAAAGATGTAGAGAGAAGTCGGCAATGCCTGAATCAAATCTTGAAGTTAGAAATACAGAAGAACTAAAGTGGACTTAGTGCTGCTCGAAATAAAACCCAAACAGGCCGATTCAATAACCTGATATTTAGTAGAGTCAGTAATAGATACAAAATACACACAACGCACTACAAACAGATAAATCAGATTCTAGCAGTACTTCAGAAAAGCGCTGTCATCAGAAACGATGAACATACATGAGTCTTACTACTGAATAAAAGAGAGAGAACAACAGCAGTATCTTTTTTCTAAAGATATGTTTGCAAAGATTGCAAAAAGTGGGACATCAGAGCAGTGTCCTGATCTGGGATTAGCAGGGCAGGAAATAAAAGGTCTGTAAAAAAAAAAAAGGAAAAGAAAGAAAGGGAAACGTCTTTGTGAGCAGATCATCGATGCCACTGACTCACCCTCCAGCAGGACTGCCTCCTCCAGTTCTTACTGTTATTGTAACCTCCACTTCCTTTTTCAGCAAAGCTTATAGAAACATAGTCCTGTCGAGATGGTGGGTGCATGTCTGTAGATCAGCCCTTAAAGGAAGAGACATGTTATACAGTTGTGTGAACGAGTGAGTGAGGAGCTGGATGGAGAGATCAGGGGTCTCATTTAAAAAACTGTGCGTACGCCCCCAAACTGGGCCTGAAACTGGAACGCCACCCGCCTCTCCTGTTTGTGATCTTATAAAAACAAAACTGACGGTGAATGTGCACACCAATAAGCAAACTCTGACCCAGGCGTACATACAGTTTGGAGGCTAGGTAGATTAGTGACTCAGACGGTGAGGTGGTGAATTGAAGCCTGCAGAATATATATTGATGCTTCTCATCGTTATTTTATTACTACACTATCAAACTTTACTGACAGGTCTACATCATGGAGTAAGCTGTTTTCTATTATTTACTTTCAATATGAACGATATAAACCAGACTGTATACTAACATCATCACTGATGTAGAAATACTAACCAGTACAAAAGCCATAATGCAGATAGTTTTTTTTGTATATATATATCGTGCATATATCATCCAGTGTGATCTTTTAGTTTTAAAAATATTTCTGCGCAGTAAGACACGGGGGGGTGCTTTTCTCGTCACTCAGCATATCTTCATCACCTGCAGGTATTTATCATATAAATACATATATTGTACATAAACAAGTACATAGCAAGCAGTTAAAGTTGTTGTTCGTGGATGAATAATATCCTAGAGAGTGAGGGAGACTGACATTACTGAAGAAATCAGTGTGGGTCCCATTAACATTTTACAATCTCAGATAGACTCGAGTCGAGTGTAATAATGAAAGGTGGATGTTTTGGCACTGCAGGAGACTGTGTGAATGTAGCAGCAACGCGGGGACCCTCCTATTACAGCAAACAAACAATATGTGCTGTCTAACCTCCACTTCATTCACAAGCTCATCCATTTCTGGGACAGGGAGTTTATTTTCTCGCTCTTACTTCCAGTTTTGTTTGAGACTCAGCAATGGAAATCTTTGATCAGCCTGCTCGTTTGCATACATTTTCATTCATGAGGTGTTTTGCATGGACGGTTACGGTTGAATGAGGGAGTATAGAGGCTGATCCACACATTACCAGTTGGATTGTGATGTATAAAGAGGAACACTGTGTGCAGGTGGACGTGCACAGGGTATTATAAATTTGAATTGTTTTCGGGCGCCTGCCATTTTTGGGTTCTAGGCACATGTACATTTTAGCATGGATTCTATGCACCGTTTTACAAATGAGACCCCGGGCGAGGTGAAAATTGAGGTTCCAGATTACCCTGATGTTAGCTTCAGATCCAGTAGTTCAAGGAAAAACTAGAAATCTGAGCTGCATATTATCTTTCTTTACTCCTTTTAAAATTGGAATTCATCCTTTATGGTGTAAGTGGAATAAAAGTAAAATCATCCTTTTTTAATTGTATTTCCCATATTTCACATACCTGAAAGTTTGTTTATTAGACTCTGTCGTCTCTTGGATTATCTGCTCTAGACTCAACAAGTAAACATCATGTAAATTAGGACATGCTTCAATGTGGTCTTTCTTTAAAAAAAAAGGTATGAAGGCTCATATTTATGCATTTTAAATTAAAGCCTTTATGGGATTATGGGTAATGTGGTGGAGATTTTTTAAGCATGATGGATATACGGTAGGATCTCAATCAGGAAGTGGTTTAAAAGCAAAATCCAATAGGAATTATCGTAGGTGAAACGGTGACTGTATTTAAGAAGTGGACATTGCCTCCATGTTCAAAATGCCAATGCAAAAGTGCATCTTTCTAATTGCCAACAGAAGGAGGCTGCACGGGTTGCTGATTGTCGATTCTGCAATAATTAGCTGATTTGTCTCTTGAGATATCTCACCAGTCATCATTTTATCTGATTTTACGGTCTTATTGGAAGTTTCCCTTCTTCTTCAATACAATATGATGTACATTTTTTTAATTAAGCGTAATTTAGAGAATAAAGGACGATAAAAACGATATGCTTCAGGAAGTGATATCCTGTGATTGACCGGTCAATCAGACAATAGATGTAGTAATGTGCAACCATCCTCTCGTCTACACGAGGTCTATTCTGGCCCCAAAACAACAAGTTTAATGCTATACTAAACACTCTTACATTCAGTCTATGGGCGCACCTCCAAGCAGACTAGAAGGTCAGGAGGCATCTATGTGAGCCCAGATGGTAAATAGAGGTGTGGTTGTGATACTGTGACAAAAACAATAATGTGTCAGATGTGAAAGAGGAAGGATTTTCTCAACTAAGCCTCAGAGTCTAAAATGAAGTTTCATTTTCCTCACCTGCCTTTGTGGCATGCAAATTAACATTTATACGGGCAGGTTTGTATTACTGTCCGTCAGTTCTGAAATCAATATATTATATGTGTTAACACCATAGATTGACTGTAAATATAAAAGTGTTAACACTGAGTCGCAGATACTTGGCAGGATAAATATTGACTGTATGACCTGAATGCCCTACTTTTCAGATCAACGCCTCTTCAAAAAAAACCTTTACTAATATAAGAATAACATGTTGCATTGTAGCTGGAGGTCTGAAATCTTCTCCTGCCACAGCTACAAACTATTCCAGGTTCCAGATGCTGAATTAATACCCTGGATCCATTTAAGCTCACAAAAATGGCTTTCAGGACCAAGAGGACTACAGTAAACACTGATGGTCATGATTCGTACTTTTCTTACGGTCACTTGTAATTCACAACACACCCAATGCTGAGTAACTTAATTTAGGTTAAAATGTTTCGGTTACTTGCACTCTTGTTAATTTACTGCTCTGTGTGCCTTTGAATTGCCCCCCGGGAACAAATAAAGTTTTTTGAATTGAATTGAATTAACATAAGTGACATGAGGGCTGCAGGTTAGCACAGTTAGCTGTATAGCTGTCATCACATCTGCAAACATCAGTAATAATCAACAGGCTGATGTATAGTCAATGATGTTAGCCTTATTGTAACTTAATGTTGATATACAAAGCTTATACAGATGTTATATGTCTTATTTTGGGTACTGACACGAACAGCGCATTGACATTACCTTACCTTAACACAAGAGGTAACCTCTGGAGTAGCCCCGCTTTAGCGACTACTTCACTTTCGCCTCCCCGGCTCGAAGTGACGTTTTGGCGGATTCACAGCACCACTGTGGACCGAGGCATGGCTTGAGGCCTAACACAAAACCGATAAGGCGGGTATATTAAGTCTTGCACTTTATAATAACCCGACAGCAAGAACAGTTTTAAAAACAAAAAACGAAACTTGTTTAACTGCAGTTTTGAAAAATTATTACATAAAAACAGAGATATTTAATTTACGTTACCTTGTAAAGTATCCACTGTCAGATGTGCAACCAGTTCACCACCGGGAGGAAAACAGCACTCTGCTGTTATCTCAGCGTCAATGAAACAGCTTCGGGGGTCTATTCATGCTTATAACATTAACACCGTTACCGAGGACCACGCAGTCGGTCCTGCTCGTTTATTGAGTGTTGTGTGGAGAATAAAAATGTGTTAATTGTAATCCACTTGTAGCTTACAGCGGGCTGTGATGATGCTCGATGACAACAACGTATGGGTTTCAGATGGACCTATGCTGCCTTCAGGGACTTCCTAGAAATATCGTAAATATCAGACATACTTATGTTTCCCCGAAGGATGTTTCAAAACACTGCATCGTTTTTTGGAAGGTGTACATGACTGGCTTTATCAAATGGTCTCTCAACTAGAAACTTCTACTACTATAAGAATGATTTCTTGGGGAACGTTTTCTCATCCTTGGAAAATTTTATATACACGTGCTCTGTGTGTGTGTGTGTGTGTGTGTGTGTGTGTGTGTGTGTGTGTGTGTGTGTGTGTATTTATTCATAAATAAGCCTTTAAAGTCATGGAAAATGAAAATGCAATGACACCTTTCATGATTATATAAGACATATTTTTTTACTTAATTTAATTATTATTAAATATTTTGTCTTTCCTTTTATTCTTCATCTTTTGAATATGCATCTGTGCATTTTTTGGTGTATTTTGAAAAATGTCAGTGCCATGTTGAATGTTTTTGCATTCTAGATAAAAAAAAAAAAATACATTTAAATACTGCTTTGTTTTTGCCCAGGTGGTGACATGGATATGTTTTGTTTGAAGCATGTATGCTTTCTATTTATATTAACCAAAACAGTCAATGTGTCAATATTTGTTTTGTATCTACTTGTGAAATGTTGGCTTGAATTTAAACTAGATAAAGGCATTATAAGCACAATAAATGTTTGTTTTTTACATTGTTCTATGGATTTTTTAGTGAGTAATTAAATGAAGTTGCTGAAGATGATGATTTAATATTTAAAAGGACAAAGTACAGCAAATGAAAAGAGGGGCTGCATGTTTACACTTAGTTCCCTTTGTGAATGAATATCCAACACAATCCATTTCAATACATTTCATTCTTGAATATAAAATTTATTAACGGAAACGTACAGTTTAAGCATGGTTAGCACATTGTATCTTTGCAGCACACCTTTGGAGTCTTGCAGGATTATTTACAACTATAACAACAGAATCCCTTCATTTATGGTTAAAGCTGCACTGTGATAGGCTAAACATATTGCATATCAGATAATTATCAGTCACATGTGGTTCCACTCAGTTCTCTTTAAGAGCCCTGTTTTGGTTTTCTGGACTTTCTTTCCTCCAATTTTCTTGCAGCTGTTTGAATCCAAAATCTCACCGCATGCTACCTGCCTCATGTCAAACAGCAGACAGACACAGAGAGAGACCAGCTGGAAAACATAGTAAAGCAACAACTTCAATACATTCATCTCAAGTCAAATACATGTTAATGTTGCAAAAGGTAAATCGTTACTTCCCCACAACATAGTAAGGCGCACCCTGGTGGCCAACAACCCAAAACAACTATTGCACCTTTAATTTCTGTGCAGCATTAGTGAAATGAGAAATATTGAGAATCAAACAAGAAACCTGAAATCAGAAATCAGAACAAATCAAGATAAATAAAGAAGCTTGCAAAACAGAAAGTCAACAGAAAACAGCTTATGACAAAAGATGGATGAACATGGAGATGATGGGGTCAATATCTAGAAAAGCCACCTGATGAAATAATGACATTAATTACATTTAAAGGCTCAGACAGGAGACAATTTGTAAAAGATCAGAAACCATAGAATCGTCAATCACAAGCAGTCAACAATCTGGACTCTTATTAGACATTACCCTAATGACATTTTAACCTGATTGAATGATGACAAACATGTCACTGATAAAGTGTGTGTAAACATAACTAAAATAGTTCATAATTTTTTAAAAGAAACTGAATTTGACAGAATATAAATATGAATGAACGACTCAAATTATTGTTCTTGTCTATAAGATTGTGTCGAATATGAAGTTGTGTAAGGTATGTTAAGACAGTTTTTTTCACAGATATAAAATACAGACTTTGTTCATATTGCTGATGGGCTCAAAATTCCCTGCAGTTCTAGATGAGATGAGGCAGAGCGAGCACTGTAAACATTCAACTTGTTTTATATTTTGAAAGATTTATTCCTTTAGTTTCAAAGTTGTTGTTTTTTAGCATTGAGATTCATTACCATGAGGTAGGTACTGAAGAGACCATCTTAATATTTAACATGATGTAAGAATTTTGTAAACTAGAGCTCAACTGATAGAGGATTTTAAAAACCCATATCGGTTTTAGATACTTCATTGACCAGTGCAGCAGACACATTTTTAAGCTGGAATGAAAAAATAAAGATTTTGCAGAGATATGACTCTGCAAAGTTACACCGAAATCCGTCGTTTTTATCTTTTGAATGCTGACTCTCCGGTCTGCACAACAAATATACCTACTTATGTTCGAACAAAGAAACCTTGAAATATTTGAAGTTTAAAGATCCAACAACAACACACTGGCTGCTGTTCTTTTTAACATTTTGAAGATGATCTTTTATCTCAGTTATTGAGAAAGTAAGACCACAGTATGTCCTGAGCGATACATTTTGCAGTTAAAAAGCAAGGTTGTGGGGTGCCGATGACCTGCCGATTAAGTCGCTCCCCATGTAGGGAGGCTGTGGTTCTCCATGGTTCCTCAGGCCTGGGTTTGAGTCCGACCTGCGGCTCCTTTCCCACGTCATCCACATCCCCAATGTCCTACTCTTTCCACTAACCTTTCCAAATTAATGAATAAAAGCCAAACAAAAATACATCTTAAGAAGCAAAGCTGAGTTGTGAGTGCTCTCTGGTCGAGGAAACGATGACATAGTGATGCCGTTTCTAAATGACCCAAATGTAATGGTTACTAAACAGCCACCAGAAACACAGATACTAACATCTAACTTATTTCATGGGTTCTTATTCCAAAACAGGTATAAAGACAGATTTGGTTGTTTTGGAGGGAGTTAGCGTCTGTCTGATTAAAAGCAACATTCAGAGCACTCAGCGTATTTGCTAAGTGATGTCAGCCGAGTTCTTTCCAAGAAATAGTGCTCTGACAGCCCGGAGTTCAGCACACGTGTTTACCTGCATGCACAATCCGGAGATTTGCAAAATCAATACATGTGCAAAGTCATGTGGTACTTGTGTTTAGATTTAGCTTGTAAGCACCATGTGTTTTCACTAGGAAACAATGCTCAAGACAAATATGCACCTGAATTAGATTTTAAAAAGACAATGAATGTTGAGCATTTATATAAATAAGCAGGGTGTTACAACACAAAAACAAAATGTACAAAATATGTCAAAAATGTCAAGAGCTTCAGATTCTAAACATCCCTGGTCTCAAAAGTGGGCAAGCCAACATTCAGTCTGTGCAGAGAAAAAAAGTTCAGGAAGTATTTCTCCGGGAGAATCTGCAGCTCAGTGTCTTTTGTCCTCACTTCTGTTGGTTAAAAAGATTGCCAAGTCTTTCTGAAGCAAGAATTTGCACTGAGAGCACCAACATAGCTCAAGTCCAGCTGGTCAGTACACCCGCAAAACATTTGGCATCTAAAAAAATGATGCCATTCTATACAGGAAGAGTACAAAAGTGCCAGAAATAGATTTGTGCAGCTGCAGACGGCCACACAGATGCAATCACAGAGGGCACTCCTAACTGAAGCATGCTGGTCCAACGCTGAAGCCAAACTCCTGAGTCATGTCTTTGTTTCCAAACACTGCCAGGTCCCTGAGAGGCAGCAGGTGGAGATCTTCACTTTCAAATAGAAAAACTGTTTCCTGGTCGCCTGAATCCAGCTGCTCTGACTGCTGAGGAAAAGAAAGTGGTGAGAATCATCAGGAAAAAAATGGGTGTGTCGTTTTTCTTTTATTTCTTATCTTGATTATTTGAGGTTTAAGTTATGTTAAAGCTCTCAATTATCCTGTGAAATATCTCATTAGCACAAAAAATTTACAGGTAAAAAACTGAAAGGAGTGGCATTAAAGTGGGTTAACACATTTATTTAGCCTCAGGTAGCAGATATTTTAAACCATGTCCTTATTTCTTTTGAAATATTTTGAGTCTAAATGACATAAAGACACAAAATGTTTGGGAATAAGTCCAGTAAAGTGTTTCAGAAAGTAGCAGTGAAAAAGTGTTTACTTTATGTACAGAAAATTAAATGAAAAACTTGAGTAAAAAAATCACGAAAATACTCCACCTAGCATTTTTTTGATTGTTTTCAATGAGGAGAGAACATTTGCAGGAGCAATCGGCCGTCGGGACGAAAGCCGCAGCACCCAGCGTCACCACATGTCCCATTCTCCCCTTCACATGCTTATTGAAGATGATGCTACTGAGGGGCCATCAATATTAAAGGAGCAGTATGTAACTCTGACATCTAGTGTTTAAAATGGGTACTGCAGTCCAAATTAAAAAAATTAGAGAGAGCTGTCTCCCCTTACCCCCTCCTCACTAGAGTCCATGTGCCTGCAGGTTGCCATGTGGTGGACTCTGAAGCTTCAGTGTTTAGCTTCAGCTCTGCATCGGTCATTAAACTTGTCAGCGTTCTAACCTCTCTCCCTTTTCCAAAAGCATCTCAAATATTGAACCTAGCTTGACCACATTTCTGCTTGTGGAGCGATATTTGTAAATGCAGAGGCTTTTTAGGTCGGGTACAATCATTTACATCTGAACCAGTTCTCTGGCCTGCTTTCATCGCTGCAACACCTGTTGGTTTGCAATTTGCCAGGCAAACCGAGGGGTGTCCAAAACGGCCTTTAATGAAAGTATTAAAAGGTATTGGTTAAAAATATATCTTCACAGTAGAGTTTGACCCTTTTTTATGGATTTATTAACCTCAATCATTATCTAGCATTAAGTTATTATGGATCATTGAATCAATACTGGAACTTACTACACAGTCTCGCAGCGCCCCCAGGTAACTCTGCCTTCGTGTGTCAGCCAGATACTTGACTTCCCTCTCTCCACCGCTCTGTCTGCTTCCTGGCTGACAGGAGTAAGTGATGGTCTGAGAGGAGAATCTGCTGTTCAGACGCAGAAATCTCATCTGCACCACATCTGCTCCTCCTGGATACTCGAACTGAAAAGAGTAAGTATGAACCTCAGATGTCATTCAAGAGAAATAGAGAAGTGAATCGTTCTGAACCAAACAAAAATAAATATCTGGATCAGAAACTCACCTGGAAGCCGTCTTCAACTCTGCTCAGCCAGTGAAATGACATGTTGGTGCCAGAATCCTTCAGCCATGCTTTCACTGGAACCTGTGGATAGTGACATGTGGAAGTATAAATAAAAAGGGTCCAGGAGGGGACATTTTAGGGGGAATTTATGATTTTATTGGAAAACTAAAAGATCTCCATGATGCCTGCACCAGTAACCCCATACTTATTTAACACTTCCCCAATTATTGTATGCTCGTCTTCACTTCGACTGTGTAGTGGAATTGAGAAAGTAGTGGCTCTTAAACGCCTCAAAATCCAAAATTGAGAAAACTGCTTTGCCAGAATAAAACATAGAGTGCAAAAGATTTGTTGCATATTGAGGGGAAGGCATGGACTGGATAGAAGAAGTGGTGTCACCCATGGCTGTTAAGCCATATAGGCTATTTGGCAATTTGAATGTCCCCATCTGCTGTTTTTTTACGGTGGCCCTGATGGTCAACTGTCTAAATATTTCATGATTGCGAAAAGCATTTCACTACATGCAAAAGTATTTAATGAAACACAAAAACATAAAAAAAAGCAGGGATTGTGAAATATATTTCACTTGCTGCAAATGTATTTTATACCAGCTGAAAAATATATTTCACAAACCGGAAAAGGGAAGGCCCATACCACTTGTTTGTGACTGGACTGAAGTCACGTCAGTACAAACACATGACCTTTCTTCTTCTGCACTGTCTCCGGTGTGTCCTCTACGGTGCTAATTTCTAAGATCGGCTTTGAGTTTTGACCGTTGACAAGAAGGTTTTAGTGTAATGTAGTGTGGAAGTGGAACTTGTTAGAGATTGAAAAAGTAAATGAAAACCGCTGAAGAGAAGAGAATGGTAAAAGTGAGATGTTTGATGTCTGTGGATTTTGTATAAAGAGAAATGAGAAAATTGACTAGTATGCGCACATCCAAGCAAATTGCATACAGGTGCAGGACAAAAATGGTATGAACTGCAGAAAAAAGTAAAAGGTCCGCACACCATTCAGCTCCCAATGAGCAACTTTATTAAGGGCAGGATCTTCTTTAGGCCGGAAGGAGATCCTTTGGATCTAAACGTTAACATTGTTTCCCTTAATAAAGTTTCTCATTGTGATCTGAACGGTGTGCAGACCTCTGAAGAGAAATGAGACATACAAAGGAGCAGCAGGGTCGTTCTTTTACATCACTGTGCGACGCTACAGAGGTGTATGGTGTGCCCAAAGGGACAAAAAAAACATTCATTTAATGCGATAAAAATGTTTAATTCATAAAAATGTTTATGTTATTACACTGAAAGAAGCTTGAAGCTATTGAAGTAAGTTCACCTGAGGCTGGAGAGGAGACAGGCAGGTCTTTGGCTCTGCTGTGAAGTCACAGAAAACCTGGAAAGCATCAGCTGGACTTCCCAGGTTAGGATCAACGTAATACATCCCTGAAAGAAGATATTAAAAGAAAATGATTTCACTGATTTTACAACACAGCACAAACAGCAAACATGTGATCGTGTTACTTTGTATGACCTGTTGCATTCTGACCAGTATATTTAGATTATTCTCAAGAAGCACTAGTTCATTCTTGTTTTACAATAAAGAAACAGAATACACTGAGTGCTTTACATGACAATAGACAGAACATCCTTCTTATTATACAAAGGATCAGACCTCATATCTGACTCACCGTTAGTGGAGTTGGGGTGAGCGAGCCACAGCTCCACACACGTAGCCGCTGGGTGTTCTTTGCTGCCATCTGGAGGGTCAATGAACCAGCGCAGATCCCTCTGTAGGGAGTCCAACAGAGTCTGGACCAGGAGGTAGTTGGGCTTATCTGACATGAACATCAGCTCCTGAAATATTCATTGTACAAAGAGGGGGATGTACAATATGAATAGGATGATGCATTGATATTTTAAAGATCAAGATTGGTTAACTTGTTGTTGCCATGTTACAGTTCTGATAACAAAAGGACACTTTTGAACAACATCAGCATCAGACACAATAATACAGTTATAAAGAAATGTAAGACGGAAATGCATGAGAGAAACTAGAACGTGACAAATGTTTGTGCAAACAAAGTCACAATACAGTGGTGCAATCCATTTTTACACTTACTTGTGGTGGGAAATCTGGGAAAATAGCTTCTTTTTTGCCTTTTTGGATTTTATTTGATCTTTTCAGGCCAATAAACACCTTTTACTACGTCCCTATCGACCCTGTCCATCATTCTGAAAGCCTAAAGTTGTCACACCAATCAATTACACCTCTGTCACTAACCTCAAATGGCGGATCAGGAGAGGAAGAACTTTGCAAAACTGTCCTCCCTGCGTGTGATACACATTACAGAGGAGGTGCAACAGAACATACATATCCTGCCTTCAAAGAGCAGTCTGTAAGTGCCAACAATTACAAATCAATCTCACCTTCATCTGAGACAGAGTGAGGTTCAGGGAGGTTCCTGGCGGCCCAGGTCGGCCTGGTGGACCCTGAAATACAGAATTATATCTATGAATACAGAAACCCCTGATGTGCCGTTTGAAACTTTTCTGTTACTCAGATCAACAAAACTATTACATTTTTAAAAACAACATTTAGAAAAGAATAAAAGACATTCCATAACTAAGCTAAATAACTTGAATTGCATGCTTGAGTCCCGATACTCACAGGTACCCCTCTCACTCCAGCAGGGCCCGATAGTCCTGTGAATCCCTTCAGTCCCTGGTGATCACAAACAGCATTCATTTAGAGATACTTTAGACCTTTGAGGATATAATCCCAAACATCAGACTTTGGATGTACTCACCTTCTGTCCAAACAATCCCTACAAATAGAAAAGCAGAAAAGCAGGTGTTAAGACTCATTCCTTCAAACTAAATACGATTATTTTTGAAAAATGTCATAAACTACAGTTGACTTACAGGCAGTCCAGGAAGGCCCGGAGTTCCTCTTCTACCTGGCGGACCGATATCGCCCTAAGAAACAGTCAATACAAGGGTGTTATTATTGAGGTATAAAACAGGTAACAAGAAAAACGATTAGGACATCATTATCATTATAACACAGGCAACAACATATCATAACATAATTAGTATCTTAAATCAGATTGGAAAAAGTAGAATTCCTTAGTTTGGAGTTTGTATTCTTGTGTGAAGAGAATGAGATGAATTCATAATTTAATCAGCTTCTGTTTGAGGTCATGTTCATGTTTTAAGCCTGGAGTTATTTCACCTGCTCTCCCTTTTGACCTCCTCCTCCCAGATGTCCAACAGCGCCTTGTATTCCCTGAAACAATATGATACAAAACATCAAGTGGTTGTCTCTACTGTTAAGGAAGCTAGCATTGAATACTACACAGGTACATAAGCTCACCTTTAAGCCTTCTCCACCAAAAGGGCCAGGTGGTCCCATAGCACCGGGTTCTCCCTGCATGTTTCAAACACAGAGTGAAGTACAGACTACAATCAGCCCAGTTTAAAAACATGCTGGTGTGTTATTGATCTTTGTTCTGTAGGAGTTGGAGTTGTACGCCAACTTAATAAACACATACTGTGATTTATGTCCATATGTGTAGAAAAACAGACAAAGAATTCAATGAATTCTGTCGACTCACCTTGAAGCCTGGTAGACCCATGTCGCCTTTTATCCCACGTAAACCAGTTTCACCCTTTTGTGAAAGATTGTTAGGAAAAAAAGTTAAAAAGTTTAACTAAACAGTTTCCTTTTGTTAAAATTACCTCAAGTCATGTTTCATTTATTTATAAACCTCATTTAAAACCATAAACTTGTATCCCTTCAGCTGTCCGGCTATTAACTGTATGGACTGTTACTGTATACTTAGGTAACCTTCAGGGTCCATTCATTTATGTGTCTATTTATTTATTACGTATCTGGTGATGTGTTTATTAATCTCAAGTGTGTTTCTGGCTCTGACTTCTCATTTGATGACCTGTTCGTCTGTTGAATTGTTGTTCTGTTTCTGTGACTGCGTTCGTTTCCTTTGTATTGTCTTGTCTTCTTTTAATGACTCAGCAGGCTGTGAAACTTTACTGCGTCTCTGGGATTAATAAAGTCGTCTGAATCTGAAATCAACAAACATTGACCAAAGTGCTGTACATCAAAAAGAGACAAAACACTCAATAGAAGACAAAGATCAGCCTCATACACAGTAATACACAACTTCTAAATAAAACAAGATATTAGAATAACATATTTAAGATCACACTGTGCTGTGTTTATTATCTCAACAGAAACACTGTGTGTGTACCTTCAAGACATTTAAGAGACAATCAGACCAAACAGGGACAGTCAGCACCACCTCCTGTCTTACCTACACTGGTTCAGATTCTTCAGTCATACTGGTAAATGTTTATACAGCTATGGAACCAGACAGTGACGCTCTCAGCAGCAGAAGTGTCAGTCAATGTGAACGAGATGGATGAAGGAGAGATGGACAAACATCTTTGAGAAGTAGTCTGACTGTTACCTGGGTAACTGCTGAGTCCCTCTCCTTAGCTCTGTCTGACCCATCAACACAACCCTGCATACTAAGGAATCAGATTTATGTTTCTGATGTTTGTGAGTTAATCTCGAAAGAGAGAGAGTTCAACATACCCACGAGCAAATTATACTGTTTCAAACATAGCATACATCCATCAGCTGATCAGCAAAGTATCACAACGTGATTGCAAATGTGCTGGTTTGACAAGCAAGGGGGATATACAATATTCCAATTAATTCCTTATAAACAGTCATTTACATTTTAAATTCAATCCTAAAACGTACAAGAATCCAAAGAAGAGATGCTTAAATTGTCTTAGCATTGTCATGCTTCCGTTTTCCAGTGAGGAGTTGTTCGGCAGCATTTAGCACAAGCTGGAAAGAAGAAGGACTGATCTGAACCAGCGTTCAAAGAATTCCAGTAGTCCAGACCAGATGTGATAACAGCATAAATTACTCCCTCAAACTTACTTGTACAGGTATAAGGTTTGACTTTAACTAAGAGTCCGAGCTGGAAAAATCTGGTTTTAACTACTGAGGTGATGTGCTTGTCAAATTGAAACAAACACACAGCTTAAAATCACACCAAGATTTGTTCTGGATGTGCGTTATTTGTGGAAAGATAAAGAGCTAAGGGCAGCTTCACAGTCAGCACGACTCAGCAGTACAAAAATTACAACCTTCCAGAAATGAGAGAAGGTTGGATTAAATATGATGACGAACACAGAGCAAAAGAATGACTGACACAGTTGTTTAAAAAATATGAGGATGTTAAAAGTAACATACGTATGTGCCGTGTCTCCCTGGAGGACCAACCGCTCCCACATCTCCCATCTTCCCCTGCAGAGCCAGAGGAAGATCAGAAATTGTTTCAATGTAATACTTTCACTAACATTTACTCATTTTAAGATTTGAGTTCAAACTGAGAGACTGTCAGCAACAACTGACCTTTTCTCCTTGTTTTCCTCTGATTCCTCTATTTCCAGCTTTGCCTCTTTTTCCCTTTAAAAAAACAAACAAACAACAACGTTATGTTGTGAAATGTGAAAGTATTCGACTCTGTCAGACATCAAGTGCGTCCTCCTACCCTCTTCCCAGAGCGTCCATCCTTCCCTGGACGTCCGCTTTTCCCGTTTCCTCCCTGCAATGTTATTATTCAGAAGAGTTTATTTTCAACATATTTCATGTGCCACCCATCATTATCATTATTATTATGACATTATAATATAAAGCCCTGTTTCACCAGACCTCCTCTTAAGGTTTACATGGTAAATCTCAAGCTTGATCCAAAAGTAACTGGACTGGTTAAAGATCTTGAAGCGGTTCATCTCTCTTCCAAAAGACTTCTTCAGTTCTAAACTAGGCTTAAATCCACCAGATAGTTTAGAACTGAAGAAGAAGGTATAAGACATAAGGTTTACATGTCCCTTTATCTAGTAAACAACTTGCAGATTCATCGTTTTTAACTTATCAGAGGCTTTTCAACAAATGTCAGTGAAAGAGATGTACAGTATGTGTCCAAAGGTGTAGGGCTGATTGAACATGTGCATAAAATCCATCTTTCCACCATTCACCTTTGTCTTTATGATTTGTTCATTTCTATCTCGCCAGATTTTTGTGAATTATTTTTATATTGTGCTCCTTCCTAAAATGTTTTTTTTTTTTTTTTTTTTTTTTTAAATGAACTGCAAACACAAGATGTCATTATTTAAAAAAAACTCTCTTATTCCCGATTACAGCCGCACAATGGAGTTTTAAACTGACATGACTCAGACTAGAGTAAACTGATGAACAAAAGCAAACTGTGTGATGTTGACAAGTCTATAAATATAAATATTGTTTACACACATGTACTGTAGAAAAAGAGAGGTTTGAGCTGACCTTTTGACCTTTCTCTCCATCTCGTCCCTCTGGCCCAGCTCTACCTTTTTGTCCCTGAAGGCAACACAGGTTAAAATGTTAAGTGTTTTGTCAGAGAGAGGTTCAGGATACAACTCATGATAATGTGTTTTTACAGAGGCACTAACCTGAGCTCCTGGAAGTCCAATAGGACCCTGAAGTCCCAGCTCACCCATGACGCCCTGAAGAATGGAAACACAAAACTGGTATTGAGGGTATTTTATGCTATTGTCAGTGTACTGCCACTTCTCCTAATATACATTTGTTTTCATGAAACTGGCATCATTCAGCCTTCATTGTTTAAATTTTCTAAAGGTTCCAGGTCTTACCTCTGGTCCTGGTAATCCTGGAGGTCCTTTAATTCCTGGCAGGCCATCAGGACCCTACAAACACACACATGGACCATAAGCATCAGCCATTTCTATGTCTAAAAAAAAATCTTCAAACTAACACTGAGTGAAAGTGCTTCTTTGCACAGAGATTATATCTCAGATTGTTTTTCGACGAAGTACTGAGAAAAACTCTTACCGCCTCTCCTGGCTCCCCTTCCCGCCCAGAATCTCCTCTCAGCCCCTCAGGTCCAGGAAAGCCCTTTGGACCAGGATCTCCTGCTTTTCCTCTGGCCTCTGCAGATCCCTGGAGAATTAAAATATAGTACAAGCAGTTATGTTGACTCATTACTTTCTAAAATGAGTGCAAATCATTTCTGTACAAAAAGTAGGGTTAACTGAGTTGGTCTTTTATTCTTTATGGAGAAATCGAAGAAAGTAAAGGTATAACGTAGATTGAAAATAGAGAGGAGAAAAGTCTACAGGAGATTTGACAAAAGTCTACTCCAATAACTGTTGGCAGATAGTGCATTTCATATGGATATGAAAAATAAAAATGAAACAGAAGTGATGGATGTCCCTGAAGGTTTTGTTGAAATATCAGGACATAAAGCTTAGGAAAGGAACATGTTCTGAAAAGTGTTTTTCCGTGCCTGTATGAAGTCAGTGGATAACCTTTTACTCATACTGTCAAATATGTTTTAACATTTTTTTCAGGTGTTTCCTGTATACCTTGATAACAAAAGTTGGAAAGACAGGATGACCGACAAATTATAACGACACATAAAAACAGTTTAGGTAAATTACTGATATCCAACATTGTACTGGTTTGTGATTCTGTACTGAACTCCACTTACCACAGGTCCAGGATTTCCTGTATCACCTTTGCCACCACGGCTTCCTTCCACCCCCTGCAATTAGACAGAACACTTAAAACAGAGTCATTAAGTTTAACATTAGCTGTTGCATCACCTCTAAGGTGTTCAGACTGCACTGTACCTTAGGACCTGAAGTTCCCGACTCCCCATTTAATCCAGTAGGACCTTTGTCTCCCTGTAGAGAGGACATGCCCAGTTTGTCAAAACCTTACCATACATGTTACATTACATGCAATTTTTCACACTTAAATGTAATATAAATCAAGTATATCCTCTGAAAATAACTGTGAGTCATGACTGTCTACAATGAGTGTAACACCCGAGTCCCACTGTCTGTGATGTTTTCAGAGTTTTCCGAGCCACAGCTTCAGTTTGTTTACTTCGTCAGGACAGCCGGCTGACTCCTCCCCTCAAGTATAAAAGTTGTTTAATTGAGGGACTAGAGAAAAGAAGAATAACATACTGTACTCACTGCTTAATTGAATGTCACGTAAGCGTTTCTAGATCACATTAATTTGTGAAGATACGAGCTAAATAAAGATCGCTAGCATTAGCATGCTAACACAACAATACAGCGCAAGTTGTTTTGGTTTCATGCTGGTGCTCAAGGGCGACATCTGCTGGATCAATAAATCACATATTCTTCCTTTAAGGGAGCACTCACACTTGGCAATCCGTAACCTGCCCATGCACGCTTCACCCCTAAAGTCCAGTTGGTTTGACTAGTGTGAGTGCTCTGACTTTCTTGGCCCTGGCACGCTTGGAAGAGGTGTGCTTCGGCACGGTGCACTTCATGCACGAGCACAAGCAATGTACAATAGGTAAGCGTGAAGAAGTGTCAGTGCAGACCAGAGGGGAGTCCAAGGAGTTGTTGTTTTTGTCACAAATGAAGTCCTGACAGTCCAAAGAATGACTTTGAAAATGCTAAATATATTGTTTAACATCCCCACATTGGTCTTGAGCGTTTGCGGAATATCTGTAAAATCCTCTACCTTCTGTCCTGATGGCCCATCAGGTCCTGGAGTCCCCAAAATACCTTGAAAACCCTGGAAAATAACGCACATGAAAAATAATCAACAGTAAGAAGACAGTATTGAATCCAACTGAAACCACCTTTAGTCATCCATTCATGCATTAAAAATGATCACCACCTGGGGATTTAAATGTATTGCTGATAGCTTATTATTATTAACAGCAAGGAAAAAAAAGTGTCTATTGGGAAATGTTTTCTCGTGTTGAAGTTTGTGTTTGATTGACAGCAGCTGACAGGCTAAGAAAATAAAATAAACACGCACAGTAGCCATGAGCTGACCGCAGGTTGTTTGTGTTAAAAAGGACAAGACAGGACTTTTAATGTGCTTCAGCTTCACTGCAAATTATACTTAAAGACTAATATCTGATCTCCCCAGAAAAAGTTTGTTTAGTAACTGGCTCAACAAGAGAAGCTCAAACACATGTTTCATGTTTACACATAAGATTTACTTTAGCAGATTTATGATGCTATCAGGAACTACAGTTTATTCAAAAAAGGCTACAATTTATTTTCTAACACAGGACACAAGACGAAAGATTTTCAGAGCAGAAATAAAAAAAAAAATATGAGTAATGCAATATAACTTCAATTATTTCAAAATAAAATAAATGACGTTTCTTAAGAGAATAACTTACCGGTAGTCCTAACAAGCCTGTTGGTCCAACGTTCCCCCTCAGACCTGCTGGACCCTGAAAATAAAAATACAAGGTGATTCACTTTGAAGAAACAAAACCAGCTTTATTTTATTGTGCTGCCACAGAGTCTCCAGGGCCCAGTTTTTTCAAAGGTTTCATCTCAATGATATGCATTTGGGAATTCCAATATGTCAAAGAGAATCTGGGTAGGATCAACCTGATCTGGAAACAGAAGAGGACTTCATTTAACATACTTTATCCACAGAGGGTAGTAGCAATTCACCAACTCAGTCTGAACCAGCCTTCAGGACAAACATCATGTTTTTTAAATCAAAGTAATCATAAATCAAAAGATTTGAACGACACAAACTGGAGGTTTTATCCACTTAAAAACCTAAGATTGATTATAACCTGGTGTTTTCCAATTGTGTGATCATTTTTTCTTTGGAACAAACCGGTTTCATGATCTGACAGTTTTGATTGAAATACTTTTTAGCTTTTTAGTGGGATGCTACCATGGAGAGAAATGATGGAGAGTTCTAATGTGTATGAAAAACATCTTCATTATCTCTTTTTGTCATGTTTTGCCCAAACTATTTGTTCAAATTAAAAACAATGCTTGGCAATGAGGGCAGATATTATAGAGTGGATAAACAGGTGACCAAAGAGGCAGGTAGTCTGATGGGAAAAGCTAATTTACCATGAAGCCTGCGTATCCCTTTTCTCCTTGTGACCCTCTCGGTCCTTGTTTTCCTGGAACTCCTGGAGGTCCCTCTGATCCAGACGGGCCTAGATTTCCCGAATCTCCCTGTGAGAAACATGAGGACATTTACAGACTTCATCCATACAATGACTGTCAGATTTAGCTGTCTATAAACTACAAACAAGAGAACCAACAGATGAATGGATGATAGATGGAGAATGACAGATAGAGAAATAGGTTGATGGCAAGACCGTCAAACAATAGTTGTATCAATGGGTCTTTTTCATAAATTCTACATAACAGCAAAAATGTAAGATATAAAAAACCTTTGATCCTTTAGCACCCGGATCTCCAGGAACACCCGGTTCTCCACCGACCCCCTGCACAAAGACAGACAGAAAGTAACGATCAGATCAACAGGCTGAATTGTTGCTCAGTGAAGTTATAGCTGCAAAATTCTGTTTTTTATTGTCAGCAAATTAATTACTAACTATTTTAAATACTGATGTATTATTAAAGTAAAATACATGACACCTGCTGAAGTCACACTGAGCTCTAGGATATGTTGAGAGAACATTTTTCACTGTTTACTAAAATGTTGTAGACTAAACAAATCAACAAAATGATCAACTGGATGCTTCAAGAACTATCTTGTAGTAAGTTGCAGGCCTAGAAAATATGGGCGAGTAGAATAGCGGTACATCTAACCTCTTTGCCCCTCTGCCCAGGCTCACCCTGCAGCCCCTGGGAGCCCTGAAGTCCTGGCTCTCCTTTTGGTCCTGATCGCCCTGGTTGTCCCTGTGGGCCTGGAGCTCCCTGTTTCAGAGAAACATGATGTTGGATAGCTATTAGACTCTGCTGTGATTGTGTGAGCTGCTTCATCTGTTGCTGAATGTATTTTCAATACTAAAGAACCTTACACAGCCTGTAAACGGTCACATGTCATGTGTGTTGTTCTAGTTTGAATGTCTTGTTTCAAAGTACAAACCTCATAGGGCTGCAACTGAGAAATGTGCTTAAGGTGGAACATGAAATATGGTTATTGTGTTCAAATGCTGACTAAACTAAACACAAAAGATAACTAAACACCGGATAGCTATAGCAGAGGCCCACTAAGCATGAGACAGGCGCTATGATCGCCGGCTCGTGTGGTGCGAATTAATGTTTAAATCAAAACTAATGTGACATACCTGATCGCCTTTTGTTCCAGGAGTCCCTTCTTCCCCCGCTGGACCTGGAGCACCCTAACATGACAAACAGAGTCAAACTTAACATAACATGCATTAAGTAGTCGTTTTCACATATGCACTCCTGAACATGTCAAGAGGATTTCAGGAGGACTGACCCTGAAATCCCCCTGATCTGGTTGTTCACACATGCACCCTGCAGTGGGAGACTATCCCCGTCAGGTGGGAGGGCAGGGTTCCTCAGGCAAGACATGACATAAAAAGAACGACGTGGAAGGGGAGGACGAAGCATCTGCTTTACGACGCTATGATGAGAATATTTATCTTTATACCAATACTATGTGTTGTTCGACAAAATTCCAATATTAACAAAAGAGTGGAGAAGAAAATACTTTTAAACAGCAAACCTAAAGAAGCCATTTAATCACACGGATGGATGGTCTATGGTCGTGCACTGATCGCAGGGAATAAATGTCAGTGCCCCCTCCCACTAGCTTGAGGTGAATTCTCCTGAAAATATCCGGCTGTGTTCTCACATCAGCTCACTCTGACATCATAAGGGGAAAATAATAGGCAGCTGGACGGAGAAACTCTGGATAAAGTCCGAGTGAAATCTTTGGTAGTTTACGTTCAAACATTTATCTCTCTCTGAAAAACTTCAGGATCTCTTCAGGAGTGTGAACAAGGCTCATGGATTTACAGCAAAGTTCTTCAATAATATACACCAGTAACTGTGTGGAAAATATGGTGATGCTTACTTTGTTATATGGTGTCTGATTGGTGTAGTGTGATCAGTGAGTGAACTGACCTGCTGCCCGTCTAGACCTGCAGGACCAACATCACCAGCCGGACCCTTTGAACCCTAAAAATGAAAAACATAATGTATTTACATCTCTTAGGTTGGTGAATGATTCTTTCCAAGCATGGACTCATTTCAACAGGTCATGGTTGATGGTGTTTCATACTCATGATAAACTTGTTCAAGGTTGAAAACCACGTTAGAGTCAGTTACCTGCTCTCCTTTCTCTCCGGTCTGACCCATCGCTCCAGTGATCCCTGCTGATCCCTGATCAGAAAATAAGTATTGATCTTACATCAAACATGACAATTCAAAACGATATTGTATACATGGTTTATTAAGAGTTCTATTACAGAGTTTAATATCAATATGAAACAGAGAGAAAGGTGAAGAGTACCCACTCACTGGAAACCCTCTTGGTGCAGGTGACCCCAATGGCCCTGTAGGCCCCTGACTCCCTGGAGGACCAGGACTTCCTACACCTCCCCCTGGTCCTGGTTTACCTTGAGGGCCCTGAAGCCGTTCAGAATGACAAATAAGAAAAACTATACACACTATACTTTTAATTACATTTACAGAGACCACACTTCAATCTGAGTGATGTTTCCCATCAGACAGAATGAGTTAGTTGTTTTTGTAATACATCAATAAAAGGTTGCATGCTCCTTACAAAGCTCTGATCTAAGCAGCTTCTAACAAATATGCTTTTACTCAGGGTAGGTCATTTCTATTTAATGTCATAGTTCACTGATAGATTCATGGAGCCGACTGTCAAAACACCTGCAGCTGTAAAATCAAGTTTCAAAGTAAACATTCATGACCAGATATCTGACAAATAAAAAACACATTGTTCATCCATAAAAGCCAATAGATTCTTGGACTACTTAATGGCCTGTGTGTTCTGCCTCTTTTGATTTCCTGTTTTCCTGCCAACAATCAACGCAGACTAAAATATGACTGGTCAACACAGATGTTGCCTTCATGTGCAGGTAACGGTTTACAGTAAAGAAAAGCAAAACAAGAAGCTCCAGTTTGAAGGATTTATTGATCATATTGATTTGTCTACTTTAGACTTGAGAAGTCAAGTCAAGAGAAGTCGTGTCAACTCTGAAGAAGAGCATGTTGGCTTGAAACATCACTGATCAATAAACCCTTCAAAAGGGAGGTTCTTGGTGTGTGGATCTTTACTTTACTTTACCTTTTCCTGTTTTTGGATCCAGCATTCACTGAGAGATGTGCGTGTCTTTTTTGATTTTTCATACGGTTTACAGTGAGACAAAGCCTGGAACAAAACCAAAAGAATCCCTAAGATCAACTCACTGTTGGTCCCAGAACGCCTTTAGGTCCAAACCCTCCTTGGCGGCCCTGAAGTAAAGAGGTAAAAAAAACAAAAAAAAACATGAATATTAAGTTTGAATTTAGGATATTGAAAAGTCAGTTTTGTCTTTCTCTTACCTTTGGTCCTGGAGGCCCTCTTTCACCAGGAGGACCCTGAACACCCTGAGAAGATAATGTTGTAATACAGTCAGCAAACAGGACCAATGAATATATAAACACTGTGCTACATAATGGACATCAACCAGATGCTACATACATAATACGTTTCAGCAAATATACTCACTGGAGGTCCACGCTTCCCTGGGACACCAGGAGGGCCTCTGACCCCAGCAGCTCCCTGCACAACAGTCAACAAAACACACTGCTTTCACAGTTCACAATGAATAGAGTGATTACTAAGGACAAAGTTTACTACTGTGAAGCTGTACCTTTATATTATCATAATTCATATGAGGCTGTAAATATTTGACAGCTGTCCAAAAACATGGAAAATAAAGGTAAAGTTTTGAGATTTCTGCCAGATTAAGTCTAATGTGAAAATGCAAATAGTGCTGATGATACAGTACTAAATGCACATGGCAAAACAAGCGATGCTCTGGTTCACATTCATTCATCTGATGCCACTGACCTGCTAATGTATGAAAGCCTCTGCTCTGTGTGTTTTTGATGTATTTGTATATTTACCTGTTAGGTTGTACAGATTAATAAAGTTAACTTATTCTTAATCAGGATTTACCCTTTGTCCCATGTGGCCTGGTCTCCCGGTCAGACCCACTGCTCCTGGGTAACCCTGTGAAGAAGTTCAGGTTCAGGTTTTTTAGACCACATTTTTTAATGTGGTTCTGGGTCACATTTTAAAACAAAAACGGCATTACAATTCATATCAATACAGCTTGAACCTGATGAATCTGTTTTGTTTTGATTCCATAGAAAGGGGAGTAGTTAAATGCACAACATGTAGGTGCAGGGCAGTGAAAAAACAGCAGACTGAGGAAGAAGATATGCCCGCACACGTGCCCAAATGCCACAATAAATTGTTTTTGTCCATCACAATCACAAAGTGTCGACCAGAGGTCTTCTTCAGGTGATACTTTTGAACTAAAGGAGGGGGCCACACCAATAGATTTCAACACCAATAGGCTGATAGGCTCTATGAGGGCAGGTTTGGTCAAAGCTTCAAAATGTCCCACAGTGAAACACATCTATTGTTAAATTCAATAGCACACACTTATTGTAAGCAGGCTTCAAGTTTTCACCACACAAAATAATATTTCACTCAACACAGACAGCATGCAGACTCAATACGACCAGTTTTCCATAATGTGGTTAATGCACACTACTTACCACAGTTCAATGCACAAAGGACATAAAGGAGCTGCTCAGAGTAGGAAATAAAGTTCATACTGGTCACTTACATACATGCCCACCGGTCCCTGGGGGCCCATCAACCCTGGTTTCCCTGTGAAGCCCTGAAGAGTAACATGAAAATAATCCTTTTTTACATTCATCAGAAAACCTGAAAACTAAAAAACTATTTCAGTGCAACCTTTTCTGTATGTATATTTTTACAAGGTTGTAAGAGTGAAAGCTGCCCATACAGTAACTAAGTGAAAAGAAGGAGGCCATATTCCTTAATTAAACAACAACTAATAAATGTAATCATGAGTGGACTAAAAATGATCATATCTTTATTTTTTTAAAAAGTGTACTCTACTAACTTTCTCCCCAGCTGGTCCAGGGATCCCGTCCTGACTTGGCTTTCCTCGAGGACCCTGTAAAAGTCAGAAAATAACTCCTTCAGTTTGTTTCACATCATCTAATATGTTAAGAAATACAGTGAAAGAGAGATGTAAACCCACCAGAGCTCCTGGAGAACCTGCCTGCCCTGCAGCACCAGCCACACCTACAATCCCCTGCAGAGACCACAGAGCTGCAGTTAGCATGGATGATTAGCAACATGATTTATTTGGTTAATGATGAGGGTGCTAACTCCTTTATAATCATATACAAAATATGATACCATAACATTTCAATAAGCAAAACTGAAAAACAGTAAATTAATGCCCTATAACACAGTTGAACACAAAAAGGCAAACAGACACAGAATATGAAACGTAAAGTTTAGTCTGATTTTGGGCTGTCAAATGTTTTTTTTGAATCGCTATTAAACGCTGAATTTCAAGAGTAAATTGTGATTAATCACATTTTTAATGGCATGCTTGAAATTCTATTATTATAGTTTCAAAACAGTTACCGGAATTGCGCAAAACATGCTTTTATTTGTGTACTGTCTCAAGATAAGGGTAATTCACTTCCTGTTTTGAAACAAACCTGCTTTTATTTCAGAAAATAAGGCACCTCTGGTAGATCGAAAGTTACGACAATAACTTAACCCAAAAAAATTAAGTTTTGCAAAGTTAATAAGGAAAGAATCATCTTCATGTCCTGATGCATGAGTAGAAATAATTTTTCCATTCAACATGAAAGGAACACTTTTTGTTAATATCAGGAAATAAAAGCATTTTTTAAAAATGTTTTAAGAATATAAAATGTGAGAAGGTTTTAGTGATGAATTCTTTATTGGCACTACATGTTCAACGTCATCACGTCTCAGGATCTAACAAGGTGTTACTGGTGAATGGATAATGTAACAGATGTAAAGTCAACAGTCTGCAGACAAGGAGAAAAAGGGAACAAATAACTGATTCTTAATCCATCTGTCTGTCACTGATTGCAAACCGCCACACGCTCGTTACAGTGTCAGATTTACAAAGATCATGATGCCTTTATCTTCCACAAAGAAGTCACTAACTGAAACAACTAAACATGAAACTGCTCTGTAAAGATTTAACGGGGGGAAGTCAGATTGGATCACATTTATGAGCCTGTAAACAAGTTAAACAGAACGGCCTGAAGTCCGCCCACAGGGTGAATGTCACAAAGACATCACCTTGTAATCAGTGCTTTTTGAAGGTCTCAGACTCATCTCGGAATTGAAAGCATTTTTACTCGGTCTTGTCTCGGCCTCAGAGGGGGCGGACTCCAGATTTTAAATCAAGACCAGTCAAGACCACCACTGATAAACTATTTTTCTTCTTCATTAATGTCATCAGAAGAAAAATGCCTCTTTCTAAAAGAACTCATAACTTCACTTCATTCATAATCTGATTTTCATCCCCTCGGTTTTACGGTCTAGGAGAGTGACACGCCCGCTGCACACAAGTCACCCTGCCACGGTCCTGGTCTTGACTCAGTCTCGATCCTTAATTGTCTTGTCTCTGCCTCGCCCTGCCTTGGTCCTGCTCTTGGTCATGTCTCGGTCTCGGAGCACTCTGGTCTCTCTTATGTCTTGGTCTCGTTTAGTCTGGTTTTGACTACAACACTACTCACTCTGTCTCCTTCAGGTCCAGGAAAGCCAACAGACCCATGGACCCCCTGCACATAAAGACACATCACCTTACAAATAAATCACTTTGTTAAAGGCTCAACGGTGAAATGGAGCTGGTTGAAAGTAAAGAATGCGACAACAAAAAAAAAAAAAAGCATTCATATGAAATGAAAATGTATAAATTGGGAACCTGTGTACCAGGCTTTCCTTCAGCTCCCTCAATCCCAACTCTGCCTCTAAAACCCTGAAACAATACACACAAACAAACACACACACACGGTTAACAGTTTAAAGGTTATTATATATTAGACATTTGAATCTATTGTTTGTTTTTATTGATCTTACTGGCAGGCCAGGGGGACCAAACAGGCCGGGGACTCCAGTCTGACCCTGTGAATGTAGACGGAAAGACGATAAATAAATTCTGCTCTTAATGAAGTTACGGATCTGATTGATCTGTCATCATATGTTCATCTTCATTCTGTGCTGGGGAAAGTTACCCTCCGTCCTTTGAGCCCTGTGTTCCCGTTGGGCCCTTGCATCCCTCTGTCGCCCTGAAAGGTAAATAAAAACACACTTTTCTTCAGAGTCTATGATATATGAGAAGAGTATTTACTGCTAAGCTTTAATAAAAGTCATGTTTAGTTCTTGAACTAGCCATTACACTAACACATCATTTTAGGAGGTGATGGCTGTAATAGATAAATCAGCAGTGATAATAGTAATACTAACAGGAGCAGTAGTATAGATGATCTGTGGTCATCACATGGTTCAAAGCTTTATGAGTCTTTAAGGAATGCAGTTTAACGACACACATGTCCCTGTGGTTATACATATATGACACGTACAGCTCTGTTTATTAGCTTGACTTCAGTAGGTAGCAATAAAAGCCTCTGACCTTTGACCCCTGATTCGCCACAGCTCCCTGAAGACCAGCCTCCCCATCTTCACCCTGAGGACACACAACAGAGAAACTCATCAGAGATAAGGCGCCTTACAGGCTCCTACAAATACACTTTAAAGGTGTTAATGAATAAAATGTGATGATTTTCTTCTTTTAATACAACCCAAGTTGAGTTTTAGTTTAGTGTTGTATTTGTGTTTTTTTTAAATTATTTTTAAAGTTTATAGTTTGTATTTTATTTTAATAGGATATACAGTTTATGTTGTATTTGTTTGGAACTATTGTCACATGCAAGTTGTTGTATGTGAACATAGTCTTGCAGTTAAAAGTCCAATCTGTAAGATATCTTCTGAATGAAATCATAAAGTGACCTTACTATGTAATCAGTCATTAAGGAAACATGCTATACCATCAAATCTTTTCACGTAAATTCTATTTTGTATCGATAAACTCTTAATTAATTTGATTATAGTATCGGGTTTTCTACAAAATAAACAACAGTGTTGATGATCTATGTGCAGTGTGTGGACACTGATGATGCAGTGATAGTGATCTGTACCTCTTTTCCTCTGGGCCCAGGTTGACCTCTCACCCCTGGAGGACCTGTGCTGCCACGTTCCCCCCTCTCGCCCTGATGACCCGGGATCCCTGCAGCACCAGGAGGGCCCTGAGGGAAAGAGAACGTTAGATGTTGTTGCTAGTTAAGGCGGGTAAAGGGAAGTCTGACACTAGGGGGGGACTAGCAATAACCCTGATAAATGATGGATAGATGGACAGGATGTTTACTGTCATTAAATCAAGAAATTATGATTGTTGCAAAAAGGTTATCATGCACTTTCTAATGTTCATTTTACATTTTTTACAATACTGAAATTACAAAAAAAACCTCAGATGGAATTCATCTAAACTTGACCTCAAACAGATGAAGCGGTTTCTTTAACATTATAATAACAATGAACATCTTCCTCTTACTTTGTCTCCTTTGGGTCCCGCCTCTCCTTTGTCACCATCCAGTCCTCTGAAGCCCTGCAGATCAACATCAAATCACATCTTGACTTTGGTTTTCTTTTCAAGAATGCTGACACAAGTTTGAACTCAATTTCTTTAAAATCTAATTCAGTTTTTATTTACCCTAAAACTAAACAAAGAAACAGGCTTAATGTGTCCAGGGTGTGCAGGACATGAGGACCCTATTCATCAGAACTATGGCTACATTCACTCTGCAGCTGAAACGTGACGTCAATCCATTTTTTTTGCACAGATGTGGCTCAGATCAGATTTTTTTATGACACTTTGAACAGCGCTGGTCACATGCAATCTGAAAATTTCAGAACAGATTTGGGCCACTTTCACATTTGGTCTTAAATTAGATGCAGGTCGGATCATTTGCAATGTGACCTCGATCTGAACAGCCAGGTCGGAATGCACAAGACTTTGAGGTCACTCTGGAGCTACAATCCTCAAAGCTCTGTGCTGACAGGACCGATGGGCAGGAATCAGTCACACTCAATGAAAATGAAGGAGGTAGTCAGTGGAGGGACAGGGAGGTGTTAGAACTTCACAGAATCTTTGGTGAAAACTTTTTTCAAGACAAATTTGAGGGGGCGAATATGTGTTTGAAAGCATTTCAAAAGAGATGTGCGAGTGTGGCCACAGAAGAACATGACTTCAGTGTCAGTAAAAAAGGAAGAGCTTTAAAACCAGATTTAAAGACGCTAAAGACCATGACTAATGTAGTGGTCGTTTACCAGCCTATACTACAATGAGTTAGAAATATTCTGGGTGATGATCCCAGCTGTCAGAGGTGCTTGATATAGTTTTGTAAAAGGAGGCGAAGTGGAGCCTGACACTCCAGAGAGTGGGTCCAGTTCTGTTGATAGCCCTCATATTGGCTTTGAAACAGGTAGGTTGACAAGCTTCCTCTCAGCTGATTATAGAGCAGATCACTTTTCCTTCACTCTCATGTCAGTCAGACTTCTTAATCTGAGTAAGACCAACACTTTGCTGCGTGTGACGTCTTTGTTGTTGATCTTCTGGGTCAGTTCACAAAAGAAAAAATCTGATAGAGGCCACATCTGAAGAGTAACCAGTAAAGTCAGGCACAAAAAAAATCTGATCCAAGCACTAAATCTGCAGTGCTAACATAGTCTCTGTGTCTGTCAGATTGTCTTTGGGGGGAGTTCTGTCCTTTGTGTCCAAAAACAAATGAATCAAACTTGAATAATCACAGGAGTACATCCCAAATGTTCATGTTGACATGTAACAGAAACAGAAAACAATGCTGCTTACAGTTCCTCCAGGATATCCTTTAGGACCAGGACTCCCAATCGGACCCTAGAAGAGCAAACAGAACAAAGAGAAATCCTAAAATGTGAGCCAGTATGTATCAGAACAATAACAGACTGTCTGACAACGTATGATCCATGTTCACTGCTGTTGGAGTTCAAAACGGGGCGGCTGTCATGAGCTATTTCTGGCTAAGTGGTGAACAAAGACGTCGAAGAAGTCCAAGTCAGGTCAGACGTCTTATCAAGTTGTTTCCTGTCAATCAATACTTGTCAGTGTCGAGTCTCAGATATGGGTAAGCACATAACGAGTGAATCTTTAGTCTTGGGTCGCCCTAGGTCTAAGGTTGTCCAAATATTTGATACTTTGATTCTTTTCCATACTGTATCACACGTCTTAAAGCAATCTCCATTATTTGAATGATCAACAGTATTGAAAAGTACAGAAGCTTTAAAAAACAGCAGATCTAAGGTTATATTCTTAAAACAAAGCTGCAGCGAGCAAAAAAGAGAGAGAGAGCAGTGATGGTTCATTCAAAATCACAGGTTGGTAAATACTGACGTTCTTTTGGTGTCCAATAAAGATGCAAAAAGTTACACTGTGTCTCTCACAAACACAGAGAGAGAGAGAGCAGAGGAGGTGGCAGGAGCGTCATTTTTTTTTCCTAATTGAATCAGCAAGAAATTAACCTAATATTAGATCCTATGACTTGTGTTATTGTTGCCGTTGTGTAGAAACAGGTGCAGGTATTGTTTGATTTTGACTCGTTTCTCATCAAAGTTTAAGATTCTGGTATTGTGAGAACCCTGCCGAGGTCCAGTCTCAAGTCCCGTCAAGTCTCAACTCAGACAAGTCCTTTGAGCCAGCTGACACAAGTCTTGTTCATTTTTTTTAAATAAATCAAAAGTCAGAGTCAATTTGTCTACTACGCTGAAACTACAGACTGTATTCAAAAATCATGAGAGTTAAAAAATATCCATCCCTTCAAACAATCTATGAGCGGTCCATTATGAGACAGGAATAAAAACATGTGTCTGATCCCTCTGTTAAAGGAGTCAGTGTTCTCTAATCTGAACCACTATAAGCATATAGTTCTGCCTATTCCCATAAAGAAATCTGACAATTTACCATGGTCCCTTCCCTGCCAGGATTTCCTTTTACTCCCATTGGCCCAGTTTCACCCTGATAGAGAGAACAAAAACATCAGTATTTGTAAAAAAAAAGTTTGAATTAGTGAAGTTATTTTCAGATCTTTGCATTAACACTCACCATGTCCCCTTTCTGACCAGGAGGAGAGTCATTGCCTGGTGGACCCTAAAGAGAAAAAACAACAATAAATGAACGCATTTTATAATAATATGAAGTCTTTTAAGACCAGGTTGCATTTTCTCAGAAACAATAGAAACACTATGCCAAACTGCAATCAATCTAAATATTGAATACAACCGAGAGGCCCTGGTAACTAATTATTACATTTGTTCATGGCATGCTGATATTCAATAAGAGGCTGTTTTCCAGAGGAACTGGTTGAATTGTGTCCTGTAACATTTGGATACATCTCCTACTTTTCTAAACTGTCATTTCTCTAAAGTTTAAATGTAGATGATTTTGTCTTCTGTACATCAGTACACAGTCAACGCTTAAAGTTAATCCAACTGTAGAAGAGACTGTCAAATACCTATATGTCCATATTAAATATGCACAATATGAATGTCTGCAGCATGTCCCTGCAAACACTCTCTACAGATCAAGAGTCGATGTCAGCAGAGAGCCGGCTGAGCACACAGTGTGATCCACACATTACACAGAAAGACTCACAGATATTCTATAAGTAACATAATCAGTCCTCCCAGTTTCATCACCATAACAGACACCAATGTTAATAATAGACTGATCAGTCTGTTACCATACTTAGCTGTTACTGTTACAGTAACACAACACATACTTTTACCATTAGTTCTGACAGTGTAGCTGTGAATCTATCTTATTCTTAGCTGATCCGTCTCTCACCTCCTGCCTCTCCCTCTATCCTCTCTCAACCCAAACACAGAGTCAGCAGATGACTGTTCAACATGAGTCTGGTTCTGCTCGAGGTGTCTGCCTCTTAAAGGAAGTTTTTTGTTACCACTGTAGCTTTGCTAAATGTTGCTAAGTGCTGTGTTCATGATGGATTAATGTTGGGTCTTTATAAGTAATAAAATAAAGAGTGTAAAGGTCTTTTATTTGCTGTTTTTCTAAAGTGTCTTGAGACAACATTTGTCATTAATTGGTGCTGTAGAAATAAAGACTGATTAATTGATTGATTGACCTAACCTGCATATCATCAGACAGGGGGAATAAACCCAAGTACAAGTTATAATTAATGCAGGGATTGTATTTTTTCCTGCTTATTGTTTACTGCGCATGTGTATTTGAATGTATCTCTGTGACTGTACCTTTTATGTTGTTTATGATTAGCACTTTGTGTAACCTAATAACAAATCCTCTTAGTTTATTTACCTGAAGTCCAAGAGGTCCAGGTAAGCCCATCTCTCCTCTTAGTCCCGACGGTCCCTGTGAGAGATGCATTAGACCCGGCTGAGTTCACATCTTTGATATAAGTGAAGTCTAGCTGGTGATCTTAAAGACATACCTGAGGGCCTCTACGACCTCTTGGACCAGTCGGACCTTGATCTCCCTGTAAACGACACAGAGAAGACACTGTAGACAATCTGACTTTAAAGAAATGTTTCACTAAATTCAAAGTGTTCATGACTTCACCTCAGACCCGTTCAGTCCAGGAGGTCCTATCCCTCCCGTGGCCCCCGGTGCACCCTACAACATTCAGACTGAAAATGAGTGTTTATCTTGTCATCTCAAAATCACCAAAACGACAAACCTTTCTGAGGTAAGTAGAAACACTACTGTTAGCTCACCTCGAGTCCTGGAGGACCTCTCATACCATCTTCTCCAGCATCTCCCTGATTATAAAGGTCCAATAAGTTAGTGAGTTTTTGAGTGAGGAGAACAGAAACAGAATGAGAGCGGTGCAGTGTAGCAGGTTTTATACCTTTGGCCCTGGAAGTCCAGGAAGCCCCTTTAAGCCTCTTTTACCCACAGGACCCTGAACACAACAAAGTGCAGTCAACTTACACATTATATTTGCTACATTTATGAAAAAGAAATATGCAAAATGTTTATTTTGACTGGTTAACACAGCAGCAAATAAGAAGAAAATACAAAAACAAATCGTATGATTTAAAGGAAGACATCATAGAATGACAGATTGATCGATTGAAAAGTAAAACACATTTCTAAGGAGTACAATATGATCTCTAGATACTGGGTGAGTTTTTGAGCACTTTCTCAAAATATGTGTTCACAAATACAGTCTTTAAAACTTCTGGACTGAAGTTTGTGGACTGGAGAGTTAATTGATCTGCATGTTTAAAATCATTGCACTGTTCCTTTAAATAGTCTTGACTGGTTGTCACACTTACAGGAGGCCCAACAGATCCATCTTCTCCTGGTTCCCCTTTAGACCCCTGAAGGGCACACAAACATAATGCAGAAAAAAAAAAAATCACATTTTTCATAATATGTCCATCAAATGCACCATATTCATTATCAGGAAATTCTGGTATTCTTAAACCTAGAGCCTATTTTTTTTTCTCAAATGATTAGCTCCGACTGCTTTTCTCGCAAAAGTGCCGAACTGTAACTAAGCTCAACCTTCATCACATCTTAGTACATTCATACTGTTTCCATGACGGCGTAATATTGGTGTCCCAGTCACATTGCGTTTCTGCGCTGTGAAATCAACTTGGATCAGTTGTAAAATACTTTTTGTAGCTGTTAAGGATTTAAATGTCGAAATATGCAAAAATTAAGAACCCTGGTTTAAAAACACCAGAAATATCATTTGAATTGTCATGAACTAATACTGTGTAGACAAAGTAGGTGAAGAAGTGTTAATAGGTGCAACAGGTTTTCAAAGGTTTGTTCACTGGAGACTATTCTTGACCACTAGAGGGGGCTACAGTAATCTTATTTAGCATCTGCAGCTCACCTGAAGAAAAAGAGGATCACAGCAGAAGATGGTCACAATGTTTTTTTTCCATACTGACCTTTTCTCCTGCTCCTCCTTTGTCTCCCTCTGGTCCAGGCTCTCCTGTGAAGCCCTGCAGGTCAGGACACAGAAAAGCTAAACTTTATAGCAACATCCCTCTTTGTTCTTTTTCAGCACAGCAGGATATTCACAGAGCGGTCCAGCGCAGCCTGTTGGCCAATGAGCAGGGACTCAAATATTTGCTACTAACTGACTGTTTTAACTCCAGGTCTAATGCACGCTCTGAAGTACTCCAGTTAGAGAGCAAAGAGGGCAGCAAATGTCTTCATCCAACAGAACGAGCTCCACAGGTGATGCAGTGAGTTGATATTAATAATACGTAGAAAATCATAACATTATAACACGGAACGTCTCCTTTTATTTTTCTTTCATAACCAGAAATGTTTCACTTACGTATCTGAAGACTTATTATGAAATCATGTCTTAGTGTCTTAATGAGGAAACGGTTTGCAGAGAACACATCACAAGAGTCAAAAATATGTTTTAGTTACAGAAACCAAAAGCACAGAGGGGAAAAAACACCTTCTGATCCATGTATGCATAATTACAGAATACACTTTCTAAGTCTCAAATATCTCCAATATATAAAACAAGAAGAAAAGGGGGGTTTGCCAGGTAGAAAGAATATTGTCTTTGTAAATTGTAAATTCGCTAAATTGCTATTTTTTTTAAGGCTATATTTGTCTTTACTCAACAGTTGAAGCTGTAAAAAAAGAGAAAATGTGCTAAAAGAGAGGGGATGACATGCATCAAAGGGCCCAGGGCGGGATCACAGGCCTGTGGGGTCAAGGACTCAGCCCCTTTATATGAAGCAAGCAGGGTGAGCTATTGCAATAATCTCTGACATGTTGTTTTTCGTCTGTCAAAACTGGTGAAAAAGTACAACTGGCACTCATTTTCCCCATGTGTTTATAGTTTTAATACTAAGATTGCAAAACTTCTTCAGATTCGAACTGTTAGCGTTCATGTTTTTTACCAGGTGAGTTATGACCTCTACATGTGCTCAACAAAGAAAAACATTACAGTTTTTCTACATATAACTGTTTGAAATCATCTCAGAGTTAGGAAATAGATGAACACGTGTCTTTCTCCTCACATGTCTCTGAGTGCTGCTGTTACAATAAGATCACTTCTCCTGCTCAGAAAGGTGATCTCTAAAGGACAGGACAACTTGTTCAAGCTTTTAAAATATATATATTTTTTCACATTGTTGTAAGGGAGAAGAAATAAAAGATGGCTTGACCTTATTTTATTTAAGGAGTGGGAAATATCTATAGAAAAATACCTATAAGTGTGTGGTCTACATGTTTGTCTCAATGCTCATTGGTTACTCGATTCGTCTGAACTCACCTCATCACCTTTCTCTCCTGGTGGAGCCGCATCACCTTTAAAACCTCTGGGACCCTGAGAGGAGAAACGAGTTTAAACACATAACACAGGCTAATCATCATCAAATCTCTGAGTAAAGAACTCTCAGAGTGAGTGCTGGTATCTTCACCTTCAGTCCAGGTAAACCTGGCGGCCCAGGACGACCGTCCAATCCTTGACTTCCATTCCTGCCCCACCGTCCAGGGTTCCCAGGGAGGCCTTTTGGTCCGGGATAGCCCTAAAACAGAGACACACACAGTCACATGATCTGAGGTCAGCATGTATACTGCAGCAACTGATGTTTCAGAAAGGATTGTTAGCTTCATCGTTTACCATGTCTCCTCTCTCTCCTGGTGTCCCTCTGCTCCCTGCATCTCCAGGAATACCCTGAAACATGAATACATTTGAATAAAATAAACTCAATTCAGAACTATGACAAGATGAAGTAGGATCAAACATGAGGAAGTTAAAAAGAGGACAACGGAAAAGGGAGCCTAATGTAAGTAAGATGAAGTGAAACTCACTGGATGTCCAGGTTTGCCCGTTTCACCCATAAATCCAGGAGGGCCGGGTGTCACCTTAAGAGCAGAGGAAACAAGGGTGACTAACTTCCTCTGATGGAGTGATTCAGATCAGAACTAAATGTTGAGATACTCACCGGCCAGCCAACTCTGAGCATCTGATACACAGATGATCTCTGAAAAAATAAGCAATCACAATCAGAACGGAATGATTTATGTGAAAGGTAAAGGGCTAATCAAACAATAAATATGGTTAATGAAACTAACCAGGAAGTAGAAATCAAATCACAGCTTGTCAAATAATAATAATAGACTGTTTGAGTTTGGGGTGTTTTAAAGTCAAATGAAGTTCAGCTGAGGCTGAGGGGGAAGTATTTCATTTATACTACCTGATAAAATATCCTAATAAGGAATTATGATTTAATTGATGTCATACGGTAAGATAAAGACATTTGAACTGGAAATATGTATCAGTCAGTCACACAGTAGAAGAAGCTTTTTTCCCTCATCACCCCACCACAAAGTGTCACAGTTCAGGTTTTCACACAGAAGAGATTATATAAGATAAAACGTAAGAGACACTTATCGTAAAATAGGGAGCTCATGATACACTCAGGTGGCCAAAATAACTAACAAGAGGTCAAAAAGCTCCAGCAACACTTGTAGTATAAAGATCAACTTAACGGACACGTTTCGGCTTGTGGCCTTCATCAGGGTCATCAAGAAACACATTGCAAACATAGTTTAAATAGAGTAGGTACAAAATTGAGAAAAAGGTAAACTCAACCAATCAAATACATCCACATATGTATACCTCAGCCAATTAAGGCACATGCAAAATAGGACTGGTTAGTTTTGTTGTATTTACATATGTGGATGTATTTGATTGGTTAAGTTTACCTTTTTCTCAATTTTGTGCCTACTCTATTTAAACTATGTTTGCAATGTGTTTCTTGATGACCCTGATGAAGGCCACAAGCCGAAACGTGTCGGTTAAGTTGATCTTCATTGCTGGAGCTTTTTGACCTCTTCAAGCCTTCCACTCTTCATGCACCTTGCTAGTTGGTGAAGTTGTGACAGAAAATCCCGCTTCGCTTCTCCAAAATATATAACAATAAAAACTTTCCACTGTCATATCTCTAAAAAAAAAAATAAACATTTGGACAAAACAAGCGTAACACATCATGCAGCACGGTAATCGTTTAATCTCGATTATCTTTTACGTGATCGTGGGAATCTAAATGTCCAGCACTAACCGGGGCCCATTCAAGATTGGAAACCTGGGATCACGCCTGCTTGAAACTCCAAGTTCACATGTGGAGCTCACACTATAGAGTGCTGCAGAGTAAAAATGAGCTCCAAAGACATTCACTCAGGTAGAGCAGCTGAGAGTGATTGAGTATATTGCTTCATTAACACAGGCGGTGGGGCTTTTCTCTCACTCTTTACGTCTTGTTAGTTGTTACACTTGAGGTTATAGATGGAGCCAAAAGACCTCAGAGTGAGTAACAAAGTGTTAAAAGCTCCACTCAGAGCGTCTCCTAGCGCTCTGATGGTTGTTGAGAGATGCAGCACAAAGCTCTCTGTCACTGCGTGTAACTCCAGCACACAGGAGTCCTTCTGGTTCATTACACCACCCAGCTCTGCTGCTCCCGCACATATTTGTCTTGGCAGCGGAGCAGCAGCGGGGGTACGAGTGGAGGCCTGCCAATCCTGTCAGGGTGAGGCTACGGCTTGGCAGGGAGGCCTGGACCTCCCTAAAGTCTCAGTGTGTCTCTGTGCGACGAGCAGTCAAGAGCCTTCAGTGTGCTCTCCGACACAGCACACACACTGAGGCCTTTCACAGCCAGCCTGACCCGCGCGTAGAGCCGGTCAACTCAGAGCACAGGGCCTGACCCAGGACTGAGTTCTGGATGAGCTCCAGTTACAATGCCTGCTGATCCTTCAGCTCTTGTTACTGTCTGAGGGAGCACAGAGAGAGAGCTGTGGGCGTTTAAATACACCGTGGACACACTGGGAGAGGATTACTCAGCCCTGTCCTGAAATAGAAGCTAACTTCTCCCCATGTGATCTCCATCTTTATAAAGTCAACTGTATGAGCATGTCACTGTGTGAACTATGACTTTGATGTGAGTCTCATATGTTCAGTTCTTTATTGAAACCTTTGAGGATGAAATTGATAAGTTACATCTTGGATTTGTCCGTTTTTTAGGTCATGCAGTTCAGTTTATTGTTTGAACTTTGACCAACTGCACTTACCGTAGTTGTGCATGCATGTTTTTTTCTGTGCAGTGACAAATTATGACTGATATTTCAAGGTGACTCATTCACCTTTTACACCACATGTCACACCTACCCATTCACACACTGATGGTAGAGGCTGCTGTGTAAAGTGACCATCAGAAGAAACTTATTCCATGCATACACATTCATATGTGTCTTGCCCAAGGACATATCAGACATTTATCTGAAGGAGCCGGGGATCGAACCCCCGACCTTCCGGTTTAGAAACAACTGACCCTACCAACTGACCCTTAGTATACTTATTTTAGGTGGGAAGAAGAAGAAGAAAGAGGAAGAGGAGGTAGACAAATAAGAATTAGAGGACCGTCATCAACAGTATAAGATGATCATTATGCATCACCAAGGTCTTCATTTCCAGCTCTTTCTACCAAACATGCTTATACTGAGTCACCCAGAGAAAATGGAAAACCTGAAGAGGCTTCAAACTAATCCTGCTTTCATGTTATGTGCTATAGGAATAAATAGAATAGAACCACCCGGAGAGTCAGTCAACACTTTGGAAAACCACTGTCCAAAGTTGACCTCTTATTATGCAGAAACATGGCAGATAAAAGGAAATGTCGGGTTGACAGTGAGACGATATCATAAACTTTTATTCTCACGTGTCATTTGCAGACTAGTATTTGGTTGCAACCATTAGTTCACTTTGAGGGTCGAGATGAGATGGAAAAAACTTTTCATTGTATTTAATTATGTCTGATTCACAGACCAGAACCAGCTGAAGAAAGTGTTGTTTAAAAGCTTTGAGCAATACAATTCAACACATCTTCTTTATATGTCAATTGTTTCCACATGAAGACTTCAAGCTCATGAACACACTAAAGTTCAAGTTCACCCTGTTTTTCACTAAAGTCAAACCATTGACTTTCCAACTCCAGGAAATCTGAGAAGCACTTGAATGCAGCACAGACACCCAGGTGGCCTTTGATAACCCCTATCCCTGCATATAAAGGCAAAAGATGTCATGTGTGATGGATTATATGTAATAGAAGGCACACACTGCATTACCATGCACTGACCAAAAACTACTGTGTTGTTCATTCTCTGTGTGCATAGAAGGAACTATCCCAGTGGATGCTAGCATGCTTATAATGTGTCTGTAATCCAATGCCTGGATTACTACACATCCTAAGGACACACGCAGCTGAAAGTCGCCAGTTAACATGGTAACTCGTTAAACCCAAACACCATGACCATTAGGTTCATGTACAGAGGGAAATGTTGGTGATACGGGATGCTGACTGTACTGACAGTAAGTCCAGTTCATCAGTCATCAGTCACCTTAGCTGATCTGATGTTACTGTTGATTATTGATGTTTATTAAGTCATTTCTTCAGATCTCAGAATGAATATACAGTAACAGTAACAGTACAGTTTGATGTTACTGTTGATTATTGATGTTTATTAAGTCATTTCTTCAGATCTCAGAATGAATATACAGTAACAGTAACAGTACAGTTTTGACAAAACACTCAAGGCGCGGCTGGAAAGTTGTCGTGAACACGAGGTCAAACAGCAGGTGTGTCTCCGGCCTCAGTGTGAAACTTTGAGCTGCTGTCTTTGCCTCCCTTGTAAACTTAGTATGAGTATTCCTGATAAAATAAAGCTTAACTCAATAATTGAAACACCTTAACTTTCTAGTGACTGCCACTCAACCTCAGCCTTTAATAAAACTACGCTCATAACTTTGCATAGTACTTGTGAGAACTACAGAAAGAAATCCTGGGTGAACATGGTGGCTGGTCAGTATATTTTAGACTATGTATCATTAAACACCCGTTTATACTCAGAACACATGACTCATGAGTCATAATGATTGTTTAGAGTTTAAACATGAAGCTCCTATGTGAGAATAAAATAAAAATAAAAACATGCTGCTGCCACTGAGGCAGCGACATCAATCAGTCAAATGGTTTGTATGTGTCTAGTGGTCTGTACCAGTTTATACAGAAACTTTATATACTGAACACGGGGGGTTTGTGGTATTAAGACACTGTGACATTAGCAGTTAGGAATAGACAAAGTGGTGAGGACATTCAGGACGTTGGTCTCCTGCTCTGGCTGGTTGTTGTGTGGGTGTTTGTATTTAAATGTACCCTGAAAGCCGTCCAGTCCTCCTCAGAGTTTTTCCACAGATAGAGGGTGGGTAGTCCTGGAGGTCCTGGAGGCCCTGGATCCCCTCTCCTCCCGTCCAGACCTGGAAGACCTTGTATACCCTGGAAGAGACGAGATAAAAGGATGATCAGGAATAAAAACAACAAATAGGAAGAGTGGGAAAATGATTGAAAAAAAGACACAGAGCTTTCAAAGTAAAAGGGCGTAACAAGCAGAGTTCTTGCTCAACAAAATATAAATCAAATCACAGGTGTGCTGTCCTATGTTATCTGTTATCAATCTTGTTTTTGTTTTTTTAATCAGGCTGGGGTGAAAACAGTCATTCAAAGCTGATGAAGACCTGGACTGCGACCCCTTTGAAAGATAAGTATGGTTCAAACACAGTCAAAGGGATAATCACAGGATAGCAGAAATTCCCTGTTTGCAAAAATTCAAAAGCTTATAAAATCCATGTCCTTGAAATAGTCAGAAAATAAATCCATTAAGTCTAGACAGATTCACATCAATGTTTGATAAGGGTACACTTCAGATATATCTGAATGATCATAAATCTTTCTAGATATGGAGTGCATTAGAGGGCATATAAGTCGAGAGTCCACTGCCTCGTTGTGCACTGCTGTGGTTTTGCCCAGATGACAGCATGCACCATAACCTACTGGTACCACTTCTGAAGTGTAGCGCAGGGGAGCACAGCCCCGAGCAGCTTGATTCACAGAGTCAAAACAACACTGGAAAACTACAAGATCACAGGGTAAAAAAGAGAACAACATACACTAAAACTAATTCAGGTTGCAACCTCAATAGAACAGGACATCACACACCCACTGAACACTCACCTCGCCCCACTTCCCTCAGGACGAAGGTACAGAGCTCTAAGGTGCAGAAAGGCTCGCCTCGGGAGGAGCCTGATCCCCGCTGTAATAACGGTCCTGAACAAAAGGCCTCGCTGAACAGGCCAGAATGGGAACTCTTGACTGTTGTCTAACCCTGTTCGTTTGTGTTATTCTCTGTTTTTCTGTGTATAAATGTTCTTTGGTGGGACTTGTCTGTTGGACAGTAACGGTGCTGTGAAAAAGAATTTCCCCTCGGGGACAATAAAGTCTAAAGTCTAAAAAAGGTTACTGTGCCTTTAGGAGGTTGATTTTCTGTTCACTTTGATCACAGCCGACTATGATCAGACGCTCTATGCGTTCCCCTGTCTGACTTCCTGTCCAGAGGTCATTTGTTCTGTTCAGCTTCACGTGTAATGGAAGCAGCTCCGTCAGAAAAAAATGTGGGTGAGGCAGTACCTGAGTTTGTAGGGGCTTGGGTTGGAAACTGCAGGGTGGTAAGTCCCATTGCGGACCAAGTCTGGAAATTGGGTCTGGTAGCTGGAGAGGTACGAGTTCACCATCTGAGCACTGTCAAAGTGCGCTTGAGCAAGGCACCAAATATCCAACTGCTCAGGTTCTCTTTCGGGCACAGCCCCTCAACTCTGATATCGTTCATTCGTGCAAGAACAAAGCATCCTGTTTGTGCATGTGTGTGTATTCCTGGTCCTTGTGTGTGTAGTAGCATGTGCAACAACAGAGTGAAGAAACTGATTTCCCCTTGGGGATTAATCAAGTTTGTCTTCTACTCCTTCTAAATAGATTTGGTGTGTATTTCTAGAGGCGCAGAGCAAAGTGGAACACCTCTGAGACGTGTCCTGTGTAAACACGAGGACTGACTCGAGTGGGCAAGATCACCTCCAGAGGGCGCACTGCAGACGGTAAGTGCATCCTGTGGAATCAAGAATTACTCAGAAAAGACAGTTTGGGCTGTTTTAAAAGTGATGTGATTGTGTTGTTGGTGCAGAAGAGTGTTCTCTGCAGGATGAAAAACAAGTTAAATGAGTATGACTTGCTGTAAAAAAATCTAAACTGATGAGACTCTACTCACAGCAATATACAGTTTATCAGAATGTGAGATTATTTGGCATCTGTAGAGATCAGACAGGTTTACAGAGTTCGCATTTTCCTCAGTTAACTAAGTAACTTAAAACTTTTAATATAGTCCTGTTAAATTTATCAGATCTAGAACTTGAAACAGGATGGGTGTACACACTTCCACGTGCACTTCTTACCTTGTCGCCTTTGAATCCCATGTAGCCTTCCCTCCCAGCACATCCCTGTAAGACAAGGCATTGAGATATTTTAGCCTCATGTATACAAGTTGTGGTCTGCACCCTGCCATTACCTGCGGTGTGATGATCTGAAAAAAGAAAAGGTCACTGTTGTCTATCCAGGACATTATTAATGCAATGTGTTTCAAGCTATCTCTCTACCCTGCAATTGCAAAGAAAAAACCAGTATGAGTCAACCTCTCTTAGGTTGATGCAACCACACTGTTTGTAGAGAATAACCCAAACCTCCACTTACCAATATAATACAGGCCTTTTACAGAGCGGTCATTGAGGAAATTACATAAACTACTCGAGGGAAACTTTCTGTGTTGAGAGAATATATTTTGGTATCACCAGAGAACAAGAGCTCTATTTGTTGGATATTTTTCCTCAAGTGAACTCGGATGTTTCCTTCGAGGGAAATTAAAGGAAATTACGTTTTTCTTTTTTTAACCCAGGCTTTATTTTTCTCATGTTAGGGTCTAAATGACTATTAGGAACAGTAAAGTTTTGGGTTTGCTGCAGTAGATTGCTGCAGAAAATCTATCAAGTGTGCAACATGTTACACGGGGAGAGATACTGTTTCTTTTTCAACAGACGGGATCAGATTGTTATTCTAAGTGGCTTACACAAATAGATAAAGGAACCCTTCCTGAAAAATGATCAATGATCTTTTTTAAGCCACCAGACTCCATTCACAAAAAAACGTTATTTACCATCAGAAAACAGGAGCTGCTGACTTACAGCGGCTCAATATTATTTTGTACCTTTGATGTTTTAACTGGTTAGTTTCAGATCAAACACAACTTGCCTAACACAAAATGACACGATCAAATCTGTTGAGGCAGAGGTGGACCACACACAAATGATATGCTTGTTGTTTTTTAAGTTTATACATTTTGTATGTTGTATTTTTTATGTATATCTTATGTAGGTATGTTTGTTGCATGAGGACTCCAGGAAGAGTAGCTGCTGCATGTGTGGCAGCTAATTGGGATCTGAATAAAGGAATAACGACACTCGTGTTCTGAGAGATAAAATTGCTATTTTTGTCAATCTGGTCAGGTGTCTCTGAAGTGAGCATCCTAATGGTTGTTTCTGATTTATAAAAAATCCTAAGGTGTAGCTCTTTATGAATATTTTCTGTATCAATGTCCTGCTGCATAAATTACTCACCAGAGCCCTTTTAATTAATCTTCCTCTGATAGGAATCCCCAACAGGCACCCAACTTTACAACTCTCTGAGTAAGGCTTTCTAAAAAAAAAATTAGTATCCAGCACTCTCAGGAAATGACTTGACCTTTTCAAAGTTTCAGTTTAGGGCTGTATAGATGTAAAGATAGGCACCGGTCTCCCCCGCTGAGATTAAAGCTACAGTATGTCTGATTTCAGGGGCAGCATCTTTCAAGGTGCACGTTCAAAGACCAATCACATCACAGCTGTGTCAAAGGCCGACCTATTTCAAACACCCCTCTAATTTGCGTCTGACAAATTCTTCCTTTCCCTCGCCAACGCAGGATCAATCCGTTGAATGCTTCTTGGCTCAACATATTCTGAGATTTATTACATGCCAATTCAAACTATTTGCAAACTTCAAGCGGCCGATCAATGACACTTTTAAAAGTAAGTCATTGGTTTTACTTCAATCAAAAAGCTGCCAATACTAATGAAAAAAAAACTGGCCCAAAAACTTTTAATTTTCTATAAAATAATAGGTTACGTTCTGTGCTGTTAGCTATGTTAGCTAGGTCTGGTGCAGCTGTTGTGGTTGCTAGGCGACAATTTTTTTTTAATAAACTAAAGGTTAAAAGCGGGGACAGTTGGTGACACAAAGGGGGAATCCTCCACAGACAAAAAGACAAGATATGAAGGGTCCTAAGTTACATGGTTATTATCTTGTATTTCTGTTGTTTATTCCTGAACCATTTGAATTCAGGTTTCTCAATGTTGAGAAAGACATGCTTACTCTTCTTCCCTTTGCTCCCCTTGGACCAGACAGGCCTTTGTGGATTCTGTAGATTTTCTGGTCCAATCCGTAGACGATGTTTCCTGTCCCCGTGACAGGTTCAGACGATAGTGACTCCCTGTGCTGCACACTGAGAACCTGCCCTTCAACCTTGTTGCTTAAAAGTCTGTTTGAGCCAACATCTTGAACATCTTCCACCAACCTTATCATGTTCTCCTTTGTCAGGGAAGTAACATTGTTCAGTTTCACCTCAGACATTTGTGTCTCTGAATCAGGGGAGCTTAAGTCCACGACAGTATATAAAGCTGAGTCTGCAGAATTTCTTTGGATGATATTTTCTTCTAATGTTTTGATGCTTGTGGACGAGTCGATGTCGTGAAATCTTCTGTCTTCATTTTTAATGGCCGACAGGATGTGAGGTTCCTCGACGAGTATGAAAGCACGCTCAGCAGGATCTCGGTGGGTGGAGTCCTGAGGGTTTCTCTCCGACAGGTGAGCCTGAGAGGAGAGAGACAGGAGAAAACTGTAATAAAAAAGATGCACCATAAACGGCATCACATGTTCAATCCTGGAAATAAAACAACAAAAAGGATTATGCTGAAGAGGAGGCAGTCCACAGAACACCTCTTACATTCAAGAAAATCAAGTGTAATGAGTTATTGTGTTAAACAGTAAATCACCATAGGGTCAATATACTCTCTGTCTTAAAATGGGGGGTTCGGTAGTGGGTTTTTTTTAAGGCTCATATGTAGGGGAGAGAAGGGTTAATCTCGATTTCCTCCTGAACCCTTACTGCCCCGATTGACCTCACCTGGAGAGTGATTGAGTGCATGAGGCTGCAAAGGCTCAAAATGAGTTAGTAGGAATGGGTTATTCCTTCACACTAAATCTGCAGTTATGCCCACGTAAGGGCAGGGTGCATTAAGGACTCGAAAAGTCAGCGAGAGATCCCTCACTCTTGACGATTTGACGGCTGGACAGCCCTTAGCCCTCACAGATTTAGCGGGAACGTGCATCAAAGTCAGTGTGATTGGGCCTGATGTGTGAGTGGCTTGGGGGAGCTGTGCCAGAGTTGACACAGGTGAGATCTGTTGGCTGATTGTACTCATTCTCTCTTTCTTTGCAGTAGAATGCAGGAGCTGGGCAGAGACACACTTTTACAGTCTATGAGACACGCACACACGAGCCTGAGCAGCAGGATATACAACTCGCTGGAGGAGCATTTTCTGTTGGGACTTTTGATAAAGAGAAGTGAATAATCTATAGAAACACAGAGCCAGTTATGTGAAGATTTGTTTATGTTGTTCGATAGTTTGTGTGTGTGTGTGCAAAATTAAAGAATCTAAATACAATGTAGATGTAGTTGTGTGCTTCTGTTGTACTGAAACAGAACCTAGAAGCAGTCAACTGTTTCAGAGGGAGAGAATCAAAAAGGACTGCAGCATGCATTTTCTCAGGAGAGAAATTTAAACAGAATCCAGATTAAAGACTCTTTCTGTGCAGAGCTCATATGTTCTACCAGTTTTTACCAACAAAGAAACACAAAAACTACCAGCATTCTTTGAAAACAAATGAAAAAGTTGTTTTAATTGCAGCTTAATAAATAATTTTGGAAAAGTCTTTGGGGAATAGAGAGCAGATTAGATTGTTAAACAGAATTGTAAAGTCAAAACTTTTTTGAAATAAATATTGAAACATTTTGAGTATTTGGTGAAATTTGTCATTACACTGTCAACTCTTTAAAAACGCTGGATCTATTTAAACATACACATGTAGTGATCAATATGCATTCATGTGAAAATATTCATATATAACTAATGCAATAGAAAAATAATGACGATGTTGATTTTCAGATGGAGATTATCTTATTGGCTGGCTCAACTAGTGTTTATTTTGCCACTAGATGGCAGTGTTTAATCTACAACATAAACACACAAGAATCATTTGGCACATACTGCATACCAAAGGACTAAAAACACTCTCAGTTGAGAGTCATGAAGGCCTAAATTAATCAATGAATGGGTTTCCATTGGTTACAAGTACATTTCACATATTTTATCGAGATCTTGAGAAATAAACTAGTTATCATGGGAAAGCCAGCGTTGTCGTCTCAGATTAAGCATATAAATGATTTAAGATCTCGAGAAAACAGCTAAAAAATGACTTGCTATCAGGGAAGTAAAACAAAATGTATGGATGTTTGTTGAAGAGTTCTGTAAATTTGAGCAAAAGATGGAATTGAATAAGCACGTTCAGGCTCGACAGAGGACAGACCCTTTGGACACTGTAAAGAAAGTGACAAACCGTTGATGCCTTTCGACAAAAGAAGCTCAGATTCCAACGTTGGGCTCCAGAAAATAAAAGCACCATGCACATGTGCTGTTATAAGGCAATAATCGGGCAGCTGCATGGCTTTCGAAGTAGGTCACTGATACAAGTCTGGAGCTGATAGACTTCAAAGACCATCTGATGCAAAAATGAGAAAGACAGCGGTGCTCAGCTGAGAGGCACGAAGAGGAGGCTGAATACAGACACAGTACAGGCACAAATTCCCCGTATTCACCCTCACACAATGTTTCCTTTATCCTGGACAAGCTGCCATTATTACTGCAGCTCTCCCAGCCTGCAGACACTTGATCGCTCTGCACCTGAGCCTGTTTGTGCAGCTAATCTCCCCAACACGGCCGATCACTCTGACAGACTGAGACCACTGTGCTGAGAATCAAAAAGCAACGCTAAGCTTAAACACTCCAAAACTAAAGACCCTACACAGTGCTATTACAGAGATTACATAGAGCGACATATGATCACACTTGCTTTATACTTTATATATTTTCATTAGATTAGAGAAAAAGAAGCAAGGGGGGGATGAAATCAAAGCTTAAGTGGCAAAAGCTGCAGTTCCTCCACTGTCCACTTGAGGCTGGCTCAAAAAGTGAGTTAATCCCCATTGAGCCCACTGTTAACACGACCAACCTTACAGCAGAAATAAACATGTTTTCAGCCTGGTACAATAAAATGATTTGGTCTCTAGGTCATTTCTCTTCTCATGCAGATTGTAGAGTGAGGTGGGATTACTGTTTTAACTTTATTAGTGCTTCATGTTGAACCTAGTTATGGGTTTGGCCTCTTTAAGTGACAGATGGGTGCTGCTAGCTGTGTGCTAAGTGGCACCTCAGCTGATTCAGTCACTGAACTGAACACCTTTGCCTTGTTTGTAATGATGGTACAAAAGTAATGCCAATATCAGACAAATATGGCTTGCTGTGTCTTCAATTCCAATACCAGTTTTCTTGGTGTGCCTGCTCAACTCCACCACTAAAAACATCTCAATTGAGCGTATCATCCAGCTGATGAAAAATCATTGGGAGTTTGACTCTATTATTTTTTCCATTTACAATTTGCCAATCCTCCAGTTGTTCAATGTGGTCACTTGTACGAAAATACACCACAGTGACAACTTCACTTAGCTCTGAAGCACATATCTCAAATGGTTTGCAATACGTTGACTGACGTCATTGTTGCTAGATCCAGTTACATGCAGTTTATGGTAGGGACTAGTCATCACCAGAATGACTAGTCAGTTCAAGAATTATTAAATATGTTGGCCCTCAATGCCAGTCAAAGGTTGTGCTCAAACTGTAACGCAGCCACCCACCACTAGTTGGGGCTGTAGCCAGCCACAGACTGGCTGTACAGCAGAACCAGCCAATGGGCCTTCTCTCTTAGCTCTACGGGCCAGATACAAACAAGCACAGTGAAGGGATACCATTTCACAGACCAACAGGGTTTGGGAGTACTTTGATCTAGAAAATGGAGATTAAGTTGCATGTAGGCTGTGTCAGGTTAAACTAAGCAATGTGTATCCACATTCAGTCCAGGCATGTGGACCAAAGGCATGTGGTGCTAGAACTGCTAACATTAGCAATACTATTCAAACCATGTCCAGAGTATTTACCCACAGATGCTGTGAACCACGACTTTAGCCTTGTTAAATAAATTGTGCTGAATTTTGACTGTTTTCTCTTTATTTTCTTAAGCCTTTGGATGGTAAAGCCTTTAGCCTGGTAAATCTGAATTTAAATATCTGTTTAACTGACTGGGAGATTATTTACTAGGAACAACCCTAGTCTATGGTAGTAATGCAAATGAGCAACATTGCATTATAGAAACAGAAATGTAGGACCAGCCTTTTTGGAGTTTTATACCATTTAGGGCATGCCTGTTTGGTTTGATCTGGTCTAAACAACCAGACCCTGATCCCTGTGTTTTGTAGTGTCTTATCAAATTATTAGGGCTTTCACACTTTCAGAAATCTCCTGAAAAACTCCTGATATTTGCAGGAGGAGCTGTATGTGTGAACACAAACTGCCAAATGTTTCACTCAGACTTCACACTAAGTTTCTCCTGCCAGCCTCCTAGTGTTTTTTCCCCAGCAAGTCCGAGTGAGCTGATGTGAGAACGCAGCAGGATTTAATCCTGAGATATCACCCAGTGTTTCCCCTACCATTATATTAGGGGGGCGGCCCGCCCCCCAACGGCCCCACCCCGCCCCCCTTGAAGGTCAAGTAAAAAAATGTTTTTTTAAATTTGGAAATCAGGGAAGTCATTTAAGGATACCTTTCCGATAGAACAGGACAGCTGTCATTAAAAGTAACACCTGTATGCATGCGACCACTGCAATCTCAGCGCACGTAAATAAAAGGCAGCATTACGTTTTGTGTTCACTGGTATGTTGTTCTCCGCTTGTTTGAACAACACGTAGCACTGACATGAAGGCAAATATTCTCATTATAGCGTCGTATAGCCGTCTCTATTGCTTCGTCAGCCACTTCCGTTTTCTTCTACATTATGCCTTTCCTGTCTGGAGACCCCCCCGCCCTCCCTCCCCTTCTCCTGTCTGACGCGGTTAGTCTCACGCTGTGAGGTGCATATGTGAACAGCCAGGTCAGGAGAACATCAGGAGGAGCATTTCTCCTGATGTTCTCTAGATATTTTCAGGAGTTTCAAGATTAGAAAACGGCTAATGACTGAACCATAACAATCATTATAGTTTAGTGAAATGTCACCAAAGCAGTCCAGTGAAGATAACAGCCCGTATAAGATCATGTTAGCAACTGGTGGTTGGCTGGTAGATCGCAAGTGTTAAACAGGATGAATAGGAACTTAGGGAAAACATGTTTTTGAATATTTAATATTTTTTTCTTAACATGGATAAGATGACTTACTCTTAAATTCTGAAGGCAAAGCCAAACTTTGGTTGATTATAATTCCCTCTTCACTATATTATTTTACTGGCATGTTCTTTTACAACAGTGGTCTCTTAAAAGAAAATGTTTGCTAAAACATGTTTAGCACACATGATCAATCATTTTTAGTTCATATTGGTCAGGCACTAATGCAGACATTGAAGAAAGTATTGTAAACTATGGAGCCAGAGCACCCTCTGCTGGACATTATATGAGGGCACAGTTGTTAATCACTCTTAGTATTGTTTA